AAGATAGCATAAACAACATGGTAAACCAGCAGAAGCAAAATCCAATTAAAAATAAGCTCAGGCTGCCAATGTTTTGTTTTTTTAAAAGCAGACTTCCCAAAGGGAGATTCCTGAGTCTGATGGGGCTGGTTGTGCTTCTTGGGGAAGAAAATTCCTCAGGGTGGGTGACAAGCCCCCATGAAAGCCCTCCCCATGGTGCCCTCATAGTTCTAATCTTGGTGAATAAGGGAATGCAGAGTGCAGCCTCTCTCATGAACCTAAAGTGCATCTGATGGCACAGATGTAGAATGACTGCCCCCAAACCAGCCATCTCAGGCCCTATGAGCAGCAGGGAAGGCCTTGTTGGTGGTGCTGCCTCTGGCAGTTGTCTGACTGGCATTGATCTGTGAAAGCAAAGCCAGCAGGGGTGCAGCCACTATTAAACATAATATAAAACTAAAAGAATATAATCCAGAATAAAAGTGTTAATAAGTAAAACCACACAAAGCAACAGCAAGCAGGGAGTCTCATCTTCCATCCCGCCAAAGTGGAGGAAAGTGTCATGGGCCAGGAGTTAGCTTGGCCTGCTGAACAGCAGCCTGAAGGGGGAGAAGGCAGATTGACTCCACCTGCAGCTGATCAGCCTTCAAGGACTCAGAGGTGAAGGTGCTGATGAGAACTACAGTATCCTGCTTCAGCCTTCTTAAGCAGATCTTCCAGCAGCAGTCAGATGCTGGTAACAATGCTTGTAGTTCCTGGCCTGACCTTGTTTCCTGCTTGTCTTGACCCCTGACCCCAAGATCATCGGATTCTCTGACCCCTGGACCATCTGACCACATGGATTGCTGTTTGCCCACCCTAGGACTGGACCTGACTCTGGATGCCAACTCTGCCTCCAGGCAAGTACACCACAGAGACTCTTCTGGTTGGCTGGCCTCCCACTCCACTGAGCTCTGCACAATGTTGCTCAGCAATGAGACTACAACAAAAGGGTTAATTCCACATGTGTCAGCATAAATGATTCCCCCCTCCCTGTGCAGCTCTTTTAACACTCTTATCTGAGTTGCTGGTCAAACTAGCATGTAGCACTAAAGGGCTCAGCTTATTGTATTAATTGCTGGGGAGTGTTGGACCCTTGTGAAGACTGTTGGAGAAATCTCTGGAAACATGGAAAACTTTGAGAAAAGCTCATCTGAGGGAAGTTGAACATCTTACAAGATTTCTGGACTTGAAGAACTCTGACAGTTGCAGGACTTAGTACTTGCCTAGTGGACTTTGGCATAGCAAGGACTTTGAAAGCAAAGAACCCTCTCTGGGCTCAGAGAGTAAAGACTTCTTGTAGCAACTGTTACTAGTGTTAGGGGTGTGTGTGTGTGTGTGTGTGTGTGTGTATTGTGTATGTTTGTTTTGCCAAGTAAAAGCTAACTCTGCGGTGAGCTTAACCTCTTGACTGAACTTCTGTGGCACATACACAACACCCAACACGGGGCAAAGAGGTATGTCCTCACATGCCATGAAAACTATGCTATGATGAGACACACTTAACCAGGGAAAGTCATTCTGTAGGCATAGAGCCAATCTAGACCCCTGCAATACAAATCTCATTGGATCATGGAACCACCAAAAGAGCCTCTTCTGCAGATCTGGGACAGATTGGTCTGGGAAGAGGCATTCTGTTCAATAGCTGTCATAACCTGCCTATACAAGTACAAATCTATATACAATGGTACCTCGGGTTAAGAACTTAATTCGTTCTGGAGGTCCATTCTTAACCTGAAACCGTTCTTAACCTGAGGTACCACTTTAGCTAATGGGACCGCCCGCTGCTGTTGCTGCGCGATTTCTGTTCTCATCCTGAGGCAAAGTTCTTAACCCGAGGTACTTTTTCTGGGTTAGTGGAGTCTGTAACCTAAAGCGTCTGTAACCCGAGGTACCACTGTACTACAGCTCAGGAATTCTGACACAAATGTCCACAACTGGTCACCATCAGAGCTGCACAAAAACCTAGTCTGAGGCAATCAGATAATACTAATATATTCTAAATGAGGAATTTTGAGGCTAAGACAACTGATTAGCACAAAGTCAACTGCGGTAGAGGTTTTTTTAAAAACCAACAACAACAACTTGCCATTTTACTTGCTAATCTATCATCAGCAAGAAATCCTTGCTGATATACTACAAATTACCTTGAGATGTACTAGTCAATTCCTCCTTCATTCTCTATGCAGGCTCCCCTGTCCACCTCCTTTTTTTGTCTGTCAAGTTTTTCTCTTTAAATGTTTTATTGTTAGCATTGGTCCAGCCCCATCATCATGGAGTCAAGATGAGTCAGATAAATAAAAAAAGCTTTTAAATCACACAATGCATGCGTAGATCATATTTTTGAAACTTTCGTGGTCAGATGGAATTCTCTGTAAGCTGCTTTTATTGTTATAATCAATCAAATTATTAATAGTAAAAGAATAGCAACTTGGGAATAGTTAGATGCATGTCTCAGACATAGGGCTGTCGGTCCAGCTTCTGTGAGGTTTGCCAAACACATGTTTGAGATGCATGGCTGACAATTCCCCAGTTTCCAAAGGCGCACATCTTCTGGTAGGGAAATGATGTGTGGCAGAACCCAGCATATATGGGGAAAGAAGGGAGCGAAAGAATGTAAGATTTATTAATATTTATCATCTGTCCTGTGTTAAAGAACTGTTGCTTATTCTAGAATACTCTGGATTGTATAATATAAAAAACCCTGTTAAACCCAAAAAGCTCTATAGTCAGATTTTTTTATTGCACTTTTGGATTCAGTGATTTTTGTTTGGTCAGCACGTGAAGCTTTTCTTGGAAGATGAGGGCAGTATGGACTGAAGATTGGGCCTGCTTTCAGAGTTGCTACAAGATTTGAAGCAGCATTAGGCAGAGTAAGGTGGCCACCTCAAGAACAGACAGCTGGGGCAGAGCAACAGCAGATCACATAGCCTACCCTGCACCCCTAAACAAGGGGCAGCTAACCTGTGGTCCTCCAGATGTTGCTTGACTACAACTCCCTTCATCCCTGATCATTGACCAGTGGGAATCCAACAACTTATGGAGGGCTTGGCTACCATTGGCCCAAGGCAGGCACCGCCAAACTTGGCCCTCCCGCTGTTTTGGGACTACAATTCCCATCATCCCTGACCACTGGTCCTGTTAGCTAGGGATGATGGGAGTTGTAGTCCCAAAACAGCTGGAGGACCAAGTTTGTCCATCACTGCCTAAGGTATCCTGCTACCCCTAGGTGTGGTAGAGGATGTTGCTCCATCACCAGCTTTGTATCACGATTCAGCTGCTTATCTAGTCAGAGCACATGACTTTCCCCAAAGAATCCTGGGAGCTGTGCTTTGCTCACCACAGCGCTACAACTCTCAGCACTGTTAACAAATTACAATTCCCAGAATTTTGAGGGAGAGCCATCTGCTTTAAATATATGGTACGTACATAAGGCAGTGTGTATGCCCGTGGTTCCCAAAGTGAGGCACACTCCCCACAGGGGGGCAATTTGATTTTTAAGGGGGGCAATTTGAGAATGAGTTATTAACAGTGAATGGCCTTTTAGGCTTCCTTTACATGAATAGTTCACTTTTTGAATAATAAGAATTATATGTCACAGGGGGGTGGGCATCAGGATTTTAGAGATGCTTAGGTGAGGCATGGCCAAAAAAAGGTTGGAAACCACTGGTGTATGCGGAAGCAGAGAGGGACAAATGTTTGCCACAGGCAGCAAACTGTCTTGAAGCAGTCCTGATTTAAAGATTCAAAGGCTATGATACTGAGTCATTTGGCACTTTTTTTCTTACTCCTCATCCTCTCCGCATTGCAGGGCAACTTTTTCCCCCTGGTAAAATAATGGTTGGACACCATATGCCACTGGAAACCACAAGAGGGAAGAGCGCGCTTGTGCTTGAGGGTTTCCCACAAAAATCTGGTTGGCCACTATGAAAACAGGAACCTGGATTAGATGGCTTACAGTCTGGTGTTTTTATGTGGCTTACAGTATAAAAGAGAAATGCAAGTAAACTCAGCATGTGCTCATTTGAAATAGGCGTGTATATTCTGGAAGAAGCTTCTAGAACGAGAAGTTGTGCAGTTGCCAGCTTCAGGAAACAGGGTTGTCATATTTTTAACTGTCCACTGTCAGCAAGCCAGGCCATGCTCCCTCCTGGTCAACTGGCAACCCCTTCTATTGAAAACACAAAGTATGGTACTGTTTGATGAGCTATCACCCGGGGGAAGCGGGGAGGCACGTCTCTTCCAACTGTGCAAGATATTTGGCCACTCAGAATGCCTATGGATGATCTAGAGCTGGCCCCTTCCAGGCCATAGGAGCAGAATGGGGAGTGGGCAGCCCTTCCCATAAGCTAAATAAACATATATTTAATTATGGTGACAGCTCCTGTCCTAATCTGCCCCCTTCAGTTGCTGAACTAAGATTTGAATTGGACAGCAATTGCAGCAATGTGGTGTGTGGAGAGAGGAGTGAAGTTCCTGCAGCGCAGAAAATAATTGTTCAAAGGATTTTCAGCATGACACTCTGGGTTGATCTAATGGTCCACCTAGTGGTCTGCTCTGGTTGCAGCAGAGAATGTAATTCTCAAAGGAAATGAAAGACTGGTACCTTTGACTGATCAGCCTTTGCCCTGCTTCCTCAAGCTCAAACTCAGGAATCAGTGGAAGGGATGGTCCTTAGCCAAGACACCGTGAGGCACTATCTCGCACCTCTGCATCAAGGAGGAGTTTCCTGGCTTGTTTCCCTGTGAGATGGAGGAATTTATGTAACCTCTTCCAGGTGGATCCTCAGCACATGTAGAACTATATAAAACTGTAGGTATTCATTAAGTCCAGTATACTGTCTTGGAAAGCATCCTGTTCTATAAGCTGAAGTGTGCAAAACAAAATAGTAGAGAATGCCTCCATTCTCTGCAGATCTTGACACACTCCATTTTGGGACACTGATACATTCTCAAGATGCGTATACCCTGAAAAATCTGGTGCATAAGATCATTTTATTTAATTTCTTTTAATAATTTTTTTATTAGTTTTCAATTACAGTCCAATCATAGCCTCATTATAACAACACCAATTTATAATACAATTAATACTGATCGTTCAAATACTGAATTATATAATTTAGATAAAGTGGCCCCCCGCATACCAGATTTGAGGATTTTCTTTATTTCTGCGTTCCAAAATCTTATTAATTTCAATTACCTTCTGGTCATAGCAGTAATCCCTCATACAACAACTGCAATATTAATAACTTCTATTTGTGTTGGCACATTAAATGATTTATAAAACTACAAGTGAGGAACTCAGATTATATCCTTGTTCTTCCTGTGTGTGGCAATTATTCTGTCCGTTGTGTTTCTTCCTGTCCTTGTAAGATGTTATGTCTTTCTTTCCCCCGGTTGTTGCTGTTATCCGTCATGCCTTGGGCGGAGGTGATATCCCATTGTTGTTCCAGAAATTTCTCAGTTGTTCTGTCCCATGCTTCGTTGTTTTGCAACTTTAACAACAGCTGCCAAAGTCACTGCCTCAGTAAATACTACCTGTTGTCACAATTTTTCCTCTCAGCCTGGGAAGAAGAGCTGTCTGTGGAACTGCAGATGACTCAACAAAGAACCCTATCTGTTCCTGGCAGTTCACGGACTCCTTTCATCCTTCCTTCCAACTGCAGATATATAAGCAATTACACTTCCAATTAAATTAAATCCCAAGTTCCCTTAGCGTAATTCAGTTCACTTTGTAAATAATAAAGGATGGGAAGGAGTCAGCTCCAAGTTTCCATCCAAAATAGAGCTTCTCTCCCTTTTTCCTTTCTTTACACACAGTTCTGTTTAATGTTATATTCCATATTTATAATCCAGTTTCTTCCATCCTTGCTTGTACAAATGTATTTTGAACTAATATTCAGAATGGGACATCCCTATTTTCATTGGAGAAATCTTGGAGGGTATAAGATAGAAGTAGAATGATGGCATGAGAAGATGGCGTGCTACTCGGGGGAGAAAATGGAAGGAGAAAGACACCTAGTGAGGAAATACCTGAAAGGCTGCCTCTTTCTCTACAGACCTCCTTCAGTGTTAAGATCAGCAGAGGAAGCCCTCTTGGTTCTTTCACTGCCTTCAGAAGCTTGGGGGTAATGGTGGACAAGAAGAGCACATTCTCTGTGGCAACCCATAAGTTGTGGCACTGCCTCCTCACAGAGGTGCATCCGGCATCTTCATTATATACTGTAGCTTCATTATACATGGGAGCCAGTGTGGTGTAGTGGTTAAGAGTAGTGGACTCGTAATCTGGCGAAACGGGTTCGCTACCCCGCTCCTCCACATGCAGCTGCTGGGTGACCTTGGGCTAGTCACACTTCTCTGAAGTCACTCAGCCTCACTCACCTCACAGAGTGTTTGTTGTGGGGGAGGAAGGGAAAGGAGATTGTTAGCCTCTTTGAGACTCCTTAAAGGTAAAGGTAAAGGTAAAGGGACCCCTGATTGTTAGGTCCAGTCGTGACTGACTCTGGCGTTGCGGCGCTCATCTCGCTTTATTGGCCGAGGGAGCCAGTGTACAGCTTCTGGGTCATGTGGCCAGCATGACTAAGCCGCTTCTGGCGAACCAGAGCAGCGCACGGAAACGCCGTTTACCTTCCCGCCGGAGTGGTACCTATTTATCTACTTGCACTTTGACGTGCTTTCGAACTGCTAGGTTGGCAGGAGCAGGGACCGAGCAACGGGAGCTCACCCCTTCGCGGGGATTCGAACCGCCAACCTTCTGATCAGCAAGTCCTAGGCTCTGTGGTTTAACCCACAGTGCCACCCGCGTCCCTTAAGACTCCTTAGGGTAGTGATAAAGCAGGATATCAAATCCAAACTCCTCCTCTTCTTCTTTTGGCAGATGCTGAAGGAACACCTCTTTACTTGGGCTTTTAACACCTGAGGTAACACCTATAGGGCCTTCCTTCTCCTGTCATAACAGCAAACTTTTGCAGAAATTGAGCAATCTTGTGGATATGCCTGATCTCATTAAATAATCTTTGTACGCTGTATGCACTGTGTACTATGGTGGCTTCCATGTTGTTGTGCAACACATCCACAAACACATTACTTGTAAGGGCCTGATCACTTATGGCTTTTCAGGCAACCCAAATAACTCCTCTGGGATTTTCTTAAGCAGCTGCATCTTTGAGAAGACTTGGTTCAGCACGGCCCTGGCAGCTGTTAGCTCCAATGGGGATTCTGCTTGCTTGGCAAGAGAGACCCCTCACGTTGCCAGTGCCAAGACGTGATGATTAAGGCTGCATTTTCTCCCCGTCTCATGCTATGCAACTGCTGATTTATTTCACAATGCTGTGTGTGTAATTCCTAGCACGCCGTCCAAATCGTTGCGCAATATTTACTTGTGTGGGAACATGCGCTTGTGGCATTAGGAAGTTTTCACAGAAATCTGCAATGAATATCGGGGGTGGGGAGTAGAAAGACAATTGTGATGTAACTGCAATCACAGTCTGCTGTCAAGACTCGATGACTCAATAGCAGATACAAGGCACCCTTAATATAGATGGATTGTCTGTGCTTAATGGTTACCAAATGTTCCTCGCTTAAATTTATTTATTGTTTATTTTGTTTAAAGGGATACTTTTATTTGGAGATGCAGTCCTTCATTTGAGATCAGAGATGTTGCTTCATGAGCAGTAACTATGTCATTGCAACTTATTTGCTATGCAGACTTCCCTGAGTTTACAAAGCTGGATGGATGACAATATGGGGCAATATGGAAACGCAGGATTGTACCTTATGCTGATCCTACTTAGTTTGATGCAACCCATAGGCTCCTGTCTGCCATAACTAACACTTCTCTCATCTCTGTGGAGTCCTGGCGAGATCCAGCATAGACCTAGTGGCTAGAGCACTAGACTATTACCTGGGGAATCCCAGGTTCAAAACCCCTCTCAGCCCTGAAACTCATTGGATGCTTGTGGGGCGGTCACCATCCCTCAGCCTAAGTTGTATCAAAGGATAGGGGGTGGGGAGAGTGTTCCATGTATGGTACCCTGTTGTTGATGGACTTGGGCTTGACTTGCATATGTTGTGGAGAAGAAGCCATTTGTCAGGTGCAGCTGCCATGGCACAAAAGTAACCACCATATGTAAGATAGTTGATTATGTGGTTATAAGAATATGGGAGGACCAGCATAAAGTATGTAGGTGCCCTTTTGGCCAACCTATGCTCCCTGCAAATTCTGTTTATGATCCATCTCCTATGAAACTAATGTATGCAGCTCAGGTCACTTGAAAGTCAACTGGAGCTATTTGCTCTTCTCTTAGGATTTGTGGGATTCTAAAAATGCACAAATTTTCACATAAAGTATGATAGATTATTCCAGGCAGGAGGACTGGATTAGTCACTAAGGGTATATACATATTAGTGGCTTAAAATGCAGTGAGATCATTTCCCCCCACTACAGTTCAAGTCACATTTGCACGTGCAGTACGTGCCAGGCAGGGGACAAAGGTGTCTTCACTTGATGCACATTACCTGCTTTATTTTCCTACACCTGCAACTTCCCCAAACTCCTATTCAAGGAAGCTGACATCTATGCACATGCTGTCACCTGCCCATGAGCAACAGCTGTTTGACATGTGCAAACCTCAGATCAATCATGGCTTGTCTTCAAATTGAATGGAAGCTGTCTTGAGGGGAAATGAATCAAACAGAAGTAAATCTCAAGAAACTATGGATTACATATACAGTGGCATCTCTGGATGCGAACGGGATCCGTTCGGGAGCCCCGTTCGCATCCTGAAGTAAACGCAACCCGCGTCCTCGCGGGTCTTGATTCGCCGCTTCCGCGCATGGGCGTGACGTCATTTTGAGCGTCTGCACATGAGCGAGCGGCGAAACCCAGAAGTAACGTGCTCCATTACTTCCGGGTCACTGGGGAGCCCAACCCGAAAATATTCATCCCGAACCTACTTCAACCCGAGGTATGACTGTAGATCGTAGCTAACTTCAAGTGCACCCAGCTTTGAATACCAGTGGTGGGAGCACACTGAAGATGGAGTAAATGGTAATGTGTGGCTTTTGGCTTTCTGCTATGATTTTATGACTCCCCCTTCCATTTTTTTAAAGAGTAAATTCTTCCCTGGTATATCTTTGGGGATACTGCCATCATGTGGCTTACTGATGCTCAGTTTCTTGCCATATTTTTTCATCTTGGTGTTCTCCAGTTCAAAAATCTTCTTGGTTATCTTCCTGGATAAATAGGACAGGGGGTGGGGAAGCAAATACAAATAAACTTGCACAATATTTAGTCTCACCGGGCTGACTAAATATTTTAAATGGTTAGATGTGCAGCAGGCCCATGAGTTCTGCAGTCTGTGAGGGCCCTGATCCAGAGAAAGGGATAACCATCAGGGTGGAGGGGCTTTGTAGACCATGCCCCTGCTTGATGCATGCAGGCAATCCTGTGCTAGAAATGGTCCCATCATTAGTTTTTGTTTTTATTTTTTAAAGTAGCCTTTTCAAAATCAAATTATTTCCCATTGCCCGAGGAAGAGAAAAAAAATATTGCTGTATTCACGGAATCTTGAAAATAAAATAGTTTATTATTGGGAAATCCCCCAGCCTTTCCTTGAAGCAAGAGTCCACCACCTCTCTAGGTAATTGGTTCAATTGTCAAACTGCTCTTTCCATCAAAAGTAATCTCGTGCCCCTTTAAGCTTAGTAGATCTGGCCTTTGAGGGCAGCAGAGAATAAATCTTTTGCCCTCTAGTTCTATAATGACAGCCATTCAGGTAATGAGAAGAGTGCTATCATTATCATATACCCCACCTGTGCCTTCCCTTCTACAGGGTAAATATAATCAGTTACTTCAACCTTTCCTCATAGGACTTGTGTTCTGCATTGGTGACTGTCTTCATTACCCCCCCCCATGAACCTGTTCTTTTTTGTCTATATTCCAACGAGGACACATTACTCCAGTTGAGATGTGACTTGGTTTGCGCACACTTCCATCAGTTTAATTCCGCCATCCTATGCACGCTTACAGGAACGCGGGTGGCGCTGTGGGTTAAACCACAGAGCCTGGGACTTGCCGATCAGAAGGTTGGCAGTTCAAATCCCCCTATGGGGTGAGCTCCTGTTCCACGGTCCCTGCTCCTGCCAACCTAGCAGTTCGAAAGCACGTCAAAGTGCAAGTAGATAAATAGGTACTGCTCCAGCGGGAAGGTAAACGGCGTTTCCGTGCTCTGCTGTGGTTCGCCAGAAGCGGCTTAGTCATGCTGGCCACATGACCCGGAAAATGTACGCCGGCTCCCTCAGCCAATAAAGCAAGATGAGCGCCGCAACACCAGAGTCGGCCACGACTGGACCTAATGGTCAGGGGTCCCTTTACCTTTATGCACGCTTACACAGGGTGGGGTTTCCTTCTTGGCACGTCTCCTTAGGTGCACAATCAAAGGCTGCAACCTCAATCCCCATTACCTGGGCGCAATTCCTACTGGGTGCAGAGCTCCCGAATAGCCATGGCGAGGATTAGTAGTCTCAAAGCTCATGGAGGCTTGCTTCTGGCTAGGCATGCAGAGGACTTCCGCCGCAAGCTTAACGGATTCCCCGTTTAAGGTTGCGACTGCTAGGGAGAAATTGCAGACACAGAAATATGCAAAGTGGTGGCGGGCTGGTTCCCAGAGTCGTATCCTCACCCGCTTCAGAACAGCTTAAAGTTTATTATCTATTGCTAGATTTATATTCCACCCTTCGCCCGAAGATCACAGCACAGGGCAACTTCACAACATAGAAATACAAAACGAGAACACAAAATATATAATAAAACAAAATCAAACCTGTAGCAACGGCCCCCCCCAACCCGCGATCAATTATTTATGTAACCGAATTCGCCAGCACATCTGCAGGCTCAAAGCTCTTGAAACTCCGCCCAAACCGGAAACTCCCAACCCTTTCCGCCTGGGACTTTTCTTACAGCGTCGCGACTTATCTTTCGCCGCGCTCCATTTCCCTCTTCCTACGTCGGGGCGGACGCTGTGCGTCTCGAGTCGCGCCGAGATGACGTGCTCAAGAGGCGGCGCCGTGAGCGTGGGGGGTCCTGTTGTTGTAGGTGGCGGCGGCGGAGTGAAATTGGAGCCTCTCAAACGGCGGGCGGTGGCGGGTGGCCGAAGCTGGAGGTGGGCGGGCAGGTGGGTCTGTGAAGGGCCTGGGGCCGGTCATGGCGCTGGGGCCTGACCCAGGGGGAAGATGAATAAGGGCTGGCTGGAGCTGGAGAGCGACCCTGGTGAGTGAATAGGGGAGCCCCCCCCCCCGCGGTCGCCGGGGGGTCGTGAGGGGGAGGCCTCGGGGAGGGGGACGGGGGGAAGCCTGGGGCAATGAAGAGGTGGGGGGGCGGGCGGTGGGTGGACCCGGAGAAGGGGGAGGGAGATGTGCTGCTTCTCTCTTCCCCTCCCACTTGGGAATCGGGAGGGTGGTGGGCTAGGATACCTGGCTAAGGCGGGTGGTGGCTAAAAGCTTGTTCTTGGGGAGTGCATTGATAGCGGGAGAGAGGTTGGCGGTGGAATTGGGCTGTCCCCATGTGTGGCAGTGCCCAGAGGGCGGCTGAAACTTTTAAGGGGATTCATCGGAAGCTGGGGAGGAGTTGGGGCATGCAATGTCTATGCTGTGCCACCCAATGGCAGGCGACTTTATATCCTGATGATAAGTTGCCTTGTGGTTGCCCAAGATAAGTGGGCAGCAAGGCAAGTTAGGTGGTGGTATATTTGGAGATGTCCAAAACCACGTTCATATTGGTCTGCATATGTGTATGCCCTTTAGCTGAATGGAGCCCTTTTATCATCATTGTGACAGGGCACGTTTTTATGCTGTTGTGCTGCCCCTGTAATGTGGAATGCTCATCCCTCTGCCAGGCATTCCTTGACCCATAAGTTTGGACCCTGTTTTACAAGCTTGAACCCTTTGGATTTCTGTTTTATTTGATTTTATGCGCTTTTCCGTTACTGTTTTATAGGTTTTGTTCTTTTTAAATTATATATTTAGTACCTTTAAGCCAGCTGCCCTCAACCTTGGGTCACTAGATGGTGTTGGACTACAACTCCCATCAACTCTGACCACTGGTCCTGCTAGCTATGGATGATGAGAGCTACAGTCCAACAATATATGGGGGCCCAAGGTTGAGAAAGGCTGATTGATTGTACACGACTTAGATTTTTAAAATATTAAGTGCTTTATAAACATTTCTAAATAAAAAACCTCATGTCTTTGTCTTGCTACAAATCCAACTCTACTTGTCAGATTCATGTGAAAGAAGTCTAAATACTTAATAACAAACAGTGAGAGTAAGGCTTGAAAATGTACCTTATTCCAACCAATTAGAAGGATGCACCATGTAAGGTTGAAGCATATTTTTTCTGGAAATGTGGAATGCTAGAATACAACAGCCAACACTGTTGTAACAATAGATGCTTTCTATAGAAAACAGCTGAGGCCTTCTGCAGGGGAAAGACTTATTATTAACATGTATATGCTGTCTGTTTTTCAAGCTAGTGTATACTTCACCACAGCTGAAAAAAATTAAGTATGTTTCCCAATTATTGCACTGTTTAGCTTCTGTTAGATTGGCTCAAAAATTAACCAGAGTTACTTTAAAAAACAAACCAACAAGAAATAGATTGGCTTGGAATATAATCCAATCTGATTTTGGAAATTGTCCCCCAGCTAGCCAGCCTCTGGCCCTCAGCCCCTGTACTTTACCTGTGCTGTGCTGATGAGAAGTGGGTTTGTACCCTTACTCAGGCTGCAAAGCTCTACAAATGACCTTGCACCAGTTACCCACCAACCTTCATGGGTTTGTTCTCTCATCCATCCACATCAGTGTGAACGCTTTGGTGAAAAGGTGGGATATAAAAGTGAAAAATAATATTACACATCTGAATTCTTTATGAAGGTGCCCAGTAGTATGACTAAATAATTTCTAGTCTTGATTTTGCGTTTAACATTCATAGTGAAATAAATGCTAAAAGTTTCTTTCTGAAGAATACATGAATTGGTCAGTAAGCAATTTTCTGTCTTGTATTCTTTTGTAGGGCTCTTCACTCTATTAGTAGAGGATTTTGGTGAGTATGGCAACTGGTAGTCTATGAATGATACCTAATGTTAGTCATATTCAGAGTAGCCTCACTGAAATAAATGAATTGAGTTAATTCCTTTTGTTTCATTTGGACTACTCTATGACTAACATTGGATATCACCTTGCTAATATTCCTTGACTGCTCCTTCCCACATGGTGACTCCTGCTATATCTTCTTGTAGGTGTTAAGGGGGTGCAAGTTGAAGAAATCTATGATTTACAGAGCAAATGCCAAGGGTAAGTTAGTAATCATTATATTGATTTGAGAAAGGCAAAATATCCTTCTGATGTTTGTGAATAATCATTGTGTAAAGATCTGGCTCAGCCATAAGTTCTTAGCAAAGGGCTTGGCAATCAGTGGATAAACAGTGCTTGGTGGCTGTGCTTTTGCTCTCTCACCTCTCAAACGTGGTCTGTGGGGGAGATAAAGATTTGACCCACCAAATAGATCTAGTTTCCCACCTCTGTCAAACCTTCTGTAATGCAGTACAACTATGTAAATAAGCACATACAAGTTACTAGCCTTCTTAGAAGATAGCAGCATTCCTGGTCAGCTACGGCTACCAGGTTAGTGTTTAAATACAAGACTGCTGTATCTTAGAGTAGTACAAAAATAGTGTGTAAAGCATAGACAATTAAATGTAGATAATTAACTTTCATTCAGAGTAAACCTACTCAAATTAATGACCATTACTAACTTAGGTCCAGTTATTTAAATGGGTCTACTTGGAGTAAAAGTTAGCTGAATACAACCCAAGGTCTATGTTAGATTGTAGCTATTTCAGTTGGCCGCTATTGCTATTTCGGAGTATCAGGAATGATGCAATAATGGGGATTTGTAATGTGGTATGGTTGACTTTGTCTACTCGCCCCACTGCTTTTACCAGCTATAGTTATTGTTTAAATGACTGAAGCTCTTAGGCTGACATGTGTGAATGACTAGAGAACTGTTGAAAGAAATGCTTCAAAAGTGATGCAGCTTCATCGGTACCCTGCTGTCTCCATTCTTTTCTTCAGGCCAGTCTATGGGTTCATCTTCCTTTTCAAATGGATTGAAGAGCGCCGATCACGACGGAAGGTCTCAACTCTGGTAGATGAGACATCAGTGATTGATGATGACATTGTCAATAATATGTTCTTTGCTCATCAGGTGAGCTGACATGGATGAAGAAAGAAGGATGTCCCCAGTTGGTAGAGACAGGGATTAATGTGAGCCGGTCTAATACTTGGCACTGAAAACAAATCCCCAGAATTCGATCTGGAATATGTGAATTACTGTTCAAGAAAACTGCTTTTGAGTATGTGCAGAGTGTCAACTCCTCATCACTGAGTGACCACAGTTGACCACAACCAATTTGAGATCAGGGATATGGCCTTCCATGGTGGAAGGCTCCAAGTCTTATTTCATAACTTGGTTACAGAATAGAGCATGCTCATATTCGGAGTAGGGAATGTCATCCTCCAGCCCTTTTTGTTGTTGTTCATTCATTAATTCCCAGAGCCTGCCATAATCACAATTTCTTACTTACCTTCAGTTACTTAACTTATTACTTTATTTGGTATGTCCGTTTCCATAAAACTGCCCTTCACTGTTGCCTGGTTCAGACAACACATCCCCATGGTTTATCAGACTAAGGTTGTGATGACAGAACCAAGCCAGTATCTTTCCCTCCTTGTGTATCTGCTGGTTTCTTAGGTAGATACCTAAAGTATTCACTGAAATCTGAAACTCGCAGACAAAAAAACCCAAATCGTACAATTGAATTGATATAGTAAGTCAAATTTCTATAACTTGTTCAAGTTTTCCTTTATAAAGCTCACATTCTTTCTCTGCTTAGCATGTTCAGATCTGCTTGTAATATATACTTTCAGCATGATTTATGCTGAAGATGGAAATGATTCAGAGGAATATACTGAAAATGAAACATTTGTTAGTAGGCTCCTGTTTTCTGGTGGGTTGAACTATTCCAGAGGTATTGCAGCTTTCTGATTTATCGGTCTTGCACACTCCTCACTCACCATCTAACACAACTGGGGACAAACAAGTCAATACAGTGGGTGTTATCTGTTAGCACCTTGGTGTGCTTACTTCAGTGACTTTCTCTGTCAAAACTTCTCTTGAATAAGGGAGTCATTGTTACTAATGTGCTCTGATTTGTGTAGGCTGATATTTTTAGGTGTGTGGGCCTTGCATCAGGGAGTTGAATTCTATGGCGTTTTGATTCCTTCCAGTTTTGACTGCGACCTCTAACCATTACCATGCATTAAGAACCATATGTTTAGCTTGTAGGCATCAATAGCTACAATGGTAGATTTACGCTTAGTGTTGATGACTGTTTCATTGCTTTGTTTTTCAAAATGTTTGTAAATATTATGTTTTATAGCTGATCCCCAATTCTTGTGCCACACACGCGTTGTTGAGTGTCCTCCTGAACTGCAGCAGTGTAGACCTGGGGCCAACTCTGAGCCGAATGAAGGAGTTCACAAAAGGGTTTAGTCCAGAGGTATGATGCAGCAGGGTGCATTTAGGGTGGGATACTCTGAAATCGGGATGCGGGTGGTGCTGTGGTCTAAACCACTGAGCCTAGGGCTTGCCGATCAGAAGGTCGGCCGTTCGAATCCCTGCGATGGGGTGAGCTCCCGTTGCTCGGTCCCAGCACCTGCCAACCTAGCAGTTTGAAAGCACGTCAAAGTGCAAGTAGATATATAGGTACCGCTCCGACTGGAAGGTAAACAGCGTTTCTGTGTGCTGCTCTGGTTTTGCCAGAAGCGGCTTGGTCATGCTGGCCACGTGACCCGGAAAAACTGTCTGCGAACAAACGTTAGCTCCCTCGGCCAGTAAAGTGAGCTGAGCGCAACAACCCCAGAGTCGTTCGCGACTAGACTTAACTGTCAGGGGTCCTTTACCTTTTTTAATCTGAAATCACTGTAAGCCTCTGATCTCCCCAAGTGCTTTTATAAAACATCCTTTCTTTGTAGTGTCTTCTTTCCCAGCCAGTATGACTTATCTCCATATTGTCTGATCAAACTGTGGTTGTAGTCGTCTTGCAAAACTCATGCAGATTATTTCTAAGTAAATTTTACTTAGCTTTTACTTAGAGAGTAGTCCTCCTGGCTAGCTGGAGTGGTGCCCAAGCTATGCCATTCTGAATTCAATCAGGAAGGGGGGTGGTTATTGGCATTTCGGGGGCCTGCCTTGCCTGTTAAAGGGCCCTAGTGAAAATAAAGCTATCTTATCTTTTTGCTCTGTTTCCTCCCCACAGAGCAAAGGCTATGCCATTGGAAATGCCCCAGAACTGGCCAAGGCCCACAACAGTCATGCTAGGTAAGTGGGGTCACAACACAAAAGTGCTTGCTGCAAAATAGACCACATCTATTCTGACTTCTTGTCTATTGATTTTTTGGTAGGCCAGAGCCCCGGCATTTGCCAGAGAAACAGAATGGGATCAGTGCGGTGCGAACCATGGAGGCTTTTCACTTTGTCAGCTATGTTCCCATTAAGGGGAGGCTCTTTGAGCTGGATGGCCTGAAGGTTTATCCCATTGACCATGGTAAGGGACTCCACCTACTGTGCCTTAGCTTATCTGAAAAACTAAAAATGTTGGTCTGGCTGCAAGATATTTGGAGTCATCAAAAATGTTGTTGTTGGCACCCATCTCTCTCGAGAGACAATAGGGTGCATCTCTGAGTTGTATGCCTCGGAAGTGTGTATATGGAAGTCCTGGGCTGCCCAGAGGACAAGAACACCCCTCTTGGCTTTGCTGATGTGGTCCAAAGGAAAACAGAGCAATACATTCTGCACCAGCTTGGCTGCAGGAATTGCAGGAAGGAGGCTGTGTTTGCAGTTTTAGTCCTACTGTTCATTTGCTTGCAATTGCTCTTTTCAGATGTTTTTGGTATATTTTGTATTTGTTGTATTATTATTCTGCAAATTCTTCTGGTGAGGCAGGAAAGAAATACATTAAATCGTTGCAGTAAGTAAAATAAACGATAGCAGAACTGTCTGCAAACTTATATACGTAGACAGGCACATGTGGAAAAAGAAAAGAAAGTGGGCAAGGGAAGAGGTTGGAGGAAAAGTAAAATCTATGAATTGGCAAAGGTCTAGGAAATAGATGTACCTTGGGGAGCTCATTAAAGAATGGGACTGAATCATGACTGGAGGCAACATCATATCTAAGGATTTCTTTGTTACATCTTGTGGGTGTGAGGAGAGAGAATGGGCGGAAATGCCTTATTCTGGTAACCTCTGCAAGCGGTTGAGCAAGAGAACAGCATTAGAATGCACCTGGATACAATGGGAAGGAGTGGTTTGTTTTTTAATCTGAATGTGTTTCTGGGTTTTTATTTTCTTTAGATTTGATAACCTGTTCTGGGTCTCAGGGTTAGGCTGAAATAAAGATCTTAAAGGGGGACAATTTACATTTATTTTGTAAGTTGACTTTGCAGGTAGCGTGGATGGATCAGAATCTAGCCAATCTGAGCTTGTTCCCAAGGGTTGTTGCATGTGATAGGTCTTGTGATGGATTTCTTTACCTTAACTGAACCACCTTTACACTCCCTGTTGCGTATGCAGTTCAAGCTCATTTAATCTGTTAGCAGGGACCTTTTCTTTCTTTGTTTCTACATTTACCTTTTTATTGCTTTCTCAGGTCCGTGGGCAGAAGAGGAGGAATGGACAGACAAAGCTCGAAGAGTGATCATGGAGAGAATTGGACTTGCCACAGCAGGGTAAAAGATCAAAGTGCCATAGCATAGGAAGACCTTGTTCTTATGGTGGCCAGCCAGATGCCTATGAGAAGCCCACGAGCATGACATGTGCGCATTAGCAGTCTCCTGCTCAAGAGTCTAAGTGACAGTCATTCAGAAGCATAGTGCCTCTGTTACTTGGGATGTTGCATAGCTGTCATGTTTAGTTAGGATCCTGTGATAACTTAGGAGGGTGTGCTTCAGAAGAGGCAAGACTTTCTCCTGGGATCTCATGTTCTGTAGATCTTGCTTCAGTTCAGCTTTCTCTGGAAGGCCGTCTTCTGGTCCTAAGACATGTTGCACCTGCACTCCAATAGTTTTGTCCGTTCAGTGCCATACACTGTGATGTTAGCATTGTGGTGACAGAGGGAAATATACTGCTGCAAATACAGGGTGAGTCCTTTAAAAGAGGCCCTGTGGGTACAGAGTACACATGTTCCACGGGGCTTCTTTTAAAAGACTCACCCTGTACTTTGAATTGGGGCGCTTAGCACTTGATGCTGTCTTCCTGCAGGGAGCCATATCATGACATCCGCTTTAACTTGATGGCAGTCGTGCCTGACAGGAGGATGAAGTATGAATCCAAGCTGCATATCTTGAAGATGAACCGGCAAACTGTATTAGAGGCTTTGCAGCAGGTAAGTTTGGGATGAGCTTAGTAATTGAATCTCTTCTCTTGACTGTATCTGGCTATCTGTATGTCTGTGTACAAGACTGATGTTGTTGAACCATTGCTGGGGCTGCAGATTGTATACATTTTTCACCCACTTTCCCTCAATTTAGAAACACCGGAAGATGACTTCTGTATGTATAGATTTCAGGGAAGGCCCTATGTGGGCTGGCTTCTGAGCCTGGGGTGGGAACCAAAATGAATCGTTTCTAAATCATTGCTTGAACCAAAGTCTTTCTGTACTACATGTTTGTAAGTGTCACACTGTATTATGGCTTTTATTATGTACAAGAGTGCAGCAGGCAGCTGAGCAAGTAAGTTGCTGCACAGCCCATGTGAGCTGCTAAGGAAGGAGTAATGTTTAATGTGGGGGAGGCTCAGAGAGCTGTTTCTCTCACTGTTTCCCTCCCCCTTTGCTGAAGTGGTGTTTAAAGGAGGTTGGGAAGCACTTCAGAGAGTGGTTTGGCAAATCACTTTCTGAAGTGCCCTTCCCTCCATTAAACGTTTAATGAGCTGTGAGGGAAGTGGGGCTATGGAGAGGGAGTGGGGTGTTTGGTCAGGTGGGGGAGAAAGGGTGGTGGTTGAGGGGTTGGTGATCAGAGTGATCAGTGGCAGCAGCCCCATATAATTAAGTAATAGCAGAAATAAATAAATCGCGCAAGAGGTTACATGGTTATCCTCCTCCTCCCCACTCCTGGCTGGCCTTTTCATTAAGGAAGCATGTTAATTGGGAACTGGCATGTTGATGGGAACTTCATTGCTTTCCTTCTATGTCTGTGGGTTTTTCCTTTTTGTGAATTGCTTTGTTCTACCTATATTTTTTCCTCACCAGCTAATCCGTGTGACGCAACCAGAGCTGGTCCACACCCAGAAATTCCTGGAGGCCCAAGCTTCTGAAGAGCCAAAGTCAGCAAACAGCAAACCCCCCACAGCCCTGCCACTGGGGCGAGTGCAGCTGGTCCCCGAGAGCTCACAAGCAGGTATGGGGAAATGTAGAAGGGGGCTGTGGAGTGCGGAGAACAAAGAACCATGCTCAGAATGGGATATGTTTTTAGATGTTTTTAACTGTTTGTAAGTTTATATATATATATACAGTGGTGCCTCGCAAGACGAAATTAATCCGTTCCGCGAGTCTCTTCGTCTAGCGGTTTTTTCGTCTTGCGAAGCAACCCTATTAGCGGCTTAGCGGATTAGCGCTATTAGCGGTTTAGCGGCTATTAAAGGCTTAGCGGCTTAGCGGCTAAAAGGCTATTAGCGGATTAGCGGCTTAGAAAAAGGGGGGAAAGCGAAAAAAATCGCAAGACTCGCAAGACTTTTTCGTTTTGCGAAGCAAGCCCATAGGGAAATCCGTCTTGCGAAGCGTATCGAAAAACGGAAAACCCTTTCGTCTAGCGGGTTTTTCGTCTTGCGAGGCATTCGTCTTGCGGGGCACCAGTGTGTGTGTGTGTGTGTGTGTGTGTGTGTGTGTATATATATATATAAATAAAATCATTCTGATGTTTGCCACCTTGGGCTCCTTTGGGAGGAAGGGTGGGGTAGAAATGTAATAAAATAAACTTGGCTTATTAAGGATACACTTACTACGTGAAAGCCGCTGAGGGCCTGATTTTACTACTTCAACAAAATAAATAAATAAATAATACTTTAGCCCAGTGATGGGCAAACTGACCACTGGTCCTGTTAGCTAGGGATGATGGGAGTTGTAGTCCCAAAACATCTGGAGGGCCAAGTTTGGCCATGCCTGCTTTAGCCTGTCCCTTAGTGCAAAAACAGGGTTGCAAATTGTAGGCATTTGTATCAGATTTAAGTGTCTCTGTTTGCCTTTGTTGGATTTGGGGTAAGCGTGTGGTGTTCTGGAAAGGAGTGCTTGCTCAGTGCATCTGAAAATGTCTCATTGGAGGTGTATGCATTTACTCATTAAGTAAGTGTAAATGTTCTCAAATGGGAAAGTAAAAGAGATGTTCTTTGCAGAGAGCACTGAGGAGTCTGGAGGCCAGGATCAGCCTTCATCAACCCAGAGCCCCCCAAGCAAATCCAAACTGGGCAATAAGCTACCTGTGAGCAGCATCAATGGGGCACTGGCCAACCCTAGCCCTATCGTGCAGAGACTGCCAGCTTTCCTGGATAACCACAACTATGCCAAGTCGCCCATGCAAGTAAGTATAGGGGAGCTGTGCTGAACACAAGTATCTCATTCAAGTTTCTGATTTACGAATCTCTAGTTGACAGTGACTGTTGTCAAGCTTTCTTTCACATGCCAGATAGAAACAAATCTTTAACATGAGAATTTGCCTTCGGTATTTTTTTTTTTTTTAAAAGCTTTTCTACATAGGTGGCTGCCATTGCTTTGTAGGTTGTTCCGCTGAAGTTCCACTGACGCTTTTAGCTTCTCCATTAGAGGGTATGAAGTAGGAACATTCCTATGTTGTGAATAAATGGCTGTCAGTGTCTACTAAGCACCGTGGCTGTGCTCTGTCGGAATAGTCATCTCTGTCTCTGAATATCAGTTGCTGGGAAGTGCAAGTGGGACACGATAGCTCATATCCTGCTTTCTATGAGCATCTAGTTGGTCACTGTGAGAACAGGATGGGCCATTGACCTGATCTAGGGTTCCCATATTTCAAACAGTGAAAACCCGGACAGAAAGGTTGTTAAGCTTTTTCTGTTGTTGAGCTTTTTCGGCAAGATCACTTTTTTTTTTTTTTTTGCTGTTTTTGAGCTATTTTAATGGGAAATTTGGCACTACAGACATGGGCTTAGAAAGCTGGTTTCTCAGGGCTCGGATGATGCCTGGGATATTTCTTTGCGAAGGACTGTTGGTTAAATGAGGGGCTTTTGAGGGCAGTAGATCTCTCAGATTGCATTCCTTAGGTGTGTTCTGATATGCAATGCAGGAGGAAGAGGACCTTGCAGCAGGAGTGGGCCGGAGCCGGGTCCCAGTACGGCAGCACCAGCAGTACTCGGATGAGGAGGATGACTATGATGAGGAGGAGGAGGAGGAAGTTTGCAATGCCAATCCTGCCATGAGGTAATGGTGATTCATTCTCCCTTTGCTCCTCTATAGGCATAGAATAGAGGGTGGGAGCTTTTCAATGCAAGTCAGTGATTATTTTTAAAAACCAGCATTTTCAGTTGCTATATTTGACTTTGATTTGAAGCCTCACTCCCTTGTGAAAGGAGATTTTAAATTTCAGAGGTTTAATTGTTTTAAAATTTGTGTATTCTATTGTTGTAAGCTGATTTGAGATCTACCTGGTGAAAAGTGGGATACAAACTGTTTAAACTAGGGTTTCCCAAACTTGGGTCTCTAGCTGGTTTTGGATTACAACTCCCATCATAGCTAGTAGGACCAGTGAGCAAGGGTGATAGGAATTGTAGTCCAAAAACAGCTGGAGACACAAGTTTGGGAAACACTGGTTTAAACAAACAAGCAAACAAATCCTTTACAGTAGAGACTCCTGGTGTTCTGCATTTTTTAATTGCATATTACTGAATGTGAGTATGGAATACTGTGATGTTTTGATTGTTTCCACCGGACCTGTTATGCCTGATCTTTGCTGCTCCTATTGCCCTTTGATCATCTTCAATTGCTCTTCCTCTCTTGTTCCCCAATCTTGAACAGATTCAAGCGGAAGGGCCCAGTGAAGCAGGAGCCCCTGGTGGGGAGTGCAGATGGCCAGCTCTCCATGCTGCAGCCCAACACTATCAATGTCCTAACTGAGAAGCTCAAGGAAACACAGAAGGATCTCTCCATCCCCCTATCAATCAAGACCAGCAGTGGAGGCACTGCTGTTGCTGCTGTTGCCCATTCCCAACCATCTCCTACACCCAGCAATGAGAGTACGGACACTGCCTCAGAGATTGGGAGTGCCTTCAATTCCCCACTCCGCTCCCCCATCCGCTCAGCCAACCCCACTCGTCCCTCCAGCCCTGTCACCTCTCACATCTCCAAGGTGCTGTTTGGGGAGGAGGATAGCCTTCTGCGTGTGGACTGTATACGCTACAATCGAGCTGTGAGGGATTTGGGGCCTATCATCAGCACAGGCTTGCTGCACCTCACAGAGGATGGGGTTTTCTGCCCACTTACTATAACAGGTAAGATTCAGCGGAAGAGCTGTAGCCCCTGTACTCCTGTGTAACTACTCCTGGAGCAGACGGTTCTGACCCTATGATGAGCAGTGAGAGAATGACCAGTGGTTTCCAGTTAGATACCGAAGGCATAAGAATAGAACAGAAAGCTGTTTGGTAGGGGTGTGCTGATCCTGATTCAGTTCAAAACCCAGTTCAGTTGAGAGTGATTTGGAGGCTATCCATTTCAGTTCTGGGTTCAAATCCTGTTTTGGAAGTTTTCCATCTTATAGAAACATAGGACAATGAGTTTTCATGCTAGGCACATTTAAAGTTTAAACCCACCCCCACCCCCCACCCCAAGAGGAACCATCTATGTATGTGCTAATTTTTGGGCAGAATTGGATGAAATTTGCAGGCATGATAGTCTCTTCTATGAGATGAATCCTGCCAAACTTCAGAAGGAGAAACTGTAAGGACAGGTTTCGTTTAGAAAAGTTAAAAGGCTCACTTAATTTTTCCTGTTTTTTAAAGGGATGATGTTTATGAAAACAGCATTTAGAGGTAATCTTAGGATTGAAACCTGCCAGGTTACAGAGAAAAAGGCCCAGGTGTTTTTTTTGCTAGGCGTCTTTAAAAGATTTTTGTGTGTGCAGGGATGAACCTGCGGTTTGGTGGGCAATGATTATGAATATGGCATATATTGTGGAGGTTCCCCTAACTTCTGCAGTTTGTTGGTGAGAGCATTACAGCAAAGGTCTGCTCTTCCTTTTTCTAGAGTTCCTTTTCCCATCATTAAGAGTCTGGCTCATTGCTGATTCTGGAAGCAGAGCCAAAGTACTATCAGATAATCTTCACAACTTATCTCCTCCCAAAGCATTTGTGAACTGTGTCGAAGCAAGGCATAAGCTTATGAGTAATCCCTATAGAAGGACCCAGTGTTGACTTGATGTGACTACAGCCTTGGACTACTAAAAGTAGGAGTTTGGCCTAGGACTATGCATGGGATAGTTAGAGAAGGAGGAATATGAGTATGACCTGTGCTCAGAACATGTATTTAAACACTACAGAAGTACTTAAACCATTTGCGTATTTTCCTGAATGTTAATATCGCTTCCTGGCATTTCTGGCTACTTTATTTGATGCTGATGTTTTATTGTTATGTTGTGCTTATATGCAGCTGCGTTTTATTTTGTAAACTACTTTGGTATTTCTTTGAAATGAAAAGTGGTATACAATGGTTTTAATAAGATGAATCCACCCTGTGTGTTAGAATTGTAGAGTTGGAAGGGACCCCAAGGGTCAGCTAGTCCAACTCTCCTGCAGCATTCCTCCTTTTTGCTCTCTTCTCCACTGATACCAGATGGTGGGAAAAACTCCTCATCTTCTAGCAAATCCAGTGAAGAGCTTCAGTCCACTGTCAAACTAGAAGAGAGAGACTCAAGTGAAGCAAATGACAGCAAGGAGAAGCCTGGACTTGGTCGGTCTGGTGATCTCCCTTGTGGGGAAAAGTATTCTCCTAAAGTAAGCATTTCTACCCCTGCTTCTCTTCCTCCCCAAGACAGCTGGTGCTCGTTGGCAGTATGAGTTTTAGATGCTGCAATTCCTCACAGTTACACTTCGGACCAGGCACCCCCAACCTGCGGCCCTCCAGATGTTTTGGCCTACAACTCCCATGTTCCCTAGCTAACAGGACCAGTGGTCAGGGATGATGGGAATTGTAGTCCAAAACATCTGGAGGGCCGAAGGATTGGGGATGCCTGCTTCAGACAGTCCAAGGTCTATGAGACTGTGTAACACTAAACCTTGAAGCTTGTTAATTTCCTACATTACTGCTGGTGGTTTTTTTCCCTTCTTCCTTGCTGCTGTTAGGTAGAACCACTTTCCCCCATTGCAGCCTCTCTTAATACGGTTTCTGGACTGAGTACCCCCCCTCTTGGGGCTACACACTCTATGAGTTACAAAGTGGCCTGGTCTGGCACCGAAGCTATGAGATGTTTTTTGTGCTTCATGTGAGATTGTTCTAGATGGTGCGCTGTTTTTTCTGCTGACTTTGCAAGTCGATGAAACACTGTTGGAGATTGGGTGTGTTCATACTGTCCCTGTTTTGGCTCTGGCAGGAGCTGCTGGCACTGCTGAAATGTGTGGAAGCCGAAATAGCTAACTATGAAGCCTGTTTAAAGGAGGAGGTAGAGAAAAGGAAGAAGTTCAAGGTATTCTAGCAGGGTGTTTCATCTTGGGGGGTAATCATGAGATGACTTTCCTTCACCATGACCACAGTTTCTGATATGAAAAGTCTTCAGACTAGCAAAATCAGAAGACATCATACCAGGAGTCCATTCATGATGCTAAGCTGCTGCTTTTTTGGCTGGGTTAGTAATATTTGCACAGTGCCTCTTGCCTGAAGCTGAAATCTTGCCTGAAATCTCATTGTCTATTACTTATTATAAAAACTGGAGAAAATGGGGCTTTGCCATTGTTCTTCATTTGTGGGCACTGATGTGCCACTGAATATAATTTCCCAAGCTTATTTTGGATAAGATACAGTAGACTTAATTCACTTATATATTGCCAGTCAGCCACATGAAAGTTAACATTGGCAAACATTTTCTCTTGACTGCTTCGACTATAACTGCTGAACTGATAATTCTCTTCCACCTTACTGACTCTTCCCCTTAGATTGATGACCAGAGAAGAACTCACAATTATGATGAATTCATATGCACCTTTATCTCCATGCTGGCACAAGAAGGTAAGATGCATAAAGATGAATATTGTAATCTTTAGAGGACTGGGTATGGAAGCTTTAGTTCACACAACCTTTATGCCACAATAAATCTTTGGTTTAAGGTCCCAAGTAAAGCTATTTCCCTAGAATGTGTGTTTTGAAGTGGCTGAAAAGGAAAGAACATTCCTAACTGCATAACAATTGTTTCTCTTTAGCTAACCTTTCAAACTCTCTTCCTGCAGGAATGTTGGCTAGCCTTGTTGAACAGAACATCTCTGTGCGTAGGCGGCAAGGGGTCAGCATTGGGCGTCTCCACAAGCAGCGGAAGCCTGACCGGCGGAAACGTTCCCGGCCGTATAAAGCCAAGCGTCAGTAGCACCGGCCTTTGGACAGTACGTTGTGTTCACTGCTTGTCACTTTGGTCATCTGGTGCACATTTCAGGCTCTACCAGCTGGGCAGTTCCCAGGAGACGGGCTTTGCACAAATAATCAGTGTTAGTGTAATGTTACATGCAAATCCACCTGCATTCAAATGGGCTGTAGATGTTCCTCTAATGGTGGTGACTATGTGGGCATTCCAGTGTAACTTTTCTCCAAACCCTAAGGACCAGGACCACTTGACGGTCCTACTTAACACAGCACTTGAATTTGCTACTCAGTGTCCTAAATCCATCTGCAGTATATCTTGCAGTAGCCAATGGCATCCTTCAGAAGCTCTGTAGGGAGATTATTGGAAAAGGAGAAACCAAATTCCTGCCACCTTCTAGAAGGGCATTGCAGCAGGAGTTGGTGTGGAGTTGGGTTCAGTTTTCCCAGCAAAAAAGGAATTGGCAATGTACTGTTTCTGGCCAGTGCCAATGGTTCTGTGTTCTCCTGGGAGGCTATTATCTATTTTCTGTATTAAAATGTATATATATTTTTTCTGAGCCATATTATCATTGTAGTGGACTACAGGTGGCCATCTACCCTTTTTCCAGGAATCTATTATGTGCATTGGAAGGGATGCTGTCCACTTGAAGGTCAGGCTTCTTTGCTCCTCCTTTGCAGAAGGTCTTTCAGTTCAGTATCAGTCCTGTTAATGTTTCTCTGGGTGGTTTCTTCAGTTGTTGCAGGAACAGGGAGAGGAATTTCTGAAATGGGCGGTGGGTGCCCAAAGTAAGGACACAGTGTGACTCACAATTTATAGGGGTATATCTTGAAGTGTGTGCTGCTTTCTGTTATATTTTTCTGTTTGTTAGCCATGCACAGAAAAGGATCAGAATGATCAATCATACGAGATTATTTCCCCCTTCCTGATCTTGGGGGTTGATAAACTGTAGCCTCAGGTCCCCCTTGGCTTTTGCTCAGATAATGCTGCATAAAACCACCCTCTATGAAGTTAAAACAATGCTGAGACAAACAGTTGAAATGGGTGGATTAGTGTCATGACATGCTAGAAGTAACATAGGTATTTGTTCTGTTCTCTCTCTGCTCTCTGGAACTGTTAGACCATCAAAAAAAATATTAAGTGGGTAGGAATCATGACAGTGGTCTCTCTGTGTGATTCCTCCATGCATGTGGCAGGTGGAATAAAGGAAGAAGCCCCAGGAAAGCAGCTCCTTCACTGCTGCCAGTGAATGTGAAGTGACCCTTTTTATGGGTTGTTAACACTTCTGAGGCACAGACAGGAAGCAGACTGTTGATGAAAGGGCTACCGTTGGATAACTGGTTTTCCTTGTATGCTTTTATAGTGAAAAGTGAGACAAGGCAAGAAGTAGTAGTTTTCTCAGCAGTGGTGGCAGTGATCAATGAGGGAGGAGTTATGCCTTTAGCGTGGGTGATGGCCAAGGCAGAGACAGCTGGATCATCAGTGCACAGGTGTACCTGGGATTGTGGACACTGCTCAGCAGCCCTACAGCTGGATATTCAGTCACTCTCTGCTACTGCTACTTGCCAGCAAGGGTGTACAATCCCCCCCCCCCCCAGTTCTACCTCATTGCCAGTCTTCTGCTGCAGCAACAGGCTTAACGGTAAAAGATTGGCAAGCTGGATAATCAGCATGGCAGCTCTACTGCCACCACAGCCGACTTGAGACCTTCTTGTCTACTTCTCCTTATGTACATTGGTTTACTCTTGTGTCCTGTGAAAATTGAGTACAAACCTCAGTTCGTTTTTGAACGATTCGGCTCCCGAATGCCAAAAACCCGGAAGTAAATGCTCTGGTTTTCGAACATTTTTCGGAAGCTGAATGTCCCAATGCGGCTTCTGCTTGAGTGCAGGAAGTTCCTGCAATCAATCGGAAGCCGTGCCTCAGTTGTTGAACATTTCAGAAGCCGAACAGGCTTCCAGAACAGATTACTTTCGACAACCGAGGTTTGACTGTACATGGTAAATGCAGCAGCATTCGTATTGAGGAGAGAGACCAGGACCCACCTGCAAGTTTGCTGTAGGTTATGCTTGCTGGTAGTCATAGGGTATCATAGGATTTCTGGAAGAATTTCTCTTTTGCTGAAACTCATTCCATGAACATGTATAGTTGAGTCTTCTTTCGTACTACCAGAAATGATTAGTGGAAAGCAAAGGAAGACCACAAGATGAGGAGTGAAAGGACACCCAGTGATTCCTGAGATGGTAGTGCAGCTGAGAGCAGAACTGCATTTGCTTTCTCTGAAAATATGTACAGATGCTGACTGTAGAATTATTATTTTTTATATGTTGACAGAATCAACTGTCTTTTGTTTTGTCAGTTTCAAGTGCTGTAAATACCAGTTCTGGGTCAGAAAATAAAATGTATACCCATCTGAAGATTTCTCTGATCAGACCATAAAACCATAAATTTTGTCTCTATAATTGCAAAAACAGAAATGCTTTTGTCACTATACATCTTAGCAACTGCACCCTTGTGCCCTCTTTGTCTACAGGATGAGGGAAATCCCAGTTAGGAGTGCCACAGTTGTCTGCGAAAGTTGATATTTTATTAATGTTATAGGATTAAATTAATGAAATGATAGCATTATCACAATCTTATGATCAGCTGTGTTTCCGCAGAGGATGCTTCATCAAACAAGTCTAGTTGCATAGAGCACCTGCATAACTTCGTTCTCCTCTAAGCTTCAGGAAGCTGCTCAAGTCTATTCCTTCAGTGTTTAGAAATCTAAGGCACAGATCAAGGCAACACCCCGTTTAATCCAGTGCCTCTGAGGCTTACTGCTTGGAATCTCTACAGCAATCACATAGTTAGTAGAATGGCCCGTTGTGGACAGTGTCCCTAGCAAAGAAAATGAACAGTGTTAGACTGTAGTATATTGAAGAAGATAATATCTTTGTACCACTTACAGGCTGATGATCCTACGGCTGAAATGACATTTGCTACAGGAGTTTTTTTGTCTTTCAAACTGGCATGATTTCTGCAAAAGAAATCTCTGGAGACGGAAAAGTAGCTGAAAAAATTATCATGGCTGGAGGGCAGAGCACTTTCTTCCTTGTTTGTTCTGCTTCCCCTTCCCTAGCAAAGGTTTATGCAAACACCATGTAACAAGGGATTGTTTGTAATCCCCAGATTGTTTGAGAGATGGGGGAAGCTTGCTAAAAGTAGTCAAAGATGCAAAGGGACATATGATTTTCAGCATGCGAAAGCACCTGTCTCCCCTATTGATTACTGTAGCCTTTCTTAATATGTTGTTGAACTACAACTCCCATCATCCCTGACCACTAGTAAGCTAGGGATGATGGGAGTTGTAGTCCTACACCATCTGCAGACCTAAAGTTGAGAAAGGCTAGATTCATGAGAAGAATTTCTAATACTGTTCCTTTCCAAGTTTTGGCATCCTTCACCCAACCTTCCCCTGAAAGGCTTACCTGCACGTGTTAATGTCTTGTAGATGGGACACAGATAGATGCCTTTGGTTGGAGGCTTGCGGTTAGGCACAGGAACTAGCCACAGGACTGCCATTTCTGTGTACAGCTCCTTTGGCCGTGACTCTGCAAGCTGAAAGAACATGGGGTCCCAGCGAGCCCCTTCCAGAAACAAGCCGTGGATGTAACATCCTTCAGTAGGACGCTGAGTTAGTGCCTGCACAGGCTGACTCATCACCTAAATTGAGAGGGTGGGAAAGCAAGTTTTCATCAATCAATCAATCAATCAATCAATAAGGTAAAAGAAATGTGCCAGTTTGAAACAACAGAAAAAGAAGCCTGCCTGTGGGATTGTATCAAAGGAGTTTGTCTGTATCTGAGCAGAAGGATTGTGTCTAGTTGGGGATACCTGTAGCACCATTCACATAACATAATCTACCAAATTTTAAAAAGTAGGGGTGTTCTGTGGTAATTGGGGACCACTGCTATAGTGGTTTAAATGTAATGGGGGACTAGGAACCACAGGTACCTTTCACTTGCAAAGCTGACACTTGGGTTTTCAGTAGGTAAAAGGGTAAAAAACATCACTTGCTGAGCTTTTGATACAACATGATCCACTGACCTTGAAGTCAAAAGAGATGGTGTCTATGGATATGATAGACTTTCTGGCAAAGTTCTGCAGTGTCCCTGTTAGAAAAGCCTGTGGGAAGAAGAATCCGCTTATCCAGAACACAGGTGGGATCCCTTTTTCAATCCACCTCTGCAAGAAGTCAATGCGCAGCAGCAGGTCGTTCACCCAGGAGGCCAAGGGCTTCAAGGAGGGATAGGCCTGTGGGAAGAATGGCGTTGGAAGAAGGGGCTGTTAAGCTTCTGTAAGTCCCAGTCCTTTGAATTGCTGTGAGGCAAACATTTTAAATGCAAATTAAAATTAACTCTGCTTGGTCAGCCAGTAATCTGTGGTGCTAAATTTCTACAATGTAAGCAAGAAAAAGTGTTTTTTAAGGTTTGGCTTCATCTGTACATCTGTGAAGTTTCAGTCTGGCTTGGCGTTCCTTATGAAAAACTGACCAGTCATAGCAGCTAAGTAGAACAGAGGCGTTTCTCCCATTTTGCAAAACAACCTGCTGCACTGCTGCAACTACCAAAAACTGTGCATAGCGCTCAGAAGTACCTTACTGTTCCACATCTCCGGGACAATATTGTTGTATAAACTGATGGACATCAGTTCCAGCTGGGATGACATCACCACTAGGCCTTTGAGAGCTTTCAGCAGATCTTTTAAACTCGCTGCAATGACTGCCAGCAGACGATTGTATCTGTGCAAAATCAAGGCAGGTATTCTTGTTAAAAAAAAAAAAGCAAACTAATCCAATGCTGTGATTTTAATAACTTCTGTGAGCATATATGACTGTGCAAACTTGGGGATATCATGTTTAATTTATATGCTGGTTTTCAACAAAATTCTCAACATTATATCATATGCAGCTCTGTAAAGGCTGTTTAAATTCATTTGCAGTGTAACTAGGTATTAATATGTCTGAAATAAGAATTGTGGGCAGGGGAGGGGGGTATTTGTTTCTTTCCACATTTCAATGTCAGAAAAGTTATAAATAGTTCATAACCATAAGCTGAAACACAAATTTATGTGCTGTGAGGGTAATGTAAATGGGGTTTGTCCTCAAATGCCCAAATAGGTGGAGAAAGGCAGCTCCTGCCTCATTTACCTGCCTGCAGATCTATTGTACCCACTTGTTCTCGCTAGCAGTTGCTCCTCTACTAGTTTCAGTTTACTAAACTGTAAACTCTGAGCGGCACCTGCAGAGGAGTCCTGCAAAGAGCTGGGTTAAAGTAAGACTTGTACCTGATCACTTCCTGCGCCAAAACAGTGTTCATGGACTCCTCATACAGTACAGGATATCTCAACATTACTCTCTGCAAGTCAATGGGCTGAGGCACTTTCTCCAATATATCTTTTGAGGTCTCCTCCACAATCTAGAAAATGGATGGAAAAGACGTAGAAGGAACAGTTTGTGGGTGGAGAACTTCAGAGTAGCTTATTTAAACTGGGTGAGAGAAGACTTGTGTCTAAGATGAAAATGAAATTGTTTCTACTCTGCAATTTGTTTCTGCTCTCACATTACATATGCAATTTATACTGCAGTCAGGCTGTAAGGTCACCTGACCTTTAAGGTGGGTGCCTTTGCTCCCTTGAGATGTCTACTGTAAGACAGGTAGAGATCTTCACATAGCAAAGTAGTTCTGTAATGAGGACAATGCTATCCATTTATTTTTTTTTAAATATTCTGACCCTTCACAATTCAAATTCTGAACAAAAAAGTGCTGAATTCTGTGATCTGTAGAAATTGTGCACATTAAGTGCTGCTGAATATTCTTTATTTTGCATAACATTCTGCATGATTTTTAGTCATGGCCAAGAACTGTCATTGCCTCCTAGAACTCTTATTCTGCTTCCTTTCTGAGATTTCAGGAGACATTGCCCAAACACTTTTCAGGTGATCTTCTCAGCCATAAGGACAAGAAATGTTTTTGTTTTAAAATGAAAGGGAAGCTGAACTGTGCCCATTGTGGCATTCTGAGCCATTTCTGTTCTGCCTCTTGGTATACAGGCAGCTCTTTCTATTAAAAAGTATTTCTGGGCGGGGGTATGCACTAGGTTCATATTCCATTAGGGTAGCAGGTTTACAGACCTCTTCCCTGCTCCGCCCTCCTGCTGTTGATGTCTTTGGCTGAAGTTGAATAATGGCCCCAAGTAGTGCAAAAGTCTCATTCTGAGCAAAGGTGATGTTAGCATTGTCATGCAATCCAAATATCTCAGGCATGTCGTTGAGGGGAAGGCTCTTGATGTACTGGATGTATCCCTATGGGGGGAAATCAACACGCAGAACAATGAGGAGGAATTTCTTTAAGAAAGACCAAAAGTAAACCACTGAAAGAAAGGGAGAAATGGTTCCAACAGTTATAAAAGAACACATTCTAATAAGATTGTTCACCTACCAAGTTGTGCTTATGAAATATTATGTGTTTGCCTGGTTAACCTGTCACTCAGGGTTTCAACCAAAATTTGTATTTTGGAAGAACTGTTGCAACCCCTGCGACAGCATCGTGCATTTTGTTTCAGGAACAGACTCATCTGTGAGAGATCTTCCCAAATCTGATACAGACTCCTAGAAAAGTGGTTCACTTTTGAATCAACCAGGCACATGCAGAACAACACACTCAGACTAGTATAGGTTTAATTCTTTCTATAGTGCAGTGTGTTTGCCTACTAGTTTACGCAACTTACATTAAGGTCATAAGCGGTACTAATCTGTTTGTAGACACCAGATTCTGAGTAAGAAAACTCTGGATTGAGAACATCTGGGTTGTAGAAATCTTCCAAAATATTCATGATGCAGCGCCTGTCCCAGTCATCCGTCACCCGGCCTCCATAGTTAATCTCACCTGCTGTGTACTTCAAAACCTACAAAAGGACAAGGACATAGAAATGGCAAAGGAGGCTGTGGCTTGGGTACAAGAGAACAATTTGGGGCACTTGCCAGCCCTCTTTTTCCATGCCAGAAGCCACCTTGAAGAACTGAAACACTCTCCAGGGAAAGAGCACCCATGGAAGAGATCACCTTGCTGTGCATGAGTGCAAGTGCCTTCTGTCATGCACAGGGATCCAAGTCTCCACCATCTACTTACACACGTCAAAAACTTTTTTCTCTGGCTGGTTCAGCTACAGCATTAAAACAAGCACAAGCTTGGATTGGCTTCCCTCAACTACTCCAAACACATGGTGTCTGATGTTTTAATTTGTTGGAAGCCGCCCAGAGTGGCTGGAGCAACCCAGTCAGTTGGGTGACATACAAATAAGACATCATCATCATTGTTGTTGTTAATATTAGCCAGGGAAATAAGGGTATACCATGCTGAATGCAAGAAATGGATTTACAGTTAACAAGCGTGGTAGCAATGGATAAGAGGGTGCGGAAGGTTTGACAGTGGCTGGGAAGGCACGGCTAGATGGGCACGGTTTAATATTGTTGTTGTTGTTGTTGTGGTTGTTGTTGTTGTTGTTGATGACAAATACTGACTAGTGATGAAGGCTGTGCAAAGGCAGATTATTTGGACTAGTCCAAATGAACCCAGTTTAAATATTTTGAGTAATTTAAACTACACAATATTTAGGCCCACTCCTTGGAGACAGATAATCCTGTCGCATCAGAGCATGTGGCAAGAGGGGCCTTAAGTATATTTTGCTGCAGCTGCTGTGTTGCAGCGTTATTCTACTGCTTCTCCAGAGAACTGTGGAGAAATGGTGAATATGTTCCGCCAAACGTGGAACTTCAGGCTGTTTAGCAGTATTTCCCATGAGGCTAGAAGCACTATCTGACCCACTCCCCAAGTATTAGGTCACCTACATAATCCGTCTTCCTTGGAGGATTTTATTCCTTCACAGACATTTTCTCACACCCCTGATTTCACCCTTGGCATGCACCACTCTCCTCCTACCTTGTAAGGGATGTTTTCATATTCATCCAGAAACATCTTCAGCTGGCTGATGCAGATGCGCAGATCTCCGTCTGTGAACTCATAAGGAATGTTGAACCCCAGTGGCCCAAACTTCCTCCTTTCCAGTGCATTCCCATGGAAGAGGCAAAGCGAGAGAAGCAAGGATTTGAACTCCGTAAGCTGCAAGATGCAGAAATAATGAGGACATGTATTGAGAAAAGGGTCCTAAGTGTCACAGGATAAGATGCTGCTACAACATTTCCATTAACAGTTGCTTCTAATGAGCAAGAAAGGCATGCCCCCCTCCCAAATCTGCCTGCACACCACTGTAATGTGGTACCCTTTGTGCAAAGAGGCACAGTAGCAGTGGAGAGGAACAGGGACTGATTCAGAAGCTTATGGTAACCAATCCCTTGGCGGGAGAAAGCTAGGAATGAGGAAGTGCTGTCTGAGAACTTGGAAAATGGGACCTCTTACCTTGGTACAGGAGTTCAGGAAGTCATTGTTCAGGCTTAAGTAAGATTTCAGCAGATTAGCCTTTACTCCCCGTGGTGGCTCAATGGTCATCTTAGATCCGTTCTGGAGGATGGACACTGGAAACTTGTTACTAGGCAAACTGGTGAGCCAAAGTCTGAAGTCCCGGTGCACCTAGGCAATTGAAATATGAGCCATGTATAATCTGAAAGAGTTCCGTTCTACTTTTTAGAAACACCTTTCTACGGAAGAGTCTTTTCTCACTCCCATTAGAGAAGTGTTCCTCCATCACAAAGAGACCAGCAAATATATTTCTCATAGGAGGGGACAGTCAACGTTTCTCCTAAGATATCCTGCTTACTCCTGTGAGCTGTCAAAGACATCCTGCAATAAGAATGTGTAAGGAGAACATCGAGAGAAAGTGCCACTTGCTGCGAGTTCCTTTACAGAAGCAAAAAAAATGCTCACTGGAGATTCTATTTCATCTTATTATCTTGCTCCCATATGGAGCCTCAAGATTCTGCAACTAATCCCTACCTCCTCCACCTTTTTTGCCCACCTTCTTGTTGGCAGCATAAGCATGCTCTGCAAAGAAAGTAGAAAACTCTAGAAAGATTGTGCCTAACTACTGCTGTCCCATCACTTTAACAATTTTTCTACAGATACCTATAAACATTTACATAAGGATCCAGGGAGAAACTTTATGGCTTCTGCTGAAAATGCACAGGGAAGCAAAAGCTGAAGTCCATCTGTGTGTCACCTTGTCAGGGTTGATGCCTTCAATGAGTCGTTCCAAAGAAGGCATCCAGCTTGGAGCCAGGTGGCAATTCTGGAAGAAGACCCACTTCCCACGCTCCATAGCACTGCGCATCATGGCTTCTGCCCGGGGACCCTAAGAAGCAACACAGAACAACACAGCCACAGGTCAGTCAGGGTGGCTGTACTATGTCAGCAGGGAATTAGGGAAGGCAGAAAAACTAAGAAAGCTGAAAAAACTAAGAAAGCCAGGTGGATGGACTAAAAGGGAGTTGGTAGGCACCACCAATCGACTGATTGTCAGGGCTTGCATAACACTGTGCACTGAAACCCTGATGCCCATTGGGCCTTTTGTGTGCATTGCTACACGAAAAAGGTCACCTGACAATGTGGCACCAAGTGATTGACAGGTGAGGTGGGGGATGTAAGGATTTGGGCTGCCAGCTGGATCCAGTTCCCCACCCCTGACTTAAGGGCGGTAGGCTCTCAAAGTCCATGTCTACCTGCAGGAGACACCCATACAAGATGCAAGAAGGAATACTGCAGGACAGCAAACATGATTAAGAGTTTCACGACACTAACAAATTTATTATGTCACCAGCTTTTGTGGATCAGAGTCCACGTGTCATTACCCAGAATTCCTGAAAGCAGGAAAGTGTGTGAAACAGGTTTGCAATATTTTGTAGTGGGTGCTGGAAGAGCTGAATTCAGCCCCCCCCCCCCCCCCGCGCGAAACCTTGCACTCAGAAATGAAAACTCAGTGGTGGACTTGAACACATCCACTGCTCTTATACTTCGTTATCCACTCAAAGATAGTAATGGCAGGAATCTACTTCACAAAGTCCTTTGGAAAAGAGCTACAGAGCAATTAATGAGGATCAGCCATGTTTTAAGGGATGTGCAGCACTATAGCACTGGGAACTTACTTGTCCCTGTCCAAGAGAAATTGCAGATAGTTTCTTAGAAAACTTCATTTCTTCAGCAAATTTATAGAGATCAGCAGCTGGGTCTGTGCCGGGAGAGAGGACGAAGATAAGAGGTGTAGTAGCGGCAGATTCCTTAAACACCACAGAGAGGTTTGCAGTCTGAAATGGGAATAAAGGCGGGATTTTTCTATTAAGCACTGGTAGTGGACAATGGAGAAGATATTTGCTCAGAGTCAGTGCACAGCGTTTCCCCGTCTTATGCTTTGCTATCTAGTGTTGGGAATAAGGCCATGGCTAGACTTGAGAAAGAAGGCGGCAGGATGAGACAGTATGTGGTGATGGTTTTGCCAAACATCTATCTGCTCACCCCTCCTACCACCCACGCTCAACTGCTGGTAGCTACCTGAGGCTCAATGAAGGTCTGCCCCAAGTTGGCAGCCACAAAGTCCTGCATTGCATTGGTGACTTTGTCCCCTCGCAGGCAACGGAGGACCAGCAACTTCTGGAAGGCATCTAACTTGGCGTCCCACAGGCCAGGCAGATGCTCCCTGCAAGAGAGGAAAGGGCTGTGCCAGGTTTTCACATTTCACACTGAAAATGTAACAGGCATAGGGCAAGACAACAGGCTTCTCAGAGTGGATTTCGTGTGGTAACTATAATGGGATCAATCTTTGTGACAGATCACTTGATGGCTGTGCTCTAGCTCCACTGCTGGAGGCAATATGCCTCCATATACCAGATTCTAGGAATCATAGGTGAGCAGAATGCTGTTACACTCCGGTCCTGCTCAGGAGTTTCCATAGCATCTGGTTGGCCACTGTGAGAACAGGGCCTTTGGCCTGAGCCAGCAGGGCTCTTCTGATGTTTTTAAGGGGCTGGCAAGGTCAGTAACAAATCTCTAGCCATTTTCTGAGCAGAGTTACCACTGGCAAGCAGTGGGGGTGAGGGATGGGGAAGGGAGGGCAGAGCCAAACAAAAAACAGTGCAGGACCTACAACCCTACTGGAAACTGAAGGGGAAATGTCACCTGTGAGGTTCTGCGCTGTCAAAAATTGCTCGGAAACCATTCAGATTTGCCACAAAATCATCTGCAAAGCTGGAAAAATTGTGTAGGTTGGTCAAGGCCAAGATATCATTCCATGCTCTTTCGTATAACCATGCAGGAGCTGGATTATCCCGCATGGTCTTAACTGCACCACCTGAAATTAGGTATCGCCATTCATCCTGAATGTAAAAAAATCACAAATAATAGATAGGGAGAATTAGACTCTGCTTGTGAATTTTCCTTCCATGAACCATGGCCAGAAGTGCCAATGCAAGGAGGTGTTCACCTCTCTGGCCCACAGATGGCAGGCTTGTCAAAATGTTTACAGACTCTTGACGAGGGACCAGTCAGCATGATAAATTGTCGGGGCAACCATCACTTCCATAAGGTATGTTTGTGAGGACAGTTCTGCACTGGTCACAAGTTTAAGAACAAAGGTATGTAATACTGCTCCCCCTTCCCAGAAACGTAACTGTCAGGGAACTGACATCGGAGCCAGAGGCGGAGGCTAGGCTCTCAAGCGATGCTGGAGAAGGGCCCAGCAGGGGGAGAGGCGGCTCACCAGCTGGGGAAGGAAATCAGCGTAACACCAGGGATAAAGGGGGGCAGATGGGGGAATCGGCGAGGAGGCTCCAGGACTCCTCGCCGGAGATCAGCGAGGAGAGCACGGGTCCTCCGCTGCCCACACCCTCCCTGCGCAGAAGACTTCCGCGCAGGGAGAGTAGGAGGAGACTTGGGGTCAAACAGCTTTTATGCTGGAAAAGGTTTAAGAAACGCCCACTGACGGATTCTGCTAGCGACTGAACAGCCACGAAGTGAAGGGCTGTCCAGACAGAAAAGGTTTAACAAGGCAACCTAGCCAGGAGTGGCGACAACTTACGCATGAGCAACCCCTATATTTATTACAGTAACGTTCAGTGACAGTACTTTAGTTTGTTAAGGATGCTGGGATTTGTAGTTCTACAGTTCCCAGTATTCTTTTTTTTGGGGGGGGGGGAGGTAAAGCTTTAAATGTGTGTTGTATGTGCTTTAGTGTATGGTATGGATTTGCCCCAGGAATATATGTCTGGAAGCACACTGTAGCAGTAGCTCTACAAGTTGCAACTGCTATGGGGAACACAAACATTACATGGATGTTTTCTGCAGCAAACAGATGCACTTCTGCTCAAGTAAAGGGAAGTGGGTGCTTGTCATGTCTCCTTTCCGTCTGAAACAGCCTCCCATATCCCTCCCCAAGGGTCACCCAGTCACCTCACCCCTATAACAGATTTTCAGGGAGTTCATGGAGCTGCAGAGGGAAAGGGAAGGTGGGAATGCCTCATTCCCTGAATTCTGTTCCATTCACAGAAAGAGTTAGGATCAAGTTAGCAGGTGGTTGTCATACATGCATCTCTCTCTCTCTCTCTCTCTCTCTCTCTCTCTCACACACACACACACACACACACACACACACACACACCTGGCATAATCAGGTTTCCCAGATGCCTATATCTGAACATTGTGTGCCACCAGTGAAACACAGGGTAGTACCTTCATCCAATTTTAATAGGTGATGCTGCATTAAATCAATGGGCTATGCTTTAAGACATGGTTGCTGTACAGTGCGTAGTTACATGCTTTGAAAAACAGTCTCATAGCAGTTCATGATCGTACAGATACTTGCTTAAAAGGGTCTGAGGATGTAGTTTCACTGACCATGTCTATTTTGCCTTCATTCATCATGATCCGGATGCAGACCAGAAACGCAAACATGAGCTTATGCTTCTCAAAGAGGCTCCGACACACATTGCTGTAGAGGCTGAAGGTGAGGTACTTATTGATATTTGCTATTCGCTTCTTTAGGGTGTCTGAAAATAAGAAATCACAAAATAACAATGCAGACAGTGAGTAAGAGGAAATGACCCACAATATTGCCATACGCTTTAGAACTGTGTTCGTTATTCAAGAGGACTTAGGCCTGCACTAGTGAGCCAGAAAAACTTCTCATGCCTCCTGTCTGGTGCTGGCATACTGAACACTGCCTGAAGAAATAAAAACTGCTAGGATGGCTGAAGGCCATTTAAAAGCCAAGTGCTTTGCACTGATAAGGATACCAAGTTAAAAGCTAGTGCTTTAAAAGATTTCTCTCATACAGAGCTTGACAGTAGAACAATTTAGATATGGTGAGGGAAAGGCAGACGGCATCAGGAACACCCGCATCTCTGGATTACATACTAGTTCTACAGCATAAATGGCTGAATGTTGCCACCAGCATCACCTGAAATGATGACCATCTATAGATTCAGTAAAGTGGCTTTTTTTCCTGAACCCCATACAGAAATAATCTGGGATCAAGCTGAAGTTCATTGAGATTCTGCAACTCTGGCAATAAACTAGTAGGGGCTGATTATAATCCATAATGAGCAGGTGTACTCTTAAAAGGTTTGTGTGCCAATTTTATTCCAGCACTGAGCTCTACTGGATATTGAAGTGCAAGGATGAACAAATCTCCAGTCCTTCAAAAGTCTGAACATCTTCCAGAAGAACCGCAAGACCACCTATTAATTTTGGGATGGCTTGTAACAAACATAACGGGATATAGCATTTGGGATCACCAATGCATTACATTTTTACTTAGCTGAGGTTACTATCCTATGGCTAACAACTTTACTATGCAAACATAATACTTTAGAAACTCTGAACATTCGAACTATGAAATTGTCCCTTTAGCGTTGATCAGAGTATGGCCCCTATGTAGAGGGAAACTCTACAATTCTATAGTTCTAAGTGAGACACTGAGGGGTTTGGGATGGGATTCTCTTCACACACAGCACATTATCAGAGGTACCTGCTCTCTCAGCGTTAGCAATTCCTGTCAGAAATATGTTGAGGAACCATTCCAATGAATACTGGTACATGGGATCGACATTGGCCAAGTCTGAGACACAGAAGAAGAGGATCTGGGTGCGGACAGCCACAGGCACGTACTCCAGCCGGGTGATGTCAATATCCTTCTCTGTCTGTTCAGCTACCTTCACTTTGGCCTGCAGGAGATTCAAGACCGAGACAAAATTTACCATTCCATATTAAGTCAAAGCAAACAGCTGACAGGCTGCAGTGGAAGTGCAGATCAGTCACCAACCTGAATCTCCCCTGCTTTTAGCTTGGATGCCTCCAACACTTTGATAAGCTCCAGATCATCAACAGGGTTCCCCTCAGAAGAGCTCAAGCGGTACAGGATCTGATCTTCTATCTCCTTCAGCTCCTGTCGCATCTTGGCATTACTGACGATCAACTGGTTCTTGGCCTCTTCCAAGTCAGGCCGCTCTTCAGCTACCACTTGGCCTAGCAGCTGATCCTCTAAGCCACTGTAAAAAGAAAGAAAGCAACCACACATATTACAATTTGAACAACAAAGGGTCATATGGAATCTTCATGTTCTATTAGAGCTTGGTTTCAGACTTTCCCCAGCCGCAAACTGCATGCCCAGCAGGGCTCAAATTCACAGTTCCATCTATCAAGATTGATGGGATGCAACCTCTAACTCAGAACTACAGGTGGGGAAAAGCAGCTGACATGATTAAAGTGGAGGACTTTTAAGCCCAAGGAGAGTATCAGAACACTTGCTGGCATCAGCAATGAAAAGTAGAGCTGGTGTTACCTGGGGGATAGGGTGAAGTTAATCAGTGTAAGCTTGGTGGACAGCTCTGGTGTGTAGTGGGGATTAGGTAGGTTGGTGGTGATGTACATCTTGAAGTCCTCATGGTATGGAATGATTGTGTCTCCCAGCTTCAACACTGTGCTACCTTGCTGCTTATAGGTCTGTATATCAGGGAAACAAGTAAAAAGAAGCAGCAGCAACAACAAACATCTATGCAAACAGAAAAGACACAATTCTGTAACAGATAATACCACAACGTTCATAGCCAACTCCATCCAACAAATTCATGTTGTTGAGAGTGTACGGATAGTGTGGCTTGGGATAGGCAAAAGTAGATGGTAATGGTGAGTGCAGAATGGATTTTTGCAGAATTTCTGGGCTAGTATCAGTCCACAACCAGAAGACAGATTTGCCTGTCTCGGCACTGAAGCTGCTTCCTAGTCCCAGTTGGTCCAGCATATCAACACATATTAACAAGCATTTCTCTTTCCTTCATTTTATGGATGGTAACGGGGGAACAGCAGCTAATAGAGGCAACACCAGCTGTCAGGGGAAGAAGTAAGCCTTCTCCTACTGCCCAAAGCTTCTCAACTACAAATCTGCACCTTTGTAACCCCAATTCACACAGAAGATGCCAGTTCTTAAAGATGAAAGGCATTCCGACATTAGGGTAGCCCCTTCACTCAGTGCTGACAGCAGAAAAGTTGCCAGTGCCTGCTAATACTTTATCAAACAGGCACTGAAAAATCAGAGGCACCTGTTTTAGCAGGACAGGTTCAAGGGCTGGATCCAGTTCTTCACCAACGTTCTCCAGTAGGAACGGCTTTCCAAAACGAATGGCATTCTCCAAGCTGCGCAGGAAGTCCCGATCACTGAGCTTAGATGTATCTAACCCACTCTCTCTCTCCTGAAAAACAGAGAAGGTGCAGACAAACTCAGTACTGGTGATAAGTGGGGGCCTGCTTGTGTGAATGTGGAACAACAAATGGAAAATTGAGTAAAAGAAACATGGGGTGGGGGTGGAGAAATCTTGAGTATAAGCATCCACTTTGTTAATAAATTGAACACAGCAAACACCCAGACCTGCGACTCAGCTCTCCAATGCGTGAAAGCAACCCAAAGGAACACTTGTGTGATAACCACTTTCACTGCTCATATTTCTTCATGATAACAGTTCAATGCCTCGTTCTGCTTTTGCTTTTTGATCACGGCTTTTCACATTGAAAATCAATACTCAGAACTGGCAGCTGAACCTTCAAACCCATGAAGTTTGGTTTTCTGCTTTAAAATTATACCATATTTCCTTCATTTCATGATGGAAAGAGCAGAATTTTTTTAAAAAATAGTAATAATAAGATAATCAGAAGATTCAGATAACAAGGGTGTGTATTTTTTTTACATTTGCATTTATAGTTTGCAAACTGGGAATTTTAACAGTGAGGTGTAAACAACATGCCTTTATAGGAACAGAACTTCAATCTCAGAGATAGGATGGGGTATCAAATCCCCTGGTACCACTGAACTGGATTAATGACTTTGCAGAAGCAGAAGCCCTTACCAAGTTTTTTATCCATTTGTTGGCTTGTCCCTGGGGGTCTATGAAGAGAGTCCAGCGCTGAGAGAACTGAGTTATCATTCCATTCTCCACAGACAAGGTATCATTGGGTAGACCTGCAATCTGAATAAGAACACATCATTTTAACAGTAAACACAAATTCTGCATACTCTGCCCCTAAACAAAACTGCACTGGCAATAACATATGTTCTGCAGCAAGGAAAATAAATTTATGTAACCTGTGCAAAATATGTCAATCAAGCAAATTTTCCATAATTTAAACTTCTGCTAGCGGAGAAGAAGACAAGGTGAGGTGTGCAGTGCAACCCATTGTATAGTTATTCTGTGATTCACTTCTTCTTGAGTTTTGTCTACAATGGAATTAGGGCCCAGGAAACCAAAGCCATGTCCACATAGCTGTTCAGGGAAGTTTTTAATATTTAACGTTGTATTGTTTTTAACACTTGATTGGGAGCCGCCCAGAGTGGCTGGGGAAACTCAGCCAGATGGGCGGGGGTATAAATAATAAATTATTATTCTTCTTCTTCTTCTAGCTAGGATTCAGCCCCACAAGTTAAAGTTATTCAAAGCATGGGAACACATTTCAAAACAATTCAGTCAGTGTATACTGTTAAAATTACCTGCCACGATCGGATTTTCACTGGGTCTCCAAGTGTGCCTATCAGGTTTGGTTCTTTTGTGTGTGGAACATTATACGTCTCAAGCTTACTTATCCATTCATCATAAAGTGAATTGCGGTATTGACCCTGCAAAGGAAAACTATGCATCACTGATATTAAATCAGTATTACAGTTAGCTAAATTAGGCCAACATGCTGAAAAAGAGAATTGAGGCCCACATTCCAATGGACTGTCTAGCATTTTGTTCACACAGTAGCCAACAACATACCTATAGGAATCTCACGGGACATGAGCACAACAGCACTCCCCCCACTTGTGCTCCCAGGCAACTGGTATTTAGCAGTTCATCACTGGTTGGTGCAGTGGGGTGATGCTGAAGAGCCATCCTCCCAACGCTGGTGTTGCTGCTGTTTACAGTGTGGTGATGGGACAAGGCAATGGTGAGGTTGGGGCTACTCTGGTGCTCCTGCTGGGGAGCCTGTGAAGCCCCAGCCCTGCTGCTATCCTGCCCCTGCACTGTCCTGTTAAGTGGCAGCAATGCTGGTGTCAGGAGGGTGGTTCTGCAGCGCAGCCCACTGTGCAAACCACTTCTGTACACAGCCATCGTGACTAGTAGCCACTGACTGCTTTCTCCTTCATGGATTTATCAACCTCTCTTTCAAAACCACCCAAGTTGGTGGCCTTTACTGCATCACATGGTGGTGAAAGAGGACTTCCTTTGGTTTTTCCTAAATTGTCCAACATACAGCTTCATTGGATGACTGGGTTCAAGTATTAAGAGGGAAGGAGAAAGAATTCTCTCTATCCACTTTCATCTACACCCTGGATAATTTTCTATACTTCTATCATGTCCTGCTCCTTACTTGTATGTTTTTTCTAAACTAAACTGTTCCAGCCCCGTCCTAGTGTGGTTGCTGACCTTGAGCCAGACATCCTGGAGAGTGAAGTCAAATGGGCCTTAGAAAGCACTGCTAATAACAAGGCCAGTGGAAGTGATGATATTCCAGCTGAACTATTTAAAATTTTAAACGATGATGCTGTTAAGGTGCTACACTCAATATGCCAGCAAATTTGGAAAACTCAGCAGTGGCCAGAGGATTGGAGAAGATCAGTCTACATCCCAATCCCAAAGAAGGGCAGTGCCAAAGAATGCTCAAACTACCGCACAATTGCACTCATTTCACACGGTAGCAAAGTTATGCTTAAAATTCTACAAGGCAGGCTTAAGCAGTATGTCGACCGAGAACTCCCAGAAGTGCAAGCTGGATTTCGAAGGGGCAGAGGAACCAGAGACCAAATTGCAAACATGTGCTGGATTATGGAGAAAGCTAGAGAGTTCCAGAAAGACATCTACTTCTGCTTCATTGACTATGCAAAAGCCTTTGACTGTGTCGACCACAGCAAACTATGGCAAGTTCTTAAAGAAATGGGAGTGCCTGATCACCTCATCTGTCTCCTGAGAAATCTCTATGTGGGACAAGAAGCTACAGTTAGAACTGGATATGGAACAACTGACTGGTTCAAAATTGGGAAAGGAGTACGGCAAGGCTGTATATTGTCTCCCTGCTTATTTAACTTATATGCAGAATTCATCATGCGAAAGGCTGGGCTGGATGAATCCCTAGCCGGAATTAAGATTGCCGGAAGAAACATCAACAACCTCAGATATGCAGATGACACAACCTTGATGGCAGAAAGTGAGGAGGAATTAAAGAACCTTTAATGAGGGTGAAAGAGGAGCGCAAAATATGGTTTGAAGCTCAACATCAAAAAACGAAGATCATGGCCACTGGTCCCATCACCTCCTGGCAAATAGAAGGGGAAGAAATGGAGGCAGTGAGAGATTTTACTTTCTTGGGCTCCATGATCACTGCAGATGGTGACAGCAGTCACGAAATTAAAAGACGCCTGCTCCTTGGGAGAAAGGCGATGGCAAACCTAGACAACATCTTAAAAAGTAGAGACATCACCTTGCCAACAAAGGTCCGTATAGTTAAAGCCATGGTTTTCCCGGTAGTGATGTATGGAAGTGAGAGCTGGACCATAAAGAAGGCTGATCACCGAAGAATTGATGCTTTTGAATTATGGTGCTGGAGGAGACTCTTGAGAGTCCCATGGACTGCAAGAAGATCAAACGCATCCATTCTTAAGGAAATTAGCCCTGAGCACTCACTGGAAGGACAGATCGTGAAGCTGAGGCTCCAATACTTTGGCGACCTCATGAGAAGAGAAGACTCCCTGGAAAAGACCCTGATGTTGGGAAAGATTGAGGGCACAAGGAGAAGGGGAAGACAGAGGACAAGATGGTTGGACAGTGTTCTCGAAGCTACAAACATGAGTCTGACCAAACTGCGGGAGGCAGTGGAAGACAGGCGTGCCTGGCGTGCTCTGGTCCATGGGGTCACGAAGAGTCGGACACGGCTAAACGACTAAACAACAACAATCCCTTGGTAGAAAAAAACAGAAGCTAAGCAAAGTCTGCAAAACCTATTTAAATCCAACTTTGAAGCAAGCTCGCTTCCCCCTTTTTAGTTACCACACTTGGAAAAATAATCAAAACAAAAACTGTAAAGTAAGTTAAAAATAGTGCTTACTTAAAGTCTTGCACTCATTTTCAACAAACACCAGCAAAAACAATGCAGGTAAAAATACTTCTAGGTTACAAAATTCATAGTTAAATTATAAGATTCAACTATGTCTGCACATGGGGAGAACACAGACAGACAACTATCTCCATCAAATGCATGGTGCAAAAGGACAGAGAGAGAGAGAGAGCAACATATGTCTCATTTCTTCCTGCCACTGGAAACAGGGGAAATGACATCACACAGAGCTCTCTCCTCACCAGTTACATTCCTATGGTCTAAGACTGCCCATTTAGTAATTAATTGGTCTGTGGCCATTGGCCCCCAGACTTACTAATTAACAAGAATATGCACTGTTAGATTTTGACTGCAACTATCCCAGTTTCAACACTTGGATGTTTGACAATTCAGCACTATGCCACTATGGTTTAGCTACAATGTGGGATGCAGCAAGAATTTGACCCAGAAACATATTTTCTCTTGGGGAACTTATTCTGAACCAGAACTAAATCAAGACAATGCTCAGGTATTCTGGAAAATAAAATATTTTTCCTACTCACTGTAAAAGGGCCCATGTATGCTATAAAGCCAGCTGAAGCCAACACATCCCCTGCAATATTGTTAATCATATAATCCAGGTTCTGGACTGTTTCCTGCCAGCGTATCCTTTCATCAGCCAGGCCATTAATCAACTGGAGAAAAGAAAGACTGACATTAGTTTCTTTCTCAAAGAAGCTCCACCAAACCCCAGCAGAAAATGCCGCAGGAAAACAGTGACTGGGACTGCCCCCTAAGCCCAACTACTGATATATGGGAAATGAAAAAGCAGATTTGGCTCCCTGCTGTGATTAAGGCCACAAAATTACTATCAATGAGGATTTGGTAAACTTACTCGGGCAGACATAACTGTCAGAAGAAATTGGTGGTTTTACTAGTATCCCCCCCCCCCCGAGTTTCTGGATTGCAACTTGGAGATTGTGTCTGTCTCTTTAACAGCTCTGATGATGTGAAACAAAAGAAAGCTGTTTCTTCGCCCCCAGTTCTTTCCTTCAGCCTCTGCTCCTGTCTTCCATCTTGCCCCAACAAGTGGTAGGTGAGGCCTGGTGAAGGGAATGGGGGAGGAGACTCCACAGTTGTGGCCGTGGCCCTTACCTTGTCAGCCCGACCCAGTCTCTGCTCACACTGATCACACTTCATCTCGAGTTCCTCTTTTGTGGCCAGAGTACCTTGGTATTTGGCCTGCAGGTTGGCAATGCCATCTTCCACCTCTCGAAGACGCTCCTTGGCCTCATCCAGAATCTTCTGTGTGGCCTGGAGGTCTTCTTCAGCCTCCCTCAAGGCTTGCTGTGGAGAGAGAGAAATTTTTGTGATTGTCAAGTTCTGCCATAATTCCAAGGAAAATAATTGTGGTTAGCAGCAATGGGGGCGGTCAGAGGCTCCATTCCGTTTTAGGTGTACATGCAATAACTTTGAAGAAGCCCTGCTGTAGTTCTTACTCGTTTTGGCTCCACAGCTTTTGCCACGAAGTGATACTTATGCATGGCCCTGACCCACTGGCAGATAGATGTGCAGGCTTTGGACACTTTGGCTATGGCTGCTGGCTGAAATTCTTCACTGTCGATATATGGCTGGATCAACTTAATTACTGAATCTGCAATGTTATCCTGAAAGGGTTAAAGAAGAGATTATGAGTGCTGGGAGCATCAAGGTCTGAGACATCAGGGGAGTCAGCTGTGAGGCAGAACCAAACCCCATGGCAAAAATTCATCAGTGTGGCAGGAAAAGCATAAACTCCCAATTGTGCACTCCCTTCTTTGTTTCTAGCTTCAAGCCAAGCTTATGCATTGCTTGTTCATTCCTTCAAGATGGCTTTTATTACTGCAAGGCAATGTGTTTGGTTTGTGGGCAATACAAGCTATCATTACCTCCCCGAAAAGTGGAAGGAAAGGAAACCATTTATTTTCATCTGCTGGTTCAGGCCAAGAATCAAAAGGTGAGTAGGCCAAGGAGTGTCCAGTGACTAATCAAAGTCAAAAGGACAGCTGAGTATTCCTCGCATCACATCCCTTAATTGGGAACATCAACACTGACATTTGCTTCATAGCCAGCTTGTGACTACAGATAGATGCATGGTCCATGTTTTACGCAACCTTAACCTGGGAATAAATCGAGCCATTTCCTCCCAAAATTGGGAAGTAGATGAACTTGACCCGCTTTCCCCATTTCACAGCCAGGGATTGCTTGCACACCTCCCAGATCCCTGGCTGTCAAATGATAGCTTTGTGTGGCTAAGAGAACTCTCCCCTAGCTAAGGGAAGCATCTGGGGCAAGCAGGCTTCACCTTGTAAAACCCTTTAGCCTGAAGGATTCTCTGCAGATATAAGGTGTTTATTCCCACCAGCAGTTTCACTGGGTGTGGCTTCTTTCAACCCCTCTGTTTAACTGAATTGTTGTTTAATTGCTACATTTAATGGAATAAGGTACTATAAAGGGGCTGCACCTCCTAAGAAATGTGGGGTGGTTGGTCTCCAACAGGGGTTATACCTGTGAAAATTAATCTTAGGGGCAGGAGACTACTGGAGCAACAGGGTCCCCTGTGAGTAGTGGCATTTCCACCTTGCCCCTACATAAAATCATTTTTCAGGTGCATCTTTTCAAAGCAGCCCTGATGGGCATCAATGGAGACGACTGCTTTGAAAGATTTCACTGTCACCAAATGCTTCCTTACCAGGAAAAGCCCTTGCTGAACTTCTCCTGGCTGTGTTTTTGGGATTTGTGGCATGGGTGGGAGGATATTAAACCAAGAGTTCTTGTCACCCTTGGATTTTAATCTACTCCAGAGAAGAATCTGAGGATTTGCAAGGATGGCTGCTTCTCTGAAACGCACACCGTGAGACCCTGGAGCTCATATCCAGGCTTGAGCCAAAAGAAAATAAAGTGGGGAAATGGTAGATGCCTCCTCCCTCCCTGCCAAATACATCAGATTAGGTGAGGTGGTGAGGGGAGGAAAAAGGGGCATCCAGAAATCCCTACTCAGAGATGTAGCATATTGGATGTATTATTTCTCTGAAATATATGCCCATTAACTAATTAAATTGAGCTTTACTAGCACAAACCAAAAAGCTATGAGAGAAAAGCATTTGATTGACTAGATGGCAAGCTTAAGTCTCACAATTATGCCAGCTACACTAGTACTTAGGCTTGCCCTTTTCTTTTTTACTAGCCCTCGCTCCTGAGCTTTTAATAACAACTCCCTCTGTAGGAACAGGAGAAGCCAAGACAGTTTTATTCTGGTCAGCATGGAAGAGAGAGAATGACTGAATGACTGACTGACTACTATGGTACTTACCTTATCATATTTAAACAAGCTTTCAAGAAATTTCCCTGGGTCCTGAAGAAGGACTTTGCCAGGTTCCCAATAGTCATCTAATTTGGAACCTAGTTTCTCTCCTGCCACTTTCTTGGGCTTGATGCCCTTCATAATGCAGACAGCTTCAATCACCATCTTCACTCCAAGTGGAGGACGCTGCATCGCTCGCACCTAGTTGGAAACACGGGGGAAAGAAGTGGATCTGTAATTCAGTATAATGCCACATCTGCTGGAGGGCATTCCTAACTATCCTGGACTTCAGTACTGAGGCATGAAATAAATCAAGATTAGAATATGGTCTTTAAAAGAGCACCACCATTCATAAAGCTGAGCACCCTTTCTCTGATCATTGACATTGTTTATATAATGCTATCCATGCACACAGCACTTTACAAAGAAAGAAAGGACAGGTCCCTGCCCCCAAGGGGCTTACTGTCTACAAACTGACACAAGGAAGACAACAAAGGAAGGGGTAAAAGGGGCAAGAATATGATATTACTTCAGCGACATGTATTTAAGCTTAGTTATAATGGGGGGCATGAGGACTAGCGGGGTTCTGCTAAAGGCTTCATGGAAAGGTAGGAGGGGTTTGAAGATAGGATGGCATCATGGGGATATTCTGGGAGGCTGCAAAGAGCAAAAGACCTTTGGGCAGCAGAGGGTGGCAGAGAGGGACAAGTGAAGATTACAGGCAGGAATGCATCAGGATATATGAATGAAGAGGGATAAGGGACCATGCGGATAACTGAATAGGTAAGAAGTCTAGGAACTTAAGGAAGTGTATCATATGGCCAGCATTATAAGAGAGTTGAATGCTTTTTGACAACCAAGTGCTGGACTGAGGTGAGGGGAACAAAAATGAGGCAACGATGCTGAGAAAAGATTGCAGTGATTAAGATGCAAGACGACCAGGGCCTGAATCAGCTTTTGCCAAGATGTCAGAAAGAAAAGGACCAAGGGAAAGAGGGAGAGGGCGTTGTACCTTTTCAACAGGGTAGATGGTGGTGTTATCAATGAATACTGATAGTGTGAGGGGGTTGGGACAAACAATGAGAAGTTTGGTCTTGGATGTAATGAGTTTGAGACAACAATGGAACTACCAAAAAGAAATAACCAGTGAAGACTTGTACATGTGATATCAGATGAAAGAGGGAAATTCTAGGCTAGCGAGGCAGAACTGGGCATTAGCAGTGTATAGGTGGTACTTAAAGCCACTCTACAATGTGTGCAGAGGAAGAACAGCAGAAAGGGAAGAATAGGAACCACAACACAGAAGGAAACACCAAAACAGCGGCACACGTCCTCCTGTCTTGTACTCTCTACAAAGACCTGAGGAACGAGATAATCACCGCACTTGTACTAACCATCCCAGGGTGCTCAACCACTGCCACAATGTCCTTTCTTCTATCAGATCAAAATGAGCAGATAACACAGAAGGAAAGCAGGAAAAGAGATTTCTTGTATGAAAATGCTGAAAGAGCAATTAGGCATGTAGGAAAAGAATTCATGGAGGGCAGAATCATGGAAACTTAGGGCAAAAGGGGAGCAAGAGAGAGTGATCAATTTGAAAGGGAGAATAGAGGTCAAGGGGAATGAGGACTAAATAGAGACCTTTGAATTTGGTAGGGAGGAGGTGGTCAGTGATTTTGGTAGGTACAGTTGAAGAGGTGAGAAAATTTGCAGGAGAGAAAACTGAGATACTGGGAATACACAGCATACCCCAGTAGCCTGCAAATTGCAGGTAGATTAAAAATTGGACAAGAGATATTTTTTTTGAGACTAGTGGAAAGGATAGAATCCAAAGTAACACTGAGAGAACATTCTGTCAACTTAAGGATTTCTGCTTGTGCAATTGAATTTTTTCTCCTCCCTGCCATGCACCCCTTAAATCTATTCTAGGGGTTTCCCAACCCCATAAAGCAGAATTGGAAGGGGCATGGAGTGTGTGCAAGGGGGGGGGGGAGAGAAGGGGACAAGTTCCACTGCACAAGCAGACAGGATAGGCTTGCTGAATACTACCCAGTGGCATGTTTAAATGCAGTAGTTTTGAAGGTGTGGTTCTTATTTCTTGGGAGGAGAGATGATAGCTGCACTGAATATGGCTGCTTCTTCAGGTTTGAACCACCACTTACTTAGGTTTGATTTACACATTATTTACACAGCGGGTGGCACTGTGGGATGTGGGTGGCGCTGTGGTCTAAACCACTGAGCCTAGGGCTTGCTGATCAGAAGGTCGGCGGTTCAAATCCCCACGACGGGGTGAGCTCCCGTTGCTCGGTCCCTGCTCCTGCTAACCTAGCAGTTCGAAAGCACGTCAAAGTGCAAGTAGATAAATAGGTACTGCTCCGTCGGGAAGGTAAACAGCGTTTCCGTGCGCTGCTCTGGTTCGCCAGAAGCGGCTTAGTCGTGCTGGCCACATGACCCAGAAGCTGTCTGTGGACAAACGCCAGCTCCCTCGGCCTGTAAAGCGAGATGAACGCTGCAACCCCAGTGCCGTCTGCAACTGGACTTAACTGTCAGGGGTCCCTTTACCTTTACCTTTACCCATGCCTAGTGGCATGAGGAAAAAAGAAGACTGGGTTCATAAACCTTTCATAGTGTAAAAAAGAGAATTTCAGGACATGAAGAGCAGTAAGTGTCCAAATGCTAGGGAGGCCAGTTGAAAAAGACAAAGCTCCCAAACCTTTAATAGCTATGGAAAAGAGGGATGTTAACAGCTGCAGCATATAATATAAGCAACACCAGCTGAAAGTCCTCCTTCTACTTAACTATTAAAGGGGCCCAGTCTTCTTTTTCAGCAGGTAAATGTTTCAAATGCTCTCTTCTGCATATCCATTAAGGATGCAGGGCCCTGACCTTCTTTGTTGAACTCAAGTATGAGGAACCTTTGGCTGTTCAGATGATGCTGAACTACAGCTCCCATCAGCCCCAGCAAGCATGGCCAATGGTTTCTCACATCTGGTCTAGATCACTTAGTATTGCCTAATTTATGGCACAATCTTAACCATGTCTACTCAGAAGTAAGCCCTGTTGAATTCCATGGGGCTTACTCCCAGGTAATTGAGGTTAGGACAGTGAGCCTTAGTCACTCAAACTATATGAGTGAACAATATTGTGCTTGGCATTATATGAAAGCTGTCCCTGTTGTCATATCTTTGAAGATGGTTTCATGTTTGCAAGTTGTCACTCAATGTTAGAACCACACTGAATGAGAAAAGAACATTTGAGCTTGAACTTTCCCCGGTTTAGATTATTGTCATATGACCTCTGTGTCAATGTATGTATGTATGTATGTATGTGTACTTGGAAGCTCCACTAAATTTCCTTTTGGGTAAGTGTGCATTCAGTTATGGATAAAACCACTTGATGCAAATAATGGCTGAAGTGTCCCAGTGTTTGCCATCAGATGGCTAGGTAGGTATGCATGCAAGAGAAGAATCTCAAGAATGTCTTTTTGGAATGCAATGGGATGAGCTCCCCTATTATGTATCAGTAGGGCTACAGGCTGGGAAAGTACTGAGCATACTAGAGCTGATGAGCTTGCATTGCATTGCCACCCGTGAGCAGAAATTGTACAGACAGGATGGCAGTGATGATCAATACAAAAGGCAGCTGCCGGATATAGGAGTACAATACTGGATAGAAACTAATCGTACCAATTTGTCAATTGGCTTCCCATATAGCTTTAACACAGCAGTTTGCAATCAGGACAATTAGCAGCCACTAATACTTGATCTTTGTGTTGTGAAAAGTTCCCACTGCTGGTTTCTGCAGAAATAGGTATAAGAGAACTCCAGGCTACAGTTTGCTCCCAGGGTTCCAGAGGTAAGTTACAAAGAGTGGCTAAAAAAAGACTACATGCATTGTTGTTTTGCTACTGCACCAGTGGGGTTTTGATCACAGAATTGCTGAGTTGGAAAGGACCCCGAGGGTCATTTACTCCAACATCCTGCAATGATGTTGATGCAAATAAAAATGCAAAGTGAATCACTTGGCTCACAGGATTGCTCCAGGGTGGTTGTGGTCTGTGTGTGAAGAAGCTGGGAGATAGTATCCAAAGGGCAGAACAAGTATTTATGTAGGGCCCTGAAACTTTTCCCTGACCATGAGCAATCCTACTTGATCCTCCTTTATATTGTAAGATTTAACCAATTATTATCTGCATGCTTTCAATATAAAAGCTATTTTAACACCCAAATGCATGGAGAAAGTTAACACTAAAATTCTCAAGGTGTGGAATTCAGATAACCGATACTAGGGGTGTGCATCAGCTCTGTGTACTTCCCAAATTAATGAGGCAAATAGGGATGATTTGGGTAAGGTTTTCACATGCTTGAATCAGACTGACTGGAGACTCCTTAAAGTCCCAAGTTCCTCTGTAGAATTGAGTGCCCCCCATGCTGCTTTTCAAAATGAGTGCTGCATTCTTTCCCAGGGGAAAGATTCTGTATCTCCCAACGATCTCTGTGAGTTGGGAGGAGAAGACTGTCTACTTACTTGCATGGGTTCTTTGCTGGGTAACAGGCTCTTTGTACAACCCCCCACCCCCACCCCTGGAATGTATCTGCATACAATTTGGCAGACTTAATCAACCCTAGCAGAGCTCCTATATCTGCAAATTTCATCAAATTCTGTGAAATGAGAAAAAATTATAGCCATGTTTAGATTTTCCATTACAGAATGTAGGAAAAGCAGAGCTTTGTTTTTAGTAGAATGAATTTGATCCCCCCCAAAATGAGTCAAACTGGAAAGATGGGAGTGACTCCAAAAAAGACTGGGCTTCTTTCCAAAGCGGAAGATACAAGTCAAAATCTTATGGTTGGTGCACACCTCTATTAAACGTCTTACTTAGGCAATGATAGCATAGGTGGGCACAAGGGAGACCTCCCTGCATTTTAATAAGCAAATTGCATCTGCTCCCTCCAGGGTTCGAAGAACCAGAACATGCTCTCACGGAGACGCTCCAGAGTTTTCCTCCTGGATACAGTTGACAGAGGAAGTGAGTTTGTGGAGACCCTGAAATTTGTTTATCCCAAGGCAGATGGTCTTCAGGAGAAAGACTTTGACTGGCTCTTTGATTGTCCTGAGACAGAACAGTTTCTTGAGTCTTTCTGCAACATAGTGGGGGAGGAGAATGTATCCAGTTCTACAGAACTGGAGGCCTATGAGAAACTGGTCATTTCCGGGAAGCCTGTTCTGGAAGGTGAAGCACTGGAACAGGTGTTGAAGACCTGCCGCCAAGCCTCTCAGCTCAGGTGTGCTATGCAGGAGAATGACACCCTGCCTCTCGAGACACTTGAACAAGAGGTGCAGACGCTGAAGAGCCAATGCGCCTGTCGGGTAAAGCGGCGCACCAAGCTCCAAATTCGTCTAGCCAGCTTGAAGCGGGAGCTCTGTCATTCGGCTGAGAAGAAAGAGAAAGCAAACCGGGAGCTGAAGAAGGCACACCTGCGGCTAGAGCCAGAGAACTTTCAGAGCAATGATGCTCTCAGCCAAGCCTGTAAGAAAGTAAAGGAGCTGATGCAATGGCACAGGAAGCCTGCAAGCAAGCGGCAGGAAGCCTCAATGGCAGCAGCGGACCTGGAACATTGCCTCGAATTGGAAGAAAAAGTCACAAAGGCTTTATTGGGATTCTCACCAAAGGTCTTGCCAGATGTTGTCAGCGATGTGGAAGCTGATCAAACAGTTCTGGTGAAAAGGGGGCAGGGAGACTCCTGGGAAAAACTGGATACAGGGTCTATGGAAAGACGAGCTCAGAAAGTGCTGCTAGATAGTAAGAGTACAATCTGCAATGATGATTCTGAAGGTCACAAAACGACATATGACATGCTGAAAAGCCAAGTTCTCCCCAAGGGGCAGCTGGGCAATAAGAACGAGCCAGAGTTTACTTGTAAAGCTCTGCTGCAAGAAACGGACCGAATGGAAAGTGAGAACTTCAGAACCGTTCAGGATGGTTGTCAAGGAGGGTTGAAGATGCGGGGAGAAGCTGCTGAAATGGAGCATGCCAAAGATGACAAGCTGAGCAGCTATCAGGAAGAACTGGAGCGCATGGCACTGGCTTACATGTGCAGTCAGGGAAAGGCACTTGTGACCTCTGCAAACATTAAAGGAATTTCATATACCTTGAAATGGGCAGGAAAGGCCCTCAAGGCTGCTAAAGAGAACAAGGTAGGTCACTAGCTTCCTGGCTTAAACAAACAGGGTTTAGTAAATGACAGTAAGCACCTGTAATACAATAGTCTCTGCAACACAGAAATGCATTGAGAGAGAGATACGAATAATAAAAGAGTGAGACTCTAATTCACCTGTTGCACTTGGTGAATGGGTTTGAACCACTAGACATTTTTCACCTGTAGTGAATGCACTCTTTTTGTCACACAAGCCCCTGCTTGGCTCTGCATTCATGAGAGCTGGTGTTTGATTCTGTCCACCTCTGACTGTATCCATCCACCAAGAGCCAACCCGTGTACATTAAAATTTTGTGGAAATAGAGGCTGAAACTGGCAGGTTTGGGATAAGGGACATGCTTCTGGCGAAGAGGAAACAAATGAGTGGTGGTGGTGGTGAAAGCAGTTTCTCTAGAGCAACAAAGAAATCCCTTGCTGGGGATGAATGAAAATAAAAGAAACATTAGGAAGTGCGGCAGGGAAGGAGAGAAAGGTAAAAGCAACATGCAGTTTTTCACTTAAAGTCTGTATCCAACATGTTCTCAACCATGAAGTAAAAAACTAATAGATTGGGGTGACAGCAAAAATCCCCTTGCAATGTTCATATTTAAGTGACATCTTATTTATATGTAAGCTGTATATTATGTATTAACTATGCTGCAAACACAGACAAAAAGAATACTTTTGCCCCATGTTTTGAGTAAATTTTTATCTCCCACTTTATGGACTCTTGACTGCTAAGCTTTATAAAGAAAGCTGATATAATCATTGGATATCTAGGCTCAGAAAATCAGAACTTAACAGGTCCTCTGGACCAATCTAGTCCTAAGCTATTTGTATTGTGTTCTGCATTATTCTCAGTTTTCTGAGTTACTTTTAACAAGATATATGGGTTTAGATATAGGGAGAGTACCATGATGTCATTCCCAATAGTATTTTAGTTAGAGTCCCATGGGTTAGGAGAATACTTGCCAACAAAACTGGTGGTTTTTCTTGCAAAGTTCGTAGAGGCCTTCAAGAACTGCAGGGGGATGTGAAATTTAATGTCCTTCTCTTCTACAGGTGGAGGAAGAGAAAGGAGAACTGTATCTTCGTAGAGCCACTTTCCAGGAGCAGTTGTGTATCCTCCAAAGGGAGGTTAGACAGGCAAAAACCAAAAAACTTGTCCCTTTGCTCCAGACCAGTGCCAGCCTCCTTCGCTTGCCTGTAGTATGTGGGGAACTCACTTTGGAAACCAGGAGACTTGGTCATCTTGTATCAATGCAAGAACAAGCTGCTGGCCAAATGATGGTCCAGTGGAGCCATCTGGAGCTGCTGTGGCTCTTGCTGATGCATGAGCAGAAGAATCTGCAACAGATGAAGACCCAACTGGAGGGGATGGTGACTACCTCGAATGAATCACATGCTAAATTACAGGAATGGCAAGCCTGCTTTGACGATTCAAGGTTCTCCATTAAGCAATGCCCGCGGACTCTGATAGACCCCAGTGATCTCACCATGTTAAGGTAAAGATCAGAAGAGCTATTGCAGGGGAAAGGTATCAAATGGCTGCAAGTGTTAGAAACAAGGAAATACTTCCTTAGGGTGGAAATTAGAAAAGAAAAATAAGGGCTCATTAGAAAAGAAAAATAAGCTGGTATGTGACTAAAATGAAGCATAACCTATTGAAGATCAAATATGCTAGGCCCTTCTCGCCCATTTCTTTTATGCAGCACACTTGAATGAATGTTGGAAAAGAGCCATAGTCATTAATGCAGTAGATTTAAACCACTTTGAGATGAATCAACAGATAAACTCCTAATTGTTAATTCAGCTAAACAACCATCAAGTCTGACTCGGGTTGAGTCTTTTAAATACTCAAAATTCTCTCACAGCAGCAGATCAACAAGAAATGAGATAGCATCCTAGCACAGTTCTATAGTCACTCTAGTCATCTATAGCGCAGCCATTTTCAAAGTATATGAATCTCTCTCTTTTCTCACTGGTACAAGGCCAAGAACTGTCATGGATACAGTTTCCCAAAGCTTCTAATTGATGGATGCGTCTTATGTATTCCTTTCCTCCTTAGGCTGTGGGAGATGCTAAACAGGCACAGTCAAGATAAGCAACTCTTCCATGCCTATGGGGCCTTGGCAGGCTGGGGCTCCCGGTTATGCCAGGAGCTCAGGATGCTCAAAGTGCAGCTGGCCACACCACACTCTCAGCTTCCTAAACTGGAGTCTGACAATGAGGTACTTCACTGTTTGATGTATGGTGACTGCAACCAGCTAATGCTTCGTGCTCAGGTAAGCAAAAGCTGTAGCCCATCATGTGTGTGAATCTTCTTTTTCTTGCTATATTATCTATTAATAATCACAAGAATAGACCAAATTAATGGCACACAATGATCTTTGCTTTTGCTACACCATTAAGTGTTGTACTCTTGGGACTCCTGGTCCTCCTTAAGTAGCAAACTTCCCTCCCTGTGAAACTTCTAAATGATGAAAAATTGGAGAAATATGTGCTGCTTCTTCTGAACCCCTATTTGACACCTGTTTTCTACAGGGACTAGAAGAACCTCTGGAGCAGCTTTACACCACACAAGCCAAACTCTACCAAATGCTAATGGACACCTTGAGTGATGTGAAGGCCAAGCAAAAATCCCTGCGGAGTCACTTTCAGCAAACTGAGCGCAGCCTCTACATGCATTTCTTCACTAACCCAGAACAACTGAAGGAGCTGGTGCAAGATGCTGAGAAACAGACCCTGGCATTTTCTTAGGTGTTGGTATAGTCACATGAGAGTAGTTCAGTAGAAAATAGTCCTCCAGCTTGCTTGAAGGTACTCACATCTTATTGTCATCTAGACTGAGTGGAAAGTCTCCTTAGGGAGAATCCTGTTCATGAAAGCTTACATTGGTATGTTCTCTTTGTAAAATAGACAGATTTGGACCTACCGGTAATTCTATATACAGTGTTTCTTCCCTACAATGACTTGGTAAAAAAGGCTCTTAAATTACAGTCTGTTTTTTCCCTTCAGAGTCTGAGTAAAGTGATGGATGGGTGGTCTGAGATGTTGGTTAAAACTAAAAGCTACAGTGCATACTTCTAAGATGGGGCGCTACCCTTTTCTGCTTGCCTGCATATTTATTGTCTACCTATTTTTCTATCTCAATTACTGATGTTATTCAAAAAACTGTGATGAAAGAACATGGCTGCACAATCAAGAATGTTTTGTTTAATGGTCAGGGTCCATTTTTTGCTGTCTTAAATTGTGGTAATACAAGAAGCTCCATGGTTGAAAATATAATGTGTACCAGTTTCAGGCATGTTGCTTGTTTTATATTGAAACAATTCACTGAAATATGCTAATAAAAGTAATGTTCACTTTAATTTTAACTATTTGTTTAGGCAAAGGGCTATACCAACTAGCCTAGAAACATGCTGATGTTGCAATATAATTATTGAAACACATTCTCCCTTTACCTTTCAAATAGGATATGGTGACAGGCATTGCAGAATCCTGGTGGAAACTGGTCATAATCACTTATTATAGAAGCCTATTTTTAGATAATTTCATTGGCAACAGGATCCACACATTTTATCATAAGTTACAATATAATTTTGTTTCCAGAATTCTGAAGTAAGGTTATGGGGGGGCTCTCTTTTCATACACCAGTAGCTCAATATAACTGCATTTTCCACTATGCATTTAAGACATACTAAAAGATATTGCACATATCTGAATACACCTATACATTGCTTTTGGTGACTTGCTGCTGCCACCTGACAATACAGATGAGCTACTTGCTGGGGTGGGTACCAACTAACAATAAGTCTTCACATGCGTAGCAAAAATACACATCTAGAGCATTAAAAAAATCTCCATATGACTCTACTCTTAAGATCATCTCTAGGCACTGACTACAACATCAGTCAAATTGACAGCTGGCTAAATAAACCCAACTCTTGGAACAGTACTTGAACAGGGGGAACATAATTGACAATAGGCCTTCTAAATTTTCTGGAAGTGCCAGATAATAGTAGGTAGTAACCCAGCATGTACCTTCAAATGTCAGTGAACAGAAAACGAGACAAGGATCTGTAGCACTAATTTTCTGCTTGTATTCAGCAGCTGTCAATGTTCTTTCCAGCTAGGAAGCTTTGCAGTGGCTCAATCTATTCAAAAGGGAGTTGGCCTTTGAATTCAATAGGACTAACTTCTGAAATGACACAAACAGGATTGTGCTGTGTGATGTGAACTATGCTTTTACTTCCCTTACTCTTCTCATCTAGTGAAATGAAGCCAGATGGTAACATTACTACAGAACCATTCGAGTCCAAAGAGTTAAGGTGGTAGAGGGATGCTGATACCCATCGTTTCAGCCTCTCCGGCAGGTGCAGACTGCTTTTCATCCCTCCTCATCAGATTTATCATTTGATGAGCGAGGAACAATGTTTGATCTGTGTATATGCATCTGCATGTCTGTGTATGTGATGGCTGGGATGTGGGTGAGAGAGTGTGCACGCTGGATATGACCCCTCTGCCAGTGTGCAGTACCCAAAGGCACTACATACCTTTGGCTGAAAAGGATTAGATTCTTCTTCTTCAGGGACAGCCATCAAAGGGAATAAGCTGCTACAACTCACTTACAAGGAAAAAAAGTTTGAAAATCAGAATGGGTGGGGTGTTTAGGGGGTGTTACTATTGAACCTGTATCCATGGTAAAGCACAGACGGTATAACTAGTGTTCTTGTTGAAAGTATTGTTAAAAACTATTCTTTCTCAACTCTGTTACCTCTGTAACATCATTTTTGTTGAGGTTCCTCAAGCTGGCAAGGGCAGCATCCAGGGCAGGCAGGGCTTCTGCCAGGTCCTTCTGTGCGTCATCAGCAATAGCCTGAGCGGTCTGAGCTTTGACTTTGGCTTTCATTTCCTCTGCCTGCACAGCATTCCGTGTTTCTTCTGCAACAGCTGTGTCTACCTGCAGCAGCACAAAGGTATTTGGAATCATGAATGCTTTCAGGACTGGCTAGATTAGAAGCACCTTTTCTGCATCAGTCAGAGACCCAGTCTGCCTGCCATGGTAAACCATAGTTAACGGCTAGCCCTAAATACATGGCTCTCACTAGCACACGGGGGGGGGGGGGGACAAACCACAATAGTTGTTTTAGGATTACATCTGAATACAGGATTGTGGCTTGTTTCACTCCCCACCCCAGCCCCGAAAAAAAGTCCCAAGCCCACATTAAGCCAAAGGAAAACTTTGACAACAGATCAATGTTTGTTTGGAGTAAAGCAAACCATGAGCACTAATTCAGATGAAACTTTAAGTCAGGGGTTTGTTTGTTTTCCTCCTGCTCACTTGCAGGAAGGAAAAAAGCAGGCAAGATTAGTGTATTCGCAGTAAACTATTAATTATGGTTTACCACTATGTGTTAAAGAGGTCATTGTTTGCCAAAGCATAAAAACATTCTAGCATAACAAAACAACAACCCAAGGGGCATGCTTTTCTCAAAAGAGCCAGGAGCAGATATGGCTGACCAGAACTCTGAACAGGAACACTGCTGATACAGAATGATAGTCTGCAATGTTTGGTTACCTGTCTCACTTGGGAAGTAGTATATGGTAGATTCAAGTTCTTTATTGTGCATGCATGGCTAAAGATAAAGAGATTGCCCTTCTTATGAACATGATTGTCTGAAATAAGCATCACACCTCACATAGCAAGGTTAAATATTTGGAGTTTAGTATAAAGGCCAGGTCATGCCATTTTGGAGCCAAAAGAACAAACCCAAATGGCACCCCCTTTTGCAGTAAAGAACAACAAAAGTTTTCTGTCCTTGTGGCAAATGTTGCCCCATTACAGTGGTACCTTGGGTTAAGTACTTAATTCGTTCCGGAGGTCCGTACTTAACCTGAAAGTGTTCTTAACCTGAAGCACCACTTTAGCTAATGGGGCCTCCTGCTACTGCTGCGCCGCTGGAGCACAATTACTGTTCTCATCCTGAAGCAAAGTTCTTAACCTGAAGCACTATTTCTGGGTTAGCGGAGTCTGTAACCTGAAGCGTATGTAACCTGAAGCGTATGTAACCTGAGGTACCACTGTATTTTAATTGTAGGACTTGTATTGTGTGAAAACAAGGCAGAGATGCAATATGGGCCTCTTTTTCTCCAGCTTAAAGCTAACAAGGCAAAGTATCAGCACAAAGTCCAATGATCAGGTTCTTTCCCCTTCTTGTTTTACCAGGGCACCATCAGTCTCTTTTGCAACAGTGTCTGAAGGCCCACTGCATACCTGTATCTGTTCCATGGTTACCAGTGTGTCTTGGGCAGCTTCAGCCAGCAGGGGGCGTGCTAATTCTAGCTCTTCCTGCATTTTTGCTACATCTTCTGCAGTTCGCAAAAGCTAGAAATGGAGGGGAAAGTCATTCTCATATTGAACGTGTCTAGCGAAGAGGAAAATAATCTGAAAACAGTACAGATAGCAAAGGAAAAACCTCAGAAGTAGCTTCAAGCTGCTTGAAAAGACAACCTGTTGTTTATTCTGGGCTCCACTGGAAAGTCTCTTCTATTCTAGAGCACATTCCAGTCCAAGCCACAGTTAATTCAGTGTCAGAGTTCTACGCAGGTGCTCAATTCCCCCACCAAAATCAATGGTATTAAAACTGCTTAACTTTTACTTGGCCCAGTCATGTTTTAAAACATTATTTTACCATTGCTTTTTCTTTGTTGTTATTCCATGCTGCCACTTTTCTGCATGAAAACTGGCAGCATTTCCTAAGAGTAGCACTATATGCCCAAAGCTTGTTTCAGGTTGTGGGTTGTTGTTTTTTTAAAATATAAAGTATAATGTGCTACTAAAAGTCTCAGTTTCACATAAGACCAGGGTGAACTGCACTCAGTAAAGGAAAAGAGAACATCAATATATGTGGCTTTATCTTCATTCCTTCTCTCTCTCTTTTATAGCCTTACACATTTACACAGTGAAGAAACGAGTCTATGCCAGCCTTCCCAAGTTGGTGCCCTTCAACTCTCAGAAGCTGATGGGAGTTGAGGGTTCAGCAATATCTAGAGGGCACCAGTTTGGGTAAGGCAAGTCTTTGCTCACACCCAAATACAGATACATTGACTTTCACTAATGATATTTGGGTGCATAATGATTCGAGGTAATTAACACCATTGACATAGCATTTACCTTAAATAAATAAATATAATTAGGCAAATCAGTTTTCAGTCAGCAAGAAAAACATATCTGTAGGCTTTTTGGAAGATGCATGTTAATTGATCTGATCGCTGTCTTAAAATATGAAGGCTACATGCTGAATTTTATTCTGAGTGTTTTTCAGATATTTTATTCTGCTGGATTTTATTCTGGGTGTTTTTCTGATTTATTTTTTTTACGTGTTAAATAATTCTTTAGTCTTATTTTGGTAGTGTTTAATGTGATGCATGCTGTTATTCCAGTTATAGTCATACAGGCACCCTCTTTGTCGAGCATCTAGAGCCTTCCATGTTGACCTCTCTTCATCAGCTGCCAGCTGGGGCAGCTTCGGGTTCTCTCTCTAGGCTTCCTTCTGAATTCCCTCACTGAACTTACTGAAGACTGATCTTCCTACAGTCCTGAGCCTGGTGTAATATTCCCTTCAGCCAATCAACAGGTTTCTGTTGGAATTCCAAACCCTTATGGACCAACAAGTTTGAAAGGAATGTCCACTAAATAACTTATCATAAACTAACCACTTTGGATGTTATTGCCCTGTACATAAAAGCTGGAACCTTGCATGTATATATCACTGTCTTCTTAGCACGAATTAGTAACTCTGACAGTTTGAACAGTTTGAACAGCTATTTGGTAGATGACCATCAAGACTTGAATACTATGCATCTCAGAGATGGGGAGCCTGTGGCCCTCCAGATGTTACAGAACTACAACTCCAATTATCCCAGACCACTTTTTACCTAATATTGATAGTTTCTCTACAGGAGGCTTCCAAACATTGACTTTCACAAGCAATGACAATGCTTTTGCAAGTAATCAGCACAGTGACACACTATACATCAGGCCCAAGCTGATATTCCAAACTTATCAGTGTGTGGTGGTGGAGGGAACCTTTCATGATGTGCTTTGCTGAAAAGGAGAAATTGGTCTTCAACATATATGATAGAACCCTAAGACTGAAGCAACTCACCTTGTCCAATCCACTCTTCATCCTGGTTTTGGCAACTTTGAGCTCCTGCTTTTTTGCACCTATCAAGGTGGTGAAGATGCCGAGCAGCTCCAGGTAGCTTTTGGGAGTGACATAATTATGCCTTGCCAATTCTGCCAGATACACCTTGCACTTAAGTGCTACGCTCTGATGGATTTCTACACACATCTCAATCTATAAGGGGGAGGAAACAGACGTTGGAAAGAGGTTTCTCAACAGAAAGAAGGCAGAGAATGACTATGAAATGTGCTACATGCAAGATGCACAAAATGTGTAATGCTAACATTTATGAAATGAGTATTTCCTTGAAACACAGGGACCAATTGGAGAAGTGACAGCTATTTGAAACACTAGCAGGGACTCATACAATATGAATTCTAATAACGAAACATTCAATTATTAGATAGCTGCTCTCTTTTTCATGTTTCTCCTTGCACATATGGAAAATCAGAGGTTGTGAGCATGTTTAAGAGAGGTCACTTACCATTCCCTGTATAATTTCAGGGGTGGCATCAGTATCTGGGATCTCATTGAAAAAGGAAGCAGCAACAGACTCCAGGGCTTCTGCAGGCCACTCATTAAACCAGTCAATGGTACAGCAGTTCACCAGAGATGGGAACTGTCTGAGCCGTGCTCGGAATACCTCTCCAATAGGACTGGAGAACGAGGAAGCAGTAAAGAACGAGAAAACCTTATTAGAATAGACTTCAACTAAGTCAAATATCTCTAGTTGGGATGTACTGCAGGGAATTCTTTTAACAGCAAAGGCCATGCTAGGCACATTCAGAAAACCACAATTAAAATTTATACTAATATATTACACTAAACCACTGGGGATGGAGAATTCTCACCTCACCAGCAAAGCCTTTATACTCATTAATGTTTCCACAAGGCAATCATCTCAAATGTTGACATTCAAATTAGGTGCCCTACAGATCTCTTCTACATGTGTATTGGAACTAAAGGCTGTAACTATGGTATGTGCCGTTATTCCTGAAGGAATAGGCGCTATGCTTTGTAAGTGAACACTTTGATCCATCTAAGAATTGTGGGCAACACAACTTCATGGCTCCTATGGATACAGCATTCAAAATGCAGTGATATTTATTTTGAAGATTTATAGCACAGCTATAAGACTATTAGCCGAAATATAATTGAAAAAGTCACATCAAACCTCAAGGGTACGGAAAATAGGAGTGAAGAAAAAAAACAACAATATCTGAAGGATCACAGGCTCCCCATTCCTGCTATATTCCAGCCCCCTGTAGCATGGATCACCACTGATAGTAAGGAAAGCTCATGGGAGCTTGGAGAGAGCCCCTTCACCATTTAGCCCAATGGACTAGGCTAGCTCATACCTCATGCATAGGACTGTGTGGATATTGCTGCGTACTCTCCCTGTGTACGCAGCCATCAGGTTGGCCTTGGTAGGCTGAAGCCCCTGGTCCTGCACTAATGGTTTCATAGTGGTCATAATCTGGTCCTGTTCATCCAGGGCATACAGGTTGGGTATGTCTCCTGAATTCAGCAGGTTGTTGATATCCTCAAGAAAGGACTCACTTTTAATCTAAAGAAAAAAATTAAAAGGCTTCTATCGGCAGTAATAATGTTGTGCCTTTCATTTTAACCTCATCTACTTACCCACTAAAGATCTCGTCTTCGTGACTTAGATTTTCCTATTGAAAATCACTGAAATGTAAGTCACAGTGAGAACACAGTGAGTTGTGTAAATAATGAGAAATAGCCTAACTGATGGGATGAGATCTGCATTAGAGAGAGAATAGTGCGAAACCCCTACTTTGTTAATGTGAAGTAGTAATTCAGAAATTAGACTAACATTTGAGACCCATCTTTTGGATCCAGTCTTAAACTCTGATCACTTTTCTAGGCATTTCATTCTTAAGACAATAAATATGCACTTCCTTTCTATTACTTGCAATCCACTTACCATCCATCAACCCTAAACATCTGTTTTAGAGACATTACATCTCTCCAATACTAGTTGGGCTGTATTTTGTACCTGGGAAAATGCAAATTCCCCTCCAATAGTACACTTATTGCTACTAGGAGGCATTGACACCTATTAGATATTGCTTGTAATGAGAATTTTCTCCCTTTCCTCCACCCAATACTTATGCCGTTCTATGCATTCTAATGTGTTATTTCGCTCATTATTAGCAATGTTTTCAATGTTTTCAATGCTGAGTGCATGACCCAGTGCATGAAACTGATATTCCTTCCCTTATGCACAGTGCCACACCATTGTGTAAGCCACCTGCTTTATTATTATTATTATTATTAACAGAGAGCCTGTATGATATAGTTGACTGCAGTACACAACTACCTAGAAGTATGGTTGTTGTCCTTCAACAAGTTGTGTAAATGGGATTATTCCACAGGATTGCACTGCAACATATCTAACCACAGATCATCTGGATAAGCCGCAGAGGCACTATGCAATTTTTGGTTTGCAGGGTACTCAAATATCAGTGTAATTTATATTTGTGATTCTTACCTGTTGGCACCCATGTGTGTAAAATTTGGCCAACATGTTTAGTAATCTAGAGATGAAGAAGTGTATAAAAAGGCCCCCAAAACCTTGAGAGACTATTTTGAAATAAATATGAACACTAATGTAGAAAAAAGAGTAATCTGGGACGCAAGCAAAGCTGTCATGAGAGGGTTTCTGATACAACAGAATGCAATAAAGAAGAGAAGTCAAAATGAGAAGAAAGACAAAATTTTGGGGGAAAATAAAAGAAAGTGAAAAGAAATTGAGAGCAAAACCAAAGTCGCAGGAGATTTTGAGAGAAATAAAGTTATATCAAGTACAATATATGGAAATGATGAACCAGGAAATAGAATGGAAAATCAAACAAATGAGACAAAAAACATTTGAATCTGCTAACAAATGTGGGAAATTGCTGGCCTGGCAAATGAAAAAAAGACAAAAATTAAACACTATCACAAATTTAGAAGTGGAAGGAAAGAATATACACAACCCAACTGAGATTAGAAACTGTTTCCAGAGGTATTTTAAACAACTATATACACAAGGGCCACAGAAAGAAATGGACATAGACCGATTTCTGAAGACAAATGGATTACAAAAAATCTCCCAAGAAAGTAAACTAATGTTGAACTATAAAATATCTGAACAGGAAGTAGAAGGTGCCATTCAAAACATGCAATTAGGCAAATCTCCAGGACCGGATGGGCTGACTTCTAGATATTATAGATCTTTGAAAGAGTGGTTATTACAACCTTTAAAGGAAGTCTGCAATGAAATATTGGAAGGGAAAGGGCACCAGAGTCGTGGAAAGAGGCGTACATTACACTTATACCGAAGACAGAGACTGAAAAGACTCAGCTTAAGAACTACCGCCCCATATCGTTACTTAATGTGGATTACAAAATTTTCGCAGACATTTTGGCCAAGAGATTGAAAAAAGTATTGATGGAAGAGATTCATAAAGACCAAGCGGGCTTTCTCCCAGGAAGACACTTGTCCGATAATTTGAGGAATATAATTGATATTTTGGAAAAACTAGAAGTGAACATAAATACTAAAGCAGTTTTGATATTTGTGGACGCGGAGAAAGCTTTTGATAATATCTCTTGGAGTTTTATGAAGAAGAACCTACAGGGGATGGGGGTAGGCCAAGGTTTTGAAAACGGTATAAGTGCAATTTATTCAGAACAAAAGGCTAAACTAATAGTAAATAATGTGGTGACGGAAGAATTTAGGATAGAAAAAGGGACAAGACAAGGTTGCCCAATTTCCCCATTGCTTTTTATATCGGTCCTGGAGGTTCTGCTGAATATGATCAGAAGGGACCGGTTGGTTAAAGGTATACAGGTCGGAGCCAAACAGTACAAATTGAGAGCATTTGCAGATGACTTAGTATTGACGTTACAGGAGCCAGAATCTAGTACTAAAAGAGTTTTAGAACTGATTCAAGAATTTGGTCAAGTTGCAGGATTTAAATTGAATAAGTTAAAGACTAAGGTTTTAGAGAAAAATTTAACACCAATGGAGAGAGAGAGGTTTCAGAATGAGACAGGTTTAACAGTGGTTAAGAAAGTTAAATACTTGGGGATTAACATGACAGCAAAAAATGGGAATTTATTTAAAGACAACTCTGAAAAATGCTGGGTTGAAGTGAAAAAAGATTTAGAAATTTGGTCAAATTTGAAGCTTTCACTGCTGGGCCGTATTGCTGCAGTAAAAATGAATGTATTGCCTAGAATGTTGTTTTTGTTTCAAACATTGCAAATTGTGGACAAAATGGACTGTTTCAAGAGGTGGCAGAGAGATATTTCTAGATTTGTCTGGCAGGGCAAGAAGCCTAGAATAAAATTTAAAATATTAACAGATGCAAAGGAAAGAGGTGGATTTGCCCTGCCAGACTTTAAACTTTACTATGAATCAGCAGCTTTTTGCTGGTTGAAAGAATGGTTGCTTCTTGAAAACACTGACATTTTGGATCTAGAAGGTTTTAACAATGTATTTGGATGGCATGCATATCTGTGGTATGATAAGGTCAAAGCACATAAAGCATTTAAAAACCATATTGTCAGGAAAGCATTGTTTAATGTCTGGATAAGATATAAGGACTTATTGGAAAATAAAACCCCAAGGTGGTTGTCACCGATGGAAGCAAAAGCTCTGAAAAAGCTTAATATGGAGGCCAAATGGCCGAAATATTGGGAAATTTTGGAACAAGACGGAGATAGACTGAAATTGCAGAGTTTTGAGAAATTAAAAAACAAAGTGCGAGACTGGCTTCATTATTATCAGATAATGGAGGCATATAATTTGGACAAGAAAATTGGTTTCCAGGTGGAAAAATCAAAATTAGAAACAGAACTGTTAGAACCCAAAACTAAGATTTTGTCAAAGATGTATAACTTGTTGTTGAAATGGAATACTCAGGATGAAACGGTGAAATCTGCTATGATTAAATGGGCACAAGATGTTGGACATAACATAATGATGGCTGACTGGGAACAGTTATGGACCACAGGTATGAAGTTTATGGCATGTAATGCCTTAAGAGAGAATATTATGAAAATGATATACAGGTGGTACATGACCCCAGTCAAGCTTGCAAAAATTTATCATTTGCCCGATAACAAATGCTGGAAATGTAAAGAAACTGAAGGTACATTCTTTCACCTTTGGTGGACGTGCCCAAGGATTAAGGCTTTCTGGGAGATGATATATAATGAATTGAAAAAGGTATTTAAATATACCTTCTTGAAGAAACCAGAGGCCTTTCTCCTAGGCATAGTCGGCCAATTGGTGCCAAAGAAGGACAGAACTTTTTTTATGTATGCCACAACAGCAGCAAGAATACTCATTGCAAAGTATTGGAAGACACAAGATCTACCCACTCTGGAAGAATGGCAGATGAAGCTGATGGACTATATGGAACTGGCAGAAATGACTGGCAGAATCCGAGACCAGGGAGAAGAGTCGGTGGAAGAAGATTGGAAGAAATTCAAAGACTATCTACAGAAATATTGTAAAATTAATGAATGTTAGAATGATGTTGGATAGAAATTAAGTGGTTTCCAGCTGTAATGCTTTAAGGGAATATGAAAAATGGGTTGTTAATAGGTAGAAATCTAACATTACTATTTTAAGACCAAAGATTAGGATAAATAAAGAGGGTAAGGATTTGCTGAACCAACAAATTGAACTGGAATACAAAAAAGGGAGGTATGAGGAGGTCCGGGAAACAAGCTAAGGAAAAATAAGTAATGGAAAATTGAGTGGTTTTTAATCATTATTTTTTTGTATTTTCTTTTTCTTTTTTATTTTTATATTGTAACTTTGTATCTTCTTTTTCTTTTTCATTTTTATATTGTAATTTTCTGAAAATCTTAATAAATATCTTATAAAAAAAAAAACATGTTTAGTAATCTAACTCCTTAACAGTTAAGAGTTCTTAGTACCACCAAGAGAAATGTCATTCAGGTATCAGGCACAGCACAGTTTTTCTCAAAACATAGAAGTTCAGTTTTTCAAGTAAACTTGCTAAGCTAAGACTAGTTGGGAAAATAAAACAATAGATGTGAGTGACAAAATTGGTACAAATCTGAGCAACATTCATTTAAAAGTTTAGCTATCCAGCACAAGAAGAAATTTCATTCCCAACAGCTTCAATTACCTGCGTATCTGTAAACAGAAAGGTAATGGATAAGTTTTGCAGACCAGCCTTCAGCATGATCTTTTTGAGGTCTTCTCTCCAGTCAGATATCCCATAGTTCTTGGAAAGTTCTATTTGAAAACATTCATAATCAGCTCTAAAAAGGAAATGATTATAATCAGGGCATGGTCTACAATATGCTAATCATAGCTGTCAAGTGTCCCTTATTTGAAGGGACAGTCCCTTATTCCAGCGCCATGTCCCGCTGCTGTCCCTTATTGATGGATGTCCCTTAAATGTCCCTTAAATGATGTCCCTTAAATTTCAAAGGAAGCAGCTCCTCTCCCTCCCTCCCTGCTGGCCAGGGAGGAGGGAGGCTCCAACTGTGTTGCTTGGCTGTGTTGCTCACCCAATAAGAAGTCTAAGAACGACTGGGGGGTGGAGCTTGCATGCCTTGTGTGTGGCTAGTTAATGCAAGCTGAGGGGTTTTTTTGAATGATGGACGCCATTTTGTTGCACGTGCTGCTGCAAACTTTGCAGTGCAAAGCCAGGCCGGGGAGCCATCTTAAGTTGAGGCTGCATAGGCCTTGTGGTGCATGTGATTCAGATTCTATTCAGTTGAACCTCTGGTTACAAAGTTGGTTGGACAGTGTTCTCGAAGCTACCAGCATGAGTTTGACCAGACTGCAGGAGGACAGGAAGACTGGAGTGCCTGGAACAGGTGAGGCTGCAGGTCCCTTATTTTGGCTGCTGGTCCCTTATTTTCAAATCTGTAAGTTGACAGCTATGATGCTAATACGTATACAAGGGAGAAAGACACAGAAAGAACTGTTGGTTGCTAACTGAGTGGTAGTTCTGTATCACTGGAAGAAGGTAATCTGTGGGAGTTACGGGGCCACCTTGTGGTCAAAGGCAGGAAAAAGAATTTGAGGGAAATAGGCAGCTTGCAGAATCCAGTTTGCATCCTTGCCATACTCAAACAGGTCAGTTGACCAAGACACAAAAACACAAACAGAGAAAACAAACATCTACTTCTCTAACAATTGTTGTAACCTACCCTGGAGCTTTAGGGTGAAGGGCAAATTAAAACAACGAGAGTGACCCTAAGATAAGAATCTAACAATTTTTACAGCAGAACTAGAAAAAAAACTACTTAACCAAAGCAGCTGAGAAACTAGGGTGAGGCTGATGACCTTCAACCAGTGAAACCATTCCTACCATTCGGGTAGAACATAACAGCTTTTTCTCATGTTGCTGGAGAAGGTAATTAGTGAGGGACATACCAAAGCTTCTCTAAGCATTTATATTTTAATTTTTGTAAGCTGAGACCCAGATATGAAAAGCAGGGTATAACTTTTAATAAATAATAATATTCTTCTTCTTTGGTGATCACTTGTAGTCGAGTAAGAATAAGAATATAGGGCCTATGTGGCGGAAGTCTAATGCATATTGCCAGAATCTGAGCAATTCCCTTCCCATTTTGAGAGGCAATGGTTCCACAGATTAGGCCTGTGCCCATTAGGCTCTATGCGCATAGGCCCAAAGACCATATTCCAGTGTTATAAAGTGGATGCGAGGTGGACCTGGAGGCATTCACGTACATTGGGTGGGAAGGCAAGGGAAATCCCAGTTTCTTCACTATGGTTACTTTCTGTACAGCTGGAAAACGATGTGAACAGTGTCAAGCTTTCTTCATATGATGTGAGCAAACTGAACTCAGAAGTAGAAATGAAGAACATAAATCCTAAAAAACCCAAACCCAAACTCACTGCTTTTCCGATCATTCTGTCACTATCCACTGGCTCAGAAACCTTTAATATCATTCATATCTTACATGTGAGATGCTAATTTGGTGAGAGATTGCCTTCCACTGCCACCAACACCCAAGAGAAGAGCATTGCCCAGTGCCTGGCGCAGAATACGGGTGATTCGGCAAATGTGTTGCATAGCGTCCATGAAAAGAACTAGCTTCATCTTGGTAGTATTGATCTGATTGTATTCCTCCATGTACTCCTCAATCACGTGCATAAGCTATAGTCAAAAAGAGAGGAAGAAGAATAGGAGCAGGAACTAAGCATGCCTCTCTGAGAAGGCCATCAATGGACCATCCACCTCTATGCCCATCAGATCCTGTCAATAAGGGAAGACAGGGGTGAAAAAAATACCCACCGTCTTAGAAAGCCTACTCAGTGAAAATGAAAATAGATGATCTAAGATGTACACCCATCAAAAAAGAGGAGCAAGCAGCCTTTCTTTAACTCCCCAACCAAAATCTTTCACAGATAAAGTTAACTATTTAAATAATGTTCACTGTAAATCATAGCCAAGTTCAATAGGATTAGAGCAACACACTTGCAAGGATTTCAGAGTATCAATTTGAGTTTAGCTATTGTGTCATAGCATGGACATGGTTAAGTTATCTAATCCCTCATCCACATTTTATCTATCTGGGCAATGGGTGTGATGAACATCTGCCTACCTAAGAGGCTGGATTAATTATCTATAATTCACTTAGTGATCATGAAAGAAGACATACTGTTATTATTATCCTTGACTACATGGCAGTGAATGCAAAGTACACTGCTCCTTATTAAAATCGTTATATTTTTTACCCTTTGCTTAATTAACATTTTCTCAGTATGCACAATATCCTTCCAGTTGGGAGTTCTATAGGAAGGATAATTACCTGCAAAGGTCACCTGTACAGATTTTAATGGCATCCGCTGCAGTACTATGAACATTAAACTTGTTCCTCTTCCTAGTTTATTGCATTTTCCAAGCCCAAGTACTGTGCTAAAGTCATCTGCATAGCAGATTCCCAACTGTTCTTTATTACTTGCCTGAACACAGGGGGCAGTCAGAGGAAACAGCATTATCTAGGTCTGTTCTATCCTCTTCCATCCATGTTCATCTATCATTCTCAGCATGCTTCTAGTGCTCAGTCTATCCTTGTACAACCTTGTTGTTGTTTCTTTCCTCTGAAAATCATAATCACTTCTAGTATAGGCTTGCCATGCATAAAGTATATTCTAGAAACTCAACTCTGGACACCCAATGCTTTTATTAACTGCACCCATATTATATGTTGTGCACAAAGGAATGAAAGATGGAAGAAGTACAAAAATGGAGAAGCATCTTATGAATCCTACCTTCTCTCTTTCGGCAATTAATTCATAAAGCTTCACATCAGAACCTGGGTTCATGAAATCCCCATAGAGAAGGGGCTCATAAGGAACAACTTCCTTAAAGCTGGTATCCCATTCAGACATCACGCTCTTCATCAAGTCATCAAACCAAGTTCGGTCCTCCTCATTAACCAGACGGTCACGAAACACACGGCAGCTCTCATGATACCACAGCCTCAGCAGGTCCGCTTTATTCTGGCAAATAATTCCAGTGACAACCTTAAACAACCTTTCGTTATTACTCACACAACCCCAAAGAATGTTATTTCTTGTTCCACGTTGATTCTTCCCCCTAAGACACTGACCCTACGGTGTGAAAAACAACCCTTTCCCAACCAGATTTATAAGAAAATGTTTCTAAACTACCAGAGCAAATCTAAACCCCAGATCCGCTGATTGGAGGGGTTTAGAGGACAATGGGTCTCTCCCCCTAACACAGACCAGTTTTGCTAGCAGAGGATATGCCGCCATGGAGACCCCTCCTACGTCTTCAAAAAGCTCTGTGGGTTTAGCTCTGCTGCTGGTAGAGTTTCTGCTACAATTAGTCAGTGTCGGGCTTTGAAATGGAGAGTTCTGGTGCACAGAAGGGGTGGCCTTGGATCTGCTAGATCACAGGCCCCTCTGTCCTTCAGAGAGGCCCCAGAATTGGGTCCTTCTCCTATGCCAGTCTAGACCTGTTATAACTAATTCTCCTTCTACTGGAATCAAGGAGTGGTTTGTTTCTTTGTTTTTTAAAAAATAAAGATCCACTCAAGGAAAGGGAAAAAAAGGAAAGTCTGCCACACATCTCCACCCACACCCCACTTAGGATTGCACTGTAAGAATGGCTGGCCAAAACTTGAGGAAAGTGGGAGGTGGAGTTCTGCGGATAAATCCATGCACTCAGATTTTATTGCTAGATATATGAGGGACTCATGGACACCCAAGCTCGATTGTACTGGGTTTGCGGTAAAGCTCTACCATGGATACTGCAGAATAAAGTTCTCCTGAGGTAGGGGGACTATGAGTGAATGAAAGAGGTGTGATACACTTGCTGCTGCCAACAAGAGAGAAAAAAGCAACCCCAATATTTTGCCCCAGATCCCCACAATCAGGCCTAGATTGTGCCTTATTGCTTGCACTTAGTGCAGTGGTATGCAATGCACACAACAAAGGGATAACTATTCGGTGTGTCATTTTATCGAGAAATAATATGCAATTTCCAGCAACTAAAATTCCTGTCACAGAGCAGATATTGTGAAGGGAGCACTTACCATAATTTTGGCAGGTTCTGCCATGAGCATGCCCTGGAAAACCTTGGACAGATCCCTCAAATTAAATGTATAGTGAGATTTTGCTGGAGTAGGCAACAGTTGGGATGTGATAGTGGAATACACTCGTATAGTTGCATCAACAAGGGGTTCGCTTAAGTCCTGCACCTGTGGGCATCCAGCTAAAAAACCCAAAAGATGGTCAGCATTGCAGTGGGGGCTTTTCAGGAAAGGAAGAACCATGAGTGATCACATAGAAATAGGGCAGGCTAGCTTGAGACATAGTGAGATTTACCAATGACTTTATCTCACAGAAGATGTTTCCCATCCTCACAATCTATATTACTGCCTAATGTGCAGTTGTAGTACAACCACACAACTTATTAATTATGATTTTTTATACTGCCTCCCACATCAGTCTCAAGGTGGTATACTAAAATTAAATCGTAGTACAATTAAAATGCAGCTAATAACTTAAGCAGAGATAAACAGAATTCTAACAATGGCTTGTATAACATGGTTCATACAACATGGTAAGCCAGACTCTGGCAGGCCCCCAGAAAGCAGCTCATAGCCACTTTTCTCCTCCCCAGCCCTTTTTTGCTCTTGTGCTGTGCTGAGTGAAGCAAATGTTCGGCTTAGTGTGCCATCTGAACTGGAACTCATGGTTAAGTTCTTTCCTCACTAAACATGAGGTTTGTTCTTGGAACAGTTGCAGTTGCAGTTTGCATACGAGCCAGACCTGGTCAAAGGCACTGCAGCCACCCAGGCTTCCAGTGACTGAGACATTTCCTGGAGTACCAGCAGACTGCACACCTGCTCCTTTGTGGGGAATGGGACCCCACACAGGACAAGCATACTATCCACTTCCTGAACCTGGGAACCACCAACCCACAGGACTTCGATCTTGTCAAGATTCAAATTCAGCTTAACCCCAGATTTTTCTTGCACTGTTAAGAATTCTGCATACATTATCCCCATATCAAAAACTCAAGTTTTCCAACTAGAGAAACTGGCACCTGCTGAGCGAGAATTGTTTAAACCAGATTAGAAAAAATACAGAAGGGTCTGTTTCTATTACTCTTACTTTGAGGTTATGTGTGGCTGCCTTTTCTCCATAATGTGGCTGCCAGGGAGCTATCTTGTGAGATACATGCATGTATAATCAGTTGGGAGGCTGTAGCACAAACAAATGGGTATTATCCACAAGTCACATGGTTCCTGCGGGGAACTCTGGTCCAACACTAGTGTACAGACAGGACATGTGCCTGCAGCATAAAGTATGGAGCTCCCTTAGGTAAGCCAAAAATTGGCATACTTAAGCTTATCCATGTTATTGTGTTTGAAGAAATGGGCATCCATCTGCTGAAGCAAAGACCACTCTCCTGATGCTTTTGGTCCAAAATCTTCTATCATCACCATCAAGCAAATGACTTATTTCCCCAAGCCTTACATAAGACAATTGATTAACTTGTGCTCAGGTTACTTACGAACTGGCTCTCTGTAACATACTTCTCCTAGACGTCCAGCTAAAATAATCAAGAAAGAAAAATGGTGTCACATTCCACTATCAAACATTTCCTCAGTCACATAGCATATGAGAGCGGTATAAAAAAGGGGGGATGTATTTTCATAACTCACCCATCCAACTGTCTAGAATGGTAGAAAAGATTTTCTTCTTGCTGCTATCCTCCAGTTCAGTGAAAGATAGATAGTTGAAATGGCGGGTGAGGCGTGGGCTGATTGCATTTCTTCCTCCACCCGGCGGTCCCATGGCACCAACAAAGTTAATATCTACTAATTTCTTAAAGGTACCTGACAAAATATTCCACAGAAAAATGAGAGAAGGTATGAATGCCAAGACTCCAGTGGGGGGAAAGCTGTATGTGCACCAGAGGCAGGTTACTTCAGAACTAGCCTGGCTGGCCTGGAACGGAAAGTATTTGTGTATAGAATAATTAGGTAAATTAAGTAAAGAAAGTATGTCATACCAATTTGTTTCCTATCGTACCAGCCATTATGATCCATCCATTGCCGAAGAAGCTCAATAGGTGGCTGGGCACCATAGGTCTCTAGCGCGGGCATGTTCAGGTCATCAATGAAAAATATGAAGTATCTGCCAAGTGGAGGACCAAAAACTCCCTTGCGCCTATATAGAACCAGACAAGAATAAAAACTACATCACAGTGGAACACATGATGAAAATACTGCAGTCAAGGTACAATTTGGAAAAAGGCTGCTGAAGAGACTATACATTTAACGTGATGAGCCTGTCGATTAGTTGGTGAATCCATGTATAATCCGTTAATGCTGACAGGAAAAGTATTAATCTCTCAAGTGTAGAATATGCTCCTCAGTGCTGGTCTTGACTCTTGCATATCAAGATCAGCAAACAGGGACCTCTTGGTAGTTCCATCACCCTCAGATGTTTGTGGGGCTGGAGCCCAGGAAAGGGGGCGTTGTTTATGGCAGCCCTAATTCCCTCCTGGCACCTACGCTATTGATGCTTGCAATATATATTTTTAGGATTCACCCTATTCCTAGAACTGTAATTTGTTTTAAACTGTTGTTAATATTGGATTTTTAAATTACTGTAACCTGCCCAGAAACCTCATGGTGAAGGGTGGGCAAGACATTGTAACAGCAGCAGCAACAGCACTCATAGCAAAAAGAAACACAAGAGTGTTGCTGTATGTCTACCACGTATACACATACCTCCCCACTATGGCTCAGTTAGTTAGAGCATGGTGCTGACAACACCAAGGCCACAGGTTCAATCCCTGTTTTGGACAGCTGCATATTCCTGCATAGATGATCCTCAGGGTCCCTTCCAACTCTACAATTCTATGAATTGTTTCCATGAATACTATCTCCACTATGAGAAGCAATGTGCATCTGAATGGCAGTTTCTAGGTACCACAAGTTCGGAGAGTGCTGTTGCACCCAGCTCCTGCTTGAAGGCTTCCCATAGGCATATGGTTGGCCACCTTGAGAAGAGGATGATGGACTAGATGGGCCTTTGCTGAGCCAGCGGGGCTTCTCATCTTGCGCTCTTATGAACTTTCTGCTAAAGGTCACTAGATAATCAATGTTGAATAACATAAATAAAACACAGTATGGCCGCAAATCTAAATAGATATGAATAAAACCGCCAAGTTCAAGGGGCGACTCAATGAACAACCCAGTGTTTTCCATTCAGGGTATGTGATTGTTTACTAATGGTAATATCAAAATATCCAGTGACTCAGAAATAAGTAGGAATCCCCAGGGCCAGAGCATTCAACCAGTGTTTATCCAATGCCTGTTTGCCCACTGAACTGACCCTATGGGAGTGTTGACCAGCCAGACGTTTTTGCTATCACTCCCAGGATGGGGAAATAGCTATATTTTGATTTTAAATAATTTACATTTTTATGCTTAAATTTCTTTAGCAAATTTGGACAGGATTGCTAATAAATGCTCAAAAGCAAATAAAATAAATATGAACAAAGTGGTATATAAGCAGCAGAAATATTGCAACAAAGAATTTTGCCTTTTATCCAGTTTGCTGTCAATGAGATCTTGAGTCTGGTTGGCTGAGGTTCGAGCAGAGAACATAAGAAAATGGCTGATAAATTCTAGTGGCAGGTTCTTCAGAAGCTCATCTGCTATTGTGAGGGTCTTTCCAGTTCCTGTGGGTCCAATACAAAGAATCTACAATTTGGAAGAGAGAAAAACTGTCACTATTGGGGAATGTGTGCAGACTGTAATCACACCTTCACAGACTCATTTGCCAATTAGTAGTGTTTTTGACAGTCCATTGTGACTCTATAGTGCTTTTAAAACTGTGTCTTTGAGATTCCTTTGTTTATTGCTGCAGTAGAACCGTTCTCAAAAATTGCTGGGGGTTTCACTGAATGACTTAACAGCCTTTTTCTGTTCTGCAAATCGAAGCAGAACAAAATCAAATATACTAACTCTTATTTTAATAACATTCTTCTGCATAGTGATCATTGTAAAAAACAGCACTTTGTGGAAACTATGGACCCTAGGCTAAGCTGTTTAGAGGTCTGCATAAACATTAAGTAGATTATACCAAAGGCATATTATGAAGAGCAGAGGCCCTAGACCAGGACCTTGTTGGCTGTTTAATAATCCAGCCTTAGTCAGAAAAACTAATAATCAAGTACAGGGCCATGTACAGATATTTTCTTCCACAATCTTTTCGTGAGACTGCCTGAATAAAGCTGAATGGCATTTGAGAACCTCTTCTGTAGTAGATCAAACTAATAAATGAATGAATGAATGCAGAAACGGAGGCAAATAAAAGTCTACTGAGTAGCCATTTGGGGGGACATTTTGAGCAAAGAACTAATGCTGGCTTGACTGAGCAACAGAATATTTACCTTTCTACAATGCTAACTTAACTCCACTTGAAATTCAGGAAACTTACTGGTTTGTGGTTTGTGAGCAAGAGCTCCAGCAGAAAAGCCATCTGGACAGTGTTCATTGTGGGAACAATAATGTCACAAAAGCTGGTATCAGGCACCATGGTAAATGATGAAGAGAAATCCATCCAATTCTCCCAGCACACCTAAGAGACACAGGTACATTTGATGGGAAGGACAGATAGAGGCTTAAAACATCCTGTAATTAGTTTCTTAAATACATCCGAGCCAATATAGAAACTGAATACAGGATTAAGTTTGCAAAAAAACCTCAGTAGAATCTTGGGGGAAATTTACAGTAATGTTCCAGAGATTCCAGTAAGTCTACTTCCCTTTACCAGTCTAATCTTAACCATGACAAAGTCTCACTGAAACTACATCTGGGATTATCCCCTCCCCCAACCACCATTTTCCTAAATGCCAAAAGAGAGTTAGACTTAAGGAACAGAGGCAGGCGAGGATTTCAATGCTGAGGGGTAGGAGTTGCTTAAAGGTGCTTACTCTGGTGGCAATGGCACAAGGACTTTTCTCTTTACTTTAAAAATGATGCTCAGAATTATTTAATATTTGTTTCACTGCTGTTACAATACAAAATGTGCAAGATTGTACTATATTTATTCTATTCTTGCATTAAAATTAAGATTCTTTTGGATGGTGAAGTCAATTATTAAAACAAAACTGGAGTATCAAAATTTAATAATGTTACTATGCTTGATGTGTATTCTGTGTTGTATGGTTATAAAATAATTAATAGAAATAAAAAAAATAGAAATGATGCTAGTGTTGTGACAAGATGCATTTAATGGGGGTGGGGGAGAGGACAAGAAAAAGAGTAGGTTACCCTTAAGCCCTTAAGGTAAAGGTAAAGGGACCCCTGACGATTAGGTCCAGTCGTGACCGACTCTGGGGTTGCGGCGTTCATCTTGCTTTATTGGCCGAGGGAGCCGGCATCCAGCTTCCAGGTCATGTGGCCAGCATGACTAAGCCGCTTCTGGCGAACCAGAGCAGTGCACGGAAACGCCGTTTACCTTCCCGCCTTAGCGGTACCTATTTGCACTTTGACGTGCTTTCGAACTGCTAGGTCGGCGGGAGCAGGGACCGAGCAACGGGAGCTCACCCCAAGCAGGGATTCGAACTGCCGACCTTCTGATCGGCAAGTCCTAGGCTCTGTGGTTTAACCCACAGCGCCACCCTTATCCCCCTCTAAATTATCTAAATCATTTTGCCAACCCTCCACCCACAAACAGTCAGAATGCTCTCTCTCATTTGCCTCCTGCAAAAGAAAAAAGGGGGTGGGGAGGAAAAATAACACTAGCTCCATCCTTAGAGCATGAGACTCTTAATCTCAGGGTTGTGGGTTTGAGCCCCACGTTGGGGCAAAATATTCCTGCATTGCAGGGGGGTGGACTAGATGACCCTTGTGGTCCCTTCCAACTCTACAGTTCTATGATTCTATAGAGTGAGGAGGGCTGCAGGCCCAAGAAGGTTAGTCCTGGTCCTGCCAATATCCTTGGTGGCCACACCCCTCCAACATCTGTACATTTGGTTACTGTGTACATCTATGCATGCACTGATGTAACAGATAAAGCTCCCTCATTCAAGTGGGGGATCAAAGTTTAGCTCATGTGGCCCCTCCTGCATGTTTTTAAGGGGTGGGATATCTGAATCCCCTGATGAGAATTCATTTACCATGTTAACAAACTCTTCATCTTCTTCTTCCTCAATGCTGCTAATTCCAGCATCGTTCAGTTTATAGTCATAGACCAAGCCGTTTTCTGGGAACAATAATTCAATCTGTGGGAAGAAAACAGGCAGTGAACATCACAGCTAGCTTTACTTCAGAAGAGACTAATATAAAGAATGTAGTGTGTGGAAACAACTTCAGAGTGATTCCATCCTGTTTATTTAGTTAAAGTTGCTATATTTTCCAGTATCTCCCAAAATAATGATTCAGAAGCAAGGCAGGCAGTGTTAATCTGTGAGACAGCAGAAACAAGGAACTCACACAAATTCTGGAAATACAGGAGCCCCATAGCTGCCTTTAGGAACAGATGCCATTTCCATCAACTTGCCTTCTCGTCTGCCATCTTGTTCCTTAACCAAACACTGAAGGCCACACGGCTTTGGGCATCCCCAGTCGCACCCACACTCCAGAGCAAAGCAAATATGAACCACGGTTCAATCAGTTCACCAATACGGGCTGTTTTCTCTGGAGGAATTCTTTTCATTCCCTGAAGATTCAATTAGCAGTACAAACGAAGCAGAACAAGTTAATTAGCGACAAAGTAAAACCTTAGATTATCTGCAAAATCTCTCTAAATTCCCTACATGTATTTTGGATGCCTTTTCTGAAAGTAGCTCCAGTCTCTATGGACAAAGAAATCTATTGTAACCCAGTTGGTGCATGAAGTCCCTGATGAACAAATTCATTCCAACTGTCACAGCATTAACCCCAAAGTGGTTTAGCATCTAGGCTTTACTTATCAGACCCTATCAAAGAGATATTCACAAATGATAACACAGTAAACAATATCAAAGCTTAAGTACATTTCTGTCTGCTAATTCCTCTGTTTGTTATCAATAAATGTAGAACTTATTTCCGCGTCCATCTGTTCAATTGGACCCAGTTGTCCATTCTATTGACCCTGAGCATTAACAGCTACACCAGCCCTACCTCAACAGGAATGAAGGGTTGAAAGAAACAGTCCAACAACTTGAGAAGACTCATTGTCAGGTTAGCATCTGTAGAGGCAATTATTTCCTTCACTGAACTTCGGACAAATCTGATAGAGTCCTGAAAGGGTTCAGAAGATCAAGAGTTAAATGTTGTTGTCATATAATTATGCTTTTCCAGCCTTTTTTCCTTTGATGGGACTCAAGGCGGCTTACAAATAAAAACTAGAATCAATAAAAACACAGAAAAACCAATCATTAAAATTCAGCGAAGTTGTGTGCACAGAATGAGGTCCATTCACACAATGGGACTCTCCTCCCCCAGAATGTTCCCTGCACCCCTAATTCTGCTCTGGAGGGTTGGGAGAAAACCCACACAGGTTTACATGAAGACAGCGCTGAAAGTCTTATTGCACAAGTGGACATTTTTCCATGAACGCATATGCCCCACTTAGTTCTATACTGAATTTCTCCCATTCTGCAAGGGCACACTTGATATGGCAAGGCTGGGGATTCAAAACTATATGTACTTCTGAGGCAACACCATATAGGAAGGAAAAGCACCTGAGAAACTTTAGTTTGGCCATTGAGCGAAGACTGTTATTAGTCTTAACCTGTTGATTGTTAATATGGAAGAAAAAGTGACCAGGAGACATGAAAATGAGCTAACCACCCAATGCCATTTTAACAAATTACTTCACAAAGTAATGAAAGCAGGAGCCACAAAAACCTAAAGTGAGAAAATGCCATTAAAAAAACAAATCACCATGAATACACAACTGTAAAATCTTAAAAGCAATCCGGTTGCTAAACTTGGAAGCAAAAGAGACAGGGCTCAATTCACAGAGAACTTTCCCACTGCAAGCCAATTAACAATAAATTGGCATTTTGGAAGATTATAGCTCTTGTACTGCACAGGTGAAGTTCCTGTCATCTAATAAACTGTGTTCACCAGCTGCCCCAAAACTAATAAAGGCAAACTTGATAGGTTCATATGCCCTTGTTTGGCTAAAGGCTAGGCTGACTTACAGATGCTACACTGAATCAAAATATAGGAATATTGTAATGGTTCACCTCTAGGAATCTGCTGAAAAGCGAGTCAAGGGCTTCAGTGAATGGCTTCATAATGTCTGGGATTCTCTTCAGCCAGCACTCAGTGAAGGGCTGTAATCCCAAAATGCTGGGTTCCAGGTATACCATGCCACACCGGGAAACAGTGGCAGGGGAAGCAACAGCTAAATCTTGCACTTCAAACATCATAGTCATTGCCTGGAAATGAGAGGAAAGGAGCAAAACTGTTTCCCACAGCTTTTCACAAAAGGTACATAGCGTGGGGGGAATCCTAAAACTCCAATCCCTCATTAAGTGGGATTATGTATTAGTGAAATCACAGTGCTGGTCAGCAGTATTCAGCATAAATACTAGAACTATGTTCTAATCTAAATACAGTAATTTGGGCATGCTAAAATCAAATGTCTACATTTCAACCACATATTCCTCTTTCTCAGAGAAAAGCAGACTATACATTTACAAATGATTGTGTGTGTGTGTAGATACCAGGAAACGAAAAGGAGGAAAGAGAAAGATACCTCTGTTAGCTTAATGATTTCACCAGAGCTGAGACACAACTTCTTGTTATCATCCAGCACAGTGTTCATATTTTCAATCCAAACAGCATCAACTGGACCATCAAACATGTACCATTTCTTTTTATGATCAGTAGCTATGGCTCCCACTCGGATAAGAGCAGGAAGAATCCCATCTGTCCTATGAGGTGAGGAGGAGATATACAGGAGTCAACCAAATAGTTGCACACTTCCATTTAGCAATGTCCAGTATAATTTATGACAGCATCACATCTGTGAACCCAAACTTCTCTCTCCACATCGCCTCCTCTATTTTGTCCTAAATAAGTATGCAGGCTTCTGCTGTTTTGAAGATCATAAAGCAGAATCTGCCTTTTTTTTAAAAAAAAGTTTCCCATTTGATTATTTTGATCAGAGCAAATGAAGTGTCAATGCATGTAATTATTCATTGCCAGAAATGCAAAGGCATCAATTGCTTCTGGATGTAGCTCAAATGTTTTATCTCTGGAGGCAGTCTCTATCAATCAATAATTGTTGTCATCAGTGTAAAACTGCTATAATTATTGCTCATTTTTGTTATCCATACACTTAGTATATGCGTGGTCTTCTTTCTACAAGATCAAAAGAAAATAAAACCCTTAGAGGCCCAGCTGGAAAGAACACTGAGCAAAAACAGTATTGTAAATAAGTCACCACACTTAACCATAATATGCTATGGGACAGGTTTCATAAATATGCACTTCAGCCCAAGTCCACAAAACATTTACTTGGCATACATACATACAGTATTGATGTATGTACTTGACATAGCCAACAGAAAAACAGTATTATAGTGGAGTTTTTCCATGGGCTGTGTTTTTATAGCAATCTTTATTACTTCACTCCTGAAGATGGATATGTGATTGTAGTGATCCATAGAACCAGTCTCCAGCAGTTCATCTCTAAACCTTTTACTCAGAGTGTGGTGAGATGGCCGAGTTTAAGGGAAGGGAAGAAAAATCTCCTTAAATAGTTCTGCCTTCCTTGTGTAGAAGCCATCGAAATAAAAATGACAACTGCAATGATAAATGAATGAGAGGACACATTTGCAGATGCAGATGCATGTTTAGTGTCCAGTTCTCATTAGCTTTTAATGCCTTGAATATCTCTTTCATGTTACTTACACAGGCTCATCAGCAAAAACCCAACGTAGAAAGCTCAAAAGAATGTGCATGAGCCAGCCAGTTATCCATTTAGTGTTATGGATTTTCTTAGGCCATAGAAAAGTACAATCAAAACATATGGACATTAGCTAAAGTTATGCCTAACAAAAGAGGAGCTTTCTTAAATTTCAGTTTATACAGAGCTTATAATTCCTAGAAAAGGGACACGAGCAGACCAGAAGCCATCTAGAACAGATAAGGACAGTTTTTATCTTTTACCATTCATGAGTCAACAAGTCAAACTCTCCATACAGCTGGCCCATTGTAATAGATTTGGGATTCAATATAAAATAATTGACGGCTTCATAGTTTCCACCACTGACTGAAGGCCGACCTTTCAAAGATGTCATTGCAGCTGCCAAAACTTTGTAACACTGAAGACAGAAAGAGTGCAAGGGAATAAAACATTATGGCATTTATTTGAAGGCTGAAAAGAAAGACAATTCAGACTCACCATGAATCTACAATAATGAAGAATGCAAAGTAGTAACAAAGGACTTTGCCCAAGGGTTTGACATGATTAAGAAAAGAGGATTATAAAAGACAAGCACTGATCACAAAAACAGAGGAGGGAATGGCCTTCATTCTTTTGGAAAGTTGATGTAATATCTGCAAACATCGCACTGCAGAAATCCCAGCAAAGCTGTGCAGGCTCAAAGTCACCCATGCTTGCCTTAATAAGGCTCTTCCAGAGTACACATAAGATCAGTATATCAGTTTTAATCCTAGTGTTCTTATTTCAAAGCTCTTCTATGCAGGCTGCTACTGTACTTGGCAAGAAGGGATTTTTCTGTCTCAGAACAGTATCTCGAACCACATTAAGCCAAGCACAAAGGCTGGAAATGCTCCTCCTATGGTGTAAGTGCTGGACAAACCATCTTAGTGTTATTTCCCTTTCATCTGTTGACAGCAACACCAGGCATCTCCGGAAGTTCTTACCTTAGTTTTTCCTGAGCCTGTGGGCCCCACCAGCATGAGACCATGACGTACCACAGTAGTTTCATATAGCTGGATGCACTTCATCACAAACCCTGGAAGAAAAAGATCCAGAATGGGAATGCCTCACAGTTGCTTTCACAGGCCTGCAGGTCTATGGATACGAAACTGTGTGGATGCTATAAGCCCCCAAAGCACCATTGAAGGCACACACCAGTTTGTTCCTTAGCTATCTTGAGAAAGATGTCAGCACAACCTACAATGCTACTCTTACTCACTCAATCCTTTCATAGCTATCACACATTTTAGAATCCATAGAGTGATATAGTATACATGTAAATAAGAGCACATTTTCACTTAGGGCACACCAACTTTATAATTCTCTTCTTGGCATCAGGTAAAAAACCATTTTATCTGCCTGGTATTTTAGACTGAACTTGGTTTTTATCAGTGGAATTATTATTTGATCTAATTTTAATGTTCTAAAGCTTTGATCATTTTTATTATTGTTATTTTAAATATTCTTTGCTCCAGGAGCTATTTTAGGTTAAACCATGTAGCAGAATGAAAAATAATAATAAATATTAAATATACACTTCAGGTAAATGACATTAAGTTCCAAGTTTACCCTCCTACTTAGATTGCACAGTATTCTGCCAGAGTGTTAGAAAACAGTTAAAAAAAACACCAAAAAATCTAGATAACAAATGCAATCAGGGGAACAAAATGAGCATAGATTTGGGGTTTGTACTTTTCCTGGTAAGAATTTAAAATGTTAAGTGGTATACAGATGCTTTAAAAATAAATAAATGACATTTCCCTCACTGCTGTGAACATTTTGCTTTAAGAATTTCTGGGCCTGATCTACTTAATTTCCATTTTTGATGCTCTGAGAACAACATCAGAGCAGAAGTTAAAAAGGAATGTCCACAGATGGAAAGACAGATGTATTTATTGAGGCTGCAATCCTATATCCACTTACTTTGGAGTAAGCTCCACTGAACTTAATGGGATTTAATTCTGAACAGACAAGTAAAGGATTGCTCTGTTATTTACTTATTGCATTTGTATCCTGCCTTTCTTCCACACAACTTGAGGTGAAGAACATGGGATTCCCAGATAGGTTCCACCCAGGCACTTAAAAACCCATCCTCATACAATGATCTGTGAGCTGCAATTGCTGAAGGACAAATTATAATCCACTGCTGTGGTGCCAAATTTCCAAAGTTCACAAGAGACTAATATATAGTTTTAAGAAAACTCCACAGAGGCAGTGTGTTACTTTTTCACTTACCATCAACATCTTTCAAGTTGTCTTTAAGACAGTATCTGTGAATTGCTTCCTCCAGGATGCCATAGTCAATAGGTTCCTCTTTGATCTTGGGAAACAGATCAGAAATTATACCATTGAAAAGCTTCAGGTCATCCTGCAGGAATTTAGGAACATTGACATCCTTGATGGCCCTTAGGCAAATCAGTTCCTGCAAGCAAGAAAAGTATATTAGTAAAGATTCTTCCTCTTTTCTTGGATCTCCATGCCTAGCCTTTAATTGCCACACTCTGAAATCTTGATTATTCTACAGCGCTACTAATCTTTGTACTTTGACAGACAGATGATTGCAATTAGGACTGTTCTTTTCAATTGTGTTTACTTTTCTTGTTCCAGACATCTTCAGCGAAGATGAAAAAATGTGGTGGTGGTGGTGGAGTTTCACTGAGGTTGCTGAAAGAATGTTATCAACAATCTTAATTTTTTAATGAAAAAATCAAAATAAGATAAATAAAAGTTACAAGATCTAGCCCCAAATGGAATTGCTGCACATTTTAATATACAAATATTTGTAGATTAGGTACAGGCAGAGCAGAACAAAATTTTAAACAAAGTTCAGTCTTAGCACAGCCTTCACCAACATGATGTTCTATGCCCCTGCTGGGAAGTTATTCCCAACACTCTGCCCAGATGAGCAACACATGTCCAGAATGTAACCAGAAAAGTGGCTCTTAACTATTCTAGTCATCGTCATGCAACACTGCATATGGAGCCATTTGAAGTGGGACTACTTGAACTTGCCTCATCCATTGTTGGATTTTCTCTTTTGAGATTGCCAGCCGCTGAAATGACTGTCTTCACAGCTCTCATTCCAAAGTCATAGTGATCCTGCAGCAGAGATATGGGAAATGACAATAGTGGAAATAGGAACTGAAAGCATCTAATCAGTTAGACAAGAGAAGGGAACAATCTGCCAATCTCCTTCTCTACTTGCAGCCATCCTCTTTCCTAAGAAAACAAAAAGAGGGAGAATCTTTACACAGCTAGGCCTAGGCTTAAATACTTTCATTCTGAACAAAGGTAAAAGACAAAGAGTAGAGAGGCAGAGAGTACTGTTATGAAGAAGGGTATTCGATACTGCAGCAATCCTTTTTAGTTCTTCTGTCCTCATAAAGCAATTCCTTGGTAACAACTGAAAACGAAACCAGGGCATGAGCAATAACATTGGTATGATTGCACAAAAACTTGAGCTAAGGAGGATCAAAATGGATAAAGGACAGCCACGGAGATAGCAATGAAAGTGAGAAGAGAATATGGTGCGCCAAGATATCAGAATCAGCAACAATTCTGAGCTACAGGATGTACTCTAATGAAACTTTAAAGATTCTGCCTATGTTAGGAAGGCTGGATGGCTCAAAAATACTGACCTGGGAACTGAGTTGTTCAGAAGACAATTTAAAGGTGGTAGTGATCTTCTTTGCCAGAACTTTGGCTTCATTGAAGCCAAATGAATACAGAGAAATCTCAGCAATCATAGAGTAATCTGGAACCATCATAGCCACAGGACGAAAAAGAGCCTGGAAGGTATACAGTCACCATGAAGAGGGAAGGCTCCACATACATTCACTCTTAGCAATCTGTGCTTATGGATGGTAAGCAAATTAAAAGCAATCTGCACAAAAGAGATTATCAACCAAGTGGCAGCAACCCTTTATAATTGCACACAGAAGACAGAATCTATGAAATTTGCCAGTTGCATCTGAGATCTTTTTTAATGTTTGAGATTTCTGAGGAGGCATTTCCAACCATTTGGGGGATAATATAACATCTTATTGCATAATCAGACTTAGTAGCATTCAAAAACAGTCTCCCTTGCCAACGTGAATTTAAGTGATTTTCCTAACTTTGTGGGAGTGGAATGAAATCTCTTTCACCAAATTTACCTATGCTTTGAAATTGGAAGAGATTTTCAAAGCAATACATTCTAGGGGTTGGGATACTCCCATCCCCTACAAATAAAGGATGGATTCCTCTATATATGGCAGAATATATCAGCTATTCCTCTCCAAAGTCAGACACAGAGCTCCAACATCAGAGAGGGAGTTCTGATGTCAGCTCCTGCCCCCAACACCAAAGCCACTAACACCCTGGTCCAACCAGTGTTTGAGCTGCAATGTCAGTATAGACAAAATGGAGATATATTGGGAGACATTAAGAGGTGTGCCTGAGGAAGACCAGGAAACAGCTGGGATTTGAAGGATCCAACTCTCTCCTAGTCCCCTGATACACCCCCAAACTGGGGACAAATTTAGACATACCTCTAAGCATGACTCAATCTCTCCCTCCACTATCTTGCTCCATTTGAGAGGGAAAATGTACAGAAGGTGGGAATTAAATCTGGAAATAGACCAAGGACTGCAAGATTGCTCCTCGGCCTCATTTCTGGCCTGGCCTGGCAGCTTGAGCCCAGCAGACCTTTGGATGTGGTCATTGAACTGCCTTTTGTTCCTGCCCCTTCCCCTAACCTTAGAACTGCATCCTAAGATAGTTAGAACGTAGATGTCATCTTATAGCATTATAGTTAAGTAAGAGACAGCTGTTCATATATGAACTGAGTGTAGCCAAGTCCAGCAGTCTTTAGTTACCTTTAAGTTATCCGGCAGCTCAGTGCGTCCGGCATAGCCAGGGTTCATTGTGATGAAGACCGCACAAGATGGAACCAGTGCAATTTCAGCTCCTTCAAACATGAAGCGATCCACCTAGACCCAGTAAAACATTATCATAGTGAATGACTTGCTGGTAAGTTCCAGATGGAACAAAATCCTTTTTGTGTCAAAACAGATAAATATAACCCTACAAATCCAGTCAAATGTCCTTACTGGGCTGGTCCAAAGAAGAACACTACCCACTCATTGGCTTGCAGCCAGGACCAGATTTGTTTAGAATTCAGTTGGACACACAATGACATCCCTCCCTTAGATTTGCACTTCCCTGAACTTGGTTCATCCTAAGGCATGGTTGCTTATTCTACCCTGCAGTGGCTTTGGCTTATTCTACCCTGCAGTGGCTTTGGCTGCATTTGCATCCACTGCATCTCTTCTAGTGGTGTGTCAGATGGCAACTTGGGCTACTCCAAATTCTTTCACAGAGAGTTATAAGATGGACTTGCATGCTTCCTTGGAGGATGCATTTGGAAGGCATATCCTCCAGAAATTAATTCCTCATCATTAATTTGCCAGCTCCCACCCCAGGATTACTAGGGGTAACTTTGGAACATGTCATTTGCTGGTGTCCTGGTGCCTATGGTATTGACCTGAAAGGTGTTTCTAAGGAGGCACTAGGACATCACCAAGGCCCACCCTTCACTGGCATTGTTTACATTTCTTATATTATGGATGGCTACTCCTGGTGTCTGGAGTCTGTCATGCCATTAGTTTCTTTCTAGGATGTCTGTCATATGGTCTGGTGGAAGGGCAAACTATCACTCCAGGGGAGGGGCAACACAAAAGCCTTTAGGAGTAATGACTTTTTTTCTGCCTTTGAGTCTTTGTAACCGGTTAGCTATGCCTCTCTGACTATAAATTGCATAAATAAATAAAAGAAATACAGTAGAACCCACCAGTGGGTTCCATGCTGGAGAGCCTCTACAATTGTCTTGAGGCTTGTCATATGTTCACCTACTTAAACAACAAATTTCTACTTGAACAGCAAAGAAAACAAACACTGGATAATGTTTTTGTACCAACATACTTGAGGCAGAACTAGAACACCAGAACAGAGATACCTACTCTGTAGCCCACAATCTGAAGAGAACAGCTTACATAACAAGCACCAGAAAATGCAAGTAACGACCCTTCTGAATGTATTGAAACCAGCCAATTAACTTTGAAAAGAAGTTTCTTCAGCTAGGTGAAAACTATTCAAACCTCTGTGTAGTAGCAGGGTTTTGCCATGCTATGAAAACCTGTGCAGCGCCCAAAACTCCTACACCAAACTGCCAGTTAAGTGGCAGAAGGGACTAACAGGAGCCTTGAAAGCTTCTTTTTCTCTTAATTAGGGAAGCAGAATTTTCCAGTTCAATATTCTATTAGAAAAATATTCATATTAAAAAAGGTCTCCAAAGGACTACCTGTCAAAGAAAGTAATAAAAGTAAAATCATCTGACATTTAAAATATGCATTCTATTAAATGATTATGGAACTGCCAATATAAAGGAGGAGAACCCCCTAAATCTGCCAATACGTAGGCAGGAAAAACAACAAGCTTTAAATAGCATTTCAGAAATCACTCAAACCCCCACAAAAAAACAGCCCACTGGGGAGAAAAACTTCAGGAGACAACCAAGAACCATATACACAAGGGAAAAGCAACCAAATTATATGCACAAACAAACAATTAAAGGTCAGAAGAGCACCAGCTTGGTCTGCTTCAAGCAAGGGCAGAAAAAATGAAATGTCACTCTAGAGGAGGGGCAACACAGAAGCCTTTAGGAGTGGTGACATTTTTTTCTGCCTTCAAGGAAGTGGAGCATAATGATATCCCACTTGGTGATGTCCTAGTACCTACCAGAGAAATAAAAGTGTGGTTCGGGAAGCCAAATTCCTTCACTCTTCACTTCCTTAACTTACCCTCTGCTGTTGAGCTTTCTGAATTGTTGTGATTTGCTGGGCAACTACAGACAACACTTCAATGTCAATGCGGTTGAACTCATCGAAGCAAGCCCAGGCTCCAGAACTGAGCATATAAGGAGAAGACAGTATCAGGAATCCAATAGTTACTAGCAAAAAATCAGTTGGTCTTAAAAGGAATGAAGAGATTATGCCAATCTAGACAGCACTGGGGCAGGAAGGTAGGCTGGCAGTGAGGTTGGGGCTGCACCAATGTGCTGCTGGGAGTGCAGGATTGGCTCTGCTGCTGCATTTGTACAGCACCAGCCTCACTACTGCCCCAGTGCCTTCCAGGCAACCTGCAGAGATGCTGGTGTTGGGAGTGTAGCTCTGTCTCACCATGCTGGCTGTTACTGGTGGCAAGTTAATTTATGCAAATTGCCTACCATTTGATACCAACCTTCACGAGCAACTATTTTACATGTTCTCTTTGGGACAGTCACAATATGTAAATTGGGCCCAGCTTCCAAAGGTGACTGGACTTTAAACTATGTAAGTTAGCACAATCTAAATGTTTATTGGGTTCTCTTTTACTCTATCAAACCAAATATAGTGATACATCTCTACAGAATGCTCAGACAGGCAATATATGGAGATTGCTAGTAGGGAAATTATCACTAGGCTAGCTACTTGTTCTGGGTTCTCATAGACTCCCCTCTGCTTAGATGTATTGGATGCAACAATATTCTGATTCATGTATTGTCTGCCAAACCAATAATGTTGCGGCTGTGTTATGATCCACCCCCTGTGTAGCATATTCATATATGGCATTGTTTTGTAATACCTGGCTAGTCCTTTCAGGAATTTCCCCATTGCCATGAAATCAAGCTGATCAGAGCAATTAAACACAACCGTCTGGATAGCTAAAGCTTTCCCCAGATCTTTAGTCGTCTCTGTTTTGCCTGTTCCAGCTGGTCCTGCAGGAGCGCCCCCGAATTTCAAGTGCAATGCTCCAGTAAGTGTCAAGTAGCATCTATCACAAAGAATCAAATAATTTTAAGGCTGGAAGGGTTCATCTAGTCAAATGCCACACAATGAAAAATGTATTATTTTATTTATAAACATTACCAAATAGCTCATTATGTTAAGAAGAATGCAGTTTATTATCAAATGACAGTATACTATGAGGGAAGATCAGAACACTATGAAAGGGGTGGGCTCACCTTTTTCAGGCAAACCCTCTGGGGCCTACATCTCATGGTGGGCATGCCCAAAGTATAAAAGTGGATGTGACCAATTTTTTTAAAAAAACAACAACAACAAAAGGACAAATTTGGGGGATCTTGAGAGAATCACAAAACATTTTGAAAACACAGAAGAGGATCCATGGGAGTGGTCAGTATTTCCTTTAATGTAATACAAAAAAAAATTAATGGGTGAATTTGGGGGAGCCTTTTGGCTCATGGTTTGTCTCCTCCAGACAAACTATGAGCTGTAAACCAAGAACACATATTGGTTACAGCTCTTTGCTTGCATGGAGAGAAACAAACCATAGCTCTGAGTTCATATGACAAGCTAAGGCAAACCATGACTTTGTCAGAGTAGCAGAGTCACAGTGAGATTGGAGAAGGAGCAAAGCAGTCACAATCTCCTCTCTGGAAACCTGTGCATATGTGCTAAGGCATGATCTGGTTTAGTGCTAAATGCAAACTGAGCCACAGACAGCTTTTTAAAACAAACAAACCAAAACTGTAATGAAGAGCAATCTTGTACATTTTTTTGCCTATGTTGTAAACCAGCCCAATTCAAATGTGTCTTGGGTGTGTGTGTGAAATGTCCTGAAATAAATTGTGACATATGTGTGGTGTGTCAGAAGAATGTCATTTATCTGCTTCTCTGGGTTTTGTTTTAAAAACCACATAGGGCCCCAACACTGACTAGGGTTAAAAAAGTACACACCCTTTTAAAGAGTCAGTTGGCTTTCTTGGGATTGATTGATTGATTGATTGATTGATTGCTGCAGGTGCTTTTTGTCTACAGAAAACTGTGGGTTGTTTACAACTAGCTTTTATCCAGAGCAGACCTATATAAATTAATGACCATGACTAACTTAGGTTCATAAATTTCAATGAGTCTATTCTAAATAAAAGTTACAGTACTTGAATACAATCCTGTATATAGCCAGTGGCTGAAAACTGGGAAGATTGTTTACCACCAAGAAGGTGACAGTAAATGAGATAGACTGCATCCTAAGTCTACTTCTCTGTGCGTTCTGCAATAAAAGGTATACCCGGGGTGGATTTCAATACTTCAAAATGACATGCTGCAGGAAAAATATTTTTAAAGGGACTCACTAGGTTTTCTGATCTAAATATGCTTTATGACCTTAATATGATGATCAATAATAGCTAGAACAAGTGAGATCCAGTTGAAACCTCCTGAGAACAATTATATTAGCACTTCAACACATTCATTTGCTATCCCATCCCTTGCTCTGCTAAAGCATCAATAATCAATAATGGTACTCAAAAGGAATAAGAATTTTTAAAAAGAAGACATAGATCATATGTTATTATTCTCAGAGAGCTGCTTTAACCATACTGTTTAATGATGAATAACCATCATTCAATATTATCCATGGAGGACCACTTGATTAAACTGCTTCTGTTACCATTATTGAGAACTGAACGGCTATATCCTTGTTCAGCCTGCAGAAATGCAATCCATCTTCGATGCATGCAACCGATTACAGTGGTACCTCGGTTTACGAACTTAATCCGTTCTGGAAGTCTGTTCTTAAACCGAAACCATTCTTAAACCAAGGTGTACTTTCCCTAATGAGGCCTCCAGCCGCCAGTGCCCTTCCACCGTTCGGATTCCGTTCTTAGACTGAGGTAAAGTTTGCAAACCGAGACACTACTTCCAGTTTTGTGGAGTTCATCAACCAAATCATTTGTAAACAGGACTGTTCTTAAACCGAGGTACCACTGTACTACATTGTCAACTTTTTTAAAAAAACAACAACCAACCACACGCATATATGCATTGGTCAACTAAATAAAAAGCTTTTTAAAAGAAAGTTATGCACTTTGAACATAGTTTCTCTAAGACACATGTGGAATCTGTTCCTAAACACTTCACCATATTTGGCATACGCAGACACAAGAACTAGGCCCAGTTTCCCACTGACTCCGTATGTATCTGGTTTTTAGGAGCTTCCATGTTAGGTCTTGGGCTTTGAGCATACTCTTGCTGCCTGGCCCCGCTTGGAGTACTGCAATGTACAGTGGTGCCCCGCAAGACGAATGCCTCACAAGACGGAAAAACCGCTAGACGAAAGGGTTTTCCGTTTTGAAGTTGCTTCGCAGGACGAATTCCCCTATGGGCTTGCTTCGCAAGACGAAAATACCTTGCGAGTCTTGAGGTTTTTTTTCCGCTTTCCCCCTTTATCTAATCTGCTAAGCCTTTAATAGCCTTTAATAGCCTTTTAGCAGCTAATCCCTAAGCCTTTAAGCCTTTAATAGCCGCTAAACCGCTAATAGCGCTAATAGCGCTAATCCGTCAATGGGCTTGCTTCGCAAGACGAAAAAACCGCTAGACGAAGACTCTCGCGGAACGGATTAATTTCGTCTTGCGAGGCACCACTGTACTCTATGTGGGACTACCTTTGAAGATGACTCAGAAACTACAATTAATCCACAATGCAGATGCTACACTGGCAGAGTTGACCCTTGATTCAGCTCTCAAAGAGTGATTTATTCATTCAAGATTATGGAGACAAGTTGTTGTTTTTTAGTCTAATAAATTATGATACCTGTCAGTGAGAGGTGTAATCACCAGGCGCCCACTGTTGCCCAAGTATTCATAGCCATAGATAAATTCAGCGTTCACTGCCCGGATATACAAATCATCTCTTGTCCAGTAGTACCTAATGTTAAAGAAAAGTTAAATGCAAAATGACATAGGAAGAAAACTGCAAGAGCTAACAAAGGGTTTCTTATACCATCAGTTTAAACACCGCAGTCCTGTTTATTTGGTTGTATTTTGTTCACACTAAACAATGCATATTCTTTTATAACGTTGCATGTTCCACCTGCATATTATTGAAAAAGCTCTGGAGCTGACTGCCGCTTCACAGGTAAGATTCACCTTCTGTTGAGTGGCAGGGTGGTCCCTTCCCTTACCTGGCCAATCCCCTGGCAACACCTCCCCAGACAGGATTGGGGTAGGCGGAGACCTCCGGTATCCAGTCTGGGGAGGATGAAGCCAGCCTGAACTACCAGGAGCTGCACTGGGATCCGGGGGGGCTGCACACGACCACGCAAAAGGTGCCCCCATTTGATGTGGGGAGTGGTCATTATTGAAAAACTGGACATTTAATGAGTAATGTTAGTGTATGCAGAAAATAATGTTATGTATGCAGAAAAAACAGTAGATTTAACAGAAATTTTCCACAGCCACAAAAAAGGTTAAGTGTAGAACACCTTTCAGCAACTAGCATAAAGCAGTTGAAAGATAAAGAGAAGAAAGATAAAGAGAAGAAAGATAATGTGAATTTATTTTGGAAGGGAGTGTTATTGGGTTGGAATAACCCCTAAGTAGAATGATACAATAACAGTCAGACGATCCTTTTCAGACCTTTGTGATTATTCTTTCTCTAAGGCTGTGTGCTTCAGGGTGCCCTGCCTAGTTCATGTACCTCACAGTAGCTGAAGACAGGTATCTGTCTCACTACCCAAAAACAGTGATAACAGATTCTAGGAAATGTCTCACCTGAGCTGGGAAATCCACTCGAAATCATTCTCACTGCTGACATTCTCCTCAACAAGTTTAGCTGCCACATCCTTGGCATGAACTTCAATCACAATGAGAGCTGATAACACTCCCCGCTGCATCCGAGACAGCTTCCCTCGCACAAGTGCTACTAGGTCGCTCAGCTGTGCAAGGAAAGCATAACAAGTCAGGCCATGCCTTGGAGAAATATGTCGTATCTACTTGGCATTCTATAGTTAGCAATGTACTGAAGTGTGTAAGAAAACTGGAGTCCCTTAGGAGAAAAAGAAAAGCCACTTCTCCGCCTTCCTCACAAGTTACATTTTGTGAGGGGAGGAGAAGAAACAGTACCACTCTAGACTGCCTTGGTCAGACCCCACTTGGAGTACTGTGTCTAGTTCTGAGTGCCACAATTTAAGAAGGTTATTGACAAGCGGGAACATGTGCTGAGGAGGGCAGCCAAAGAGATCAAGTGTCTGGAAACCGAGTCTTATGAGGAATGGTTGAGGGAGCTGGGTATGTTTAGCCTGCTAAAGAAGAGACTGAGAGGAGGTATGGTATCCATCTGCAAATATCTGAAGGGCTGCCACAAGCTTGTTTTCTCGTACTCCAGAGGGGAGGACCCGAACCAATGGATTCAAGTTACAAGAAGGGAGATTTTGACTAAACACCAGGAAGGACGTTCTGGCAGTAAGAGCTGTTTGGCAATGGAACAGACTCCCACGAGAAGCAATGGACTCTCCTTCCTTGAAGGTTTTTAAGCAGAGATTGGATGGCCATCTGTTATGGCTGCTTTAGTTGAGATTCCTGCATTGCAGGAGGTTGGACTAGAATGAACCTCAGGGTCCCTTGCAACCCTACAATTCTGTGATAGCAGTGAAGCAAGGGCTGGTGGGCATTGTCTTGATCTTTGTCTTTATGAGTTTTTCATTATATCTTTGGGGGGGGGCGCGAAGCTAATGCATAGGACAAGTTTCTGGCCCACCCACCACTGACATGCAACCCCTGGAAGGTTCCCCACAAAGAAATGTTGCCATCAGGCTGAAAAAGGGTCCCCAGCCTTGGCCAACTAGGTGATATAAAAAGCAGGGTTTCAGTGCAGAAGCAACTGAGTCTAAGTTACACAATGAAGTGACATTTTTACCTGAGCACTTAGCTGTGGAAACAACCTGGTGGCCAAATCTCCAGCTTCCAGGGCCTCTGACACTTCTTTTGTCCAGAACGTCTGACATCCGGCAATGGTCACCTGGCCTGGCCAATCTAAGACCCATGTAGTCCGTGGTGTCTTTATTAAAAACATATGGCCTTAATATTAAATACAATGGAGAACTCCCCCCCCCACCCGGTTTCATCACTGTTTAAAGTATAGTAGCTGTTTCTGACAAAAGTTCCAGCCCTAGATCACCCTGTCCTTCTCTATGCCCTGCTATACTCTCTGAGCTCGGCTATGCTGCTTTTTGAGTTTTTCCATATGTGAGCCAAGGTAAGACAAAAGACACCATCAACCATGGAATTCTCTTTAGCAGAAGCTTCCCAAATCCTGGCACCTCTTTTTCCAGAAAAAAAGCCCTGGCCTTACATATTGCATTGTTTCCAAAATATTGTCACCAGGTTTAAAAAATCCAATGCGTAAGTTAGGGTACAGACTGCCTACTGTGCCAATCATTTGGCTTGTAGGCAACAACCGATGAACATGAGTCCAACTGATGTGCGATCGCACATGTGCTCACAGCGTTAAACCTGGAAATGACCCGAAAAGGTCACTAAAAGGGCAGAACGGGTGTGGAACAGGGGCAGGGCAGAACAGAACAGAACAGAGGGCACTTATATGCACTCCGCCACCACATGGGGGCATGGAACAGAACCCCCACACCAAATGGTTGTTGACTGCACTTCTGCAATCCCTATCAGGATAATGCATTCCAAGAATAATCTAGAGGATGAAAGAATGCTGATCCCAAAATAGACAAGACTACAAGATACAAGTAGGAATGCAGTTATATGCACCATTAAGATCCAAGCATACAGATGGAAAGCCAGAGGATTATTAGAAATATATTTCAAAGATCCATCAGCAGAGATTGCTGTCCACTGGTTTTTAAGATGAAGCATCCCAAACCCACAAACAAGTTCCATTTCTTAAGTGAAATTTACATAGTTCTATGCAAGACACTTACCTTTGGATAAACCTTGATGGACCTTTCAATGTTGTCCCGCACACTGGCCCTCATGATCCTCTCAACTTCCAGCAACCAGTCTTCCACATTGCCAGTAGGATAAATGGGAGAGAAAAGTTTTACTTCTTCCCCTTCTGCAGAATACATGTGTGTAATTTGAAGATCTTCCTGAAAGTGCAGCTAGTGAGAGGAAGCACAGCATGAGAAGCCAAGTAGGAAAATTACCCTCCATCCCCTACTTTGCACAAGGCTGTAGATTCACTGTTGTGTGGGATCCAAAGCATGCATATATATATATATATATATATATATATATATATATATATATTACAATCAACTTCACTGCCCTAAATTCAAACCCCTTGAAGCTCACTCTGCAAATGTTCATTAACTTACTAGATGTTGATTCATATACAAAGGCATATATTTCAATATATAAGCACTGTGCTAGTTAAAGGTGCTGGATTAAAAGGTCACATAAGTATTCTCTACATGTAACAGGAAGAGACGACGCAGTATGGTAATATGCCTCCTTATTAATCTCATTCAGCCTGAAAAAGAAGGGGCATAGGTACCAAAAAGAAGAGACTGGCACAGAACAGGGTATGTTTTGAGCCTTCTAAAATCAGTGGGCAAACTCAAAACAAACTACATTGCTACACCTTTGCTTGTGTAATTCAGTTTGTGGTCTCCTCTGAAATGGGCACCTAGTTTGCAACCTGTGGTGATTGAATGGCTATCATCCACTGAGAAAAACTCTCCTCTCTCTCTCTATCTGTCTCTCTCTATCTGTCTCTCTCTATCTGTCTCTCTCTCTCTCTCTCTCTCTCTCTCTCTCTCTCTCTCACACACACACACACACACACACACAGCAAACTGAAGCATGCAGACTTGTAACTGACTTCTTTCATGTATCTAGCTAAATACCAGCTGTTACTATAATCATGCTAGCATAGCAGAACCTGTTCGCTCCATTCCTCTCTGACTCTTCACAGTACAAGCAGGACCCTCAAAGTGGATGGCTATTATTTACCCGAGCAATATTCTCAAAACACTTGCGGAGATGAGGCTGCACAGCTGTGGGGTCTTTGGTCTGAGATAGTATTTCTAACAGCTCATCATCAGAAAGGAAGTAAAATCTGCAAAGAAAGAAGACTGGTGTTTTGTTCCGGGTCTCTAGCTTTTCTGCCAGTGAAAGCACTCCAAGATTAAATGCTGAAAATGATGTTTAAAACTTTGACCATAATCCTAAAACACTTACTTCAGAGTAAAATCACTTTGCTAGTGGCTGTTATTGGGTGACTGAGGCAATTTTCTCCCTGAAAGAACCTGGGTGCACTAGACCCTCAAAAACACACACCATAGGATCCATATTCTCCCCACTGGACATTTCCTGAATTCTAACATATAGATTTTATCAAATGCAAGTCCTACTTAGAGTAGATCTGCAGAAATTATTGGCTCTAAGACCTGTTGTCCCTTTGCTGCATACTGAAGTAGTATGTTGAAGTTCAGCCTCAATGAATAGAATTACCTTGGGAAAGCTCCTCTCTTGGTCTCCAAGTATTCACTTAGGCCTTTCTGCACCAGGTCAAGTAGCTTATTACATTCCCGCAGCTTTTCCAGCAGCCTGGGATCAGGACACACATTAATCACCTGGGAACAGCATGACCAACAACTGTTAGTTCTGCTGGCACCTGAATAGATTAGTTGCAGGAACATATAAAAGCAAAGATGAGCAACTTTTAAAAATGTAACAGACTCTGTGTTTTGCAGCCAAGCATTGACATAACCTCACCTCTCTGTTCTCATCAGCATTTTTCATGATTTTTTTCCATGACCTCTCCATAGTTTGGTAGCGCTTGCTTTCCACTGGCAATTGTCTGTTGATGTCTTCTGAGCTGAAAATGGGCTCCAAATACAACCAGGAACGCTGACATGTCAGCCATTCTTCCAAGACATCCTGACAGGAATGCATGCACATCAGGAAAAGCACACCAACAGGCACACCAATACATATTTACTCAGATTTAATTCCGACTGAATTAAATTGAACTGACTCCCAAGTAAATGAGTATAGGGCAGGCATCCCCAAACTCGGCCCTCCAGATGTTTTGGGACTACAACTCCCATCATCCCTAGCTAACAGGACCAGTGGTCAGGGATGATGGGAATTGTAGTCCAAAAACATCTGGAGGGCCGAGTTTGGGGGTGCCTGGTATAGGATTACCACCTAAAGGAATTGGTTCCATTATTTATGTTCTGGGCTCAAACTGAAGATCTCTAGGGGAAGAGTCTACAAATTATACATGTTAATATTACAAATATTAGAGTATCTGGATTTTCTTTGTAGTCTGAAGTATTCAAGCTATTGCCTACTCCATTGGTATCACAGTAAATGTCCTAATATGAAAAAGAAAGAAAACTGCAACTCTCCAGAATGATCCTTGGGCAGGTTCAAGTCTAGTTGAGTCCAGTCTAGTTGTAGTCAATTGAGCCTCGGTTGCACAGGGGATAACTCTAGATGATCTCAGTGACTGAGCTAAGATATAAGGGCTCAGATGGTCCTCTCTTCTTCTTCTTCTTCTTCTTCTTCTTCTTCTTCTTCTTCTTCTTTTTTGCATCTTGAGCCAAAGTTGTTCAGGGCTTTGCAGCTCAAACAACAGCCTTGAACCTTGAACCAGTAGCATATGGACAGCCAGTACAGAGGTGTCACATGCTGTTGGCTATCTGCCTCCATCAGTAATTTAGCTCCTGCATTCTACACGAGCTAGAGCTTCCAGACCAGGCCCAAGAGCAGCTTCAAATAGAGGGCATTGTTGTAATCCACTCTCAGGGTGACCAGAGCATGCACTATAGGGGCTGAGTTATCCCACTTCAGCTGTTGCTGGTCTACCAGATGAAGCTAGTAAAAGGCACTCCTAGCTGCAGGTTACTTGGGCCTCTAATGAGAAAGATGCATCCAGATGTACCTCCACACTACATTTTGGCTCCTTTAGAGGGAGTGCAGCTTCACCCAGAACAGGCAAGTAGCCTATATTTTGGACACAGGAACCACCATCCACACAAAAACTCCCTCTTCCCGGGGTTTAAACTCAGTTTTATTGGGTCTCATCCAGCCCACCACTGCATTAAGGCAACAAGCTAGCACTTGCACAGCCTCTCCCGATTCAAATATCATGGAGATGTGGAGCTGCATGCCCTCAGAGTACTGATGGCACCATTCTCCATAACACCTAAGGACCACTCCCAACAGCTTCATATTGATAAGCATCAATGTAAAATCTATTTAGCATTGGAGACAGAATTGTGCCTGACGGGGGGCATGAGAGGAGAGGAGGGAAGCCCCATTGTGCTAGCATAACTATTTAGTTGAATCCAGCCCATTGTATTCTAAGAGACTATATTCAAAGAGACTTTCACGCTAGTGAGTATGTTTAAGACAGATACAACTGGTCTGGTGTATTAGTAAACTCAGTGGTAATACATACACTGCAAAGCCATACAGGGAAGGAGTCATATTTTGGTGTTAAGCATTTTTTTCAGATACATATCATGCAAGAAGAAAGCTGAATTGCATATTCAACTTACAACATTTACATAAAATATTTGGAATGAAATCCAAATATTTACAACAGAGCACGGCAAAACAAAAAGATGCAAAAACCAATGGAAGGTGCAATTTAGCTCCATTTTGTGTGTGTGCCAAGTATTTGAACAATAACTGAAACATGTCCACTCATGATGATAGTACTTTCAACAGCTGACAACAAATATCAAAAGTTGTAGCTGTAATAAAGGGATTTTGGCTACAATTCTTTTGCAGCACTTTTGCTGTTTAAATCCCACTGAAGCCAAGATGTTGTTAAATTCTTATACACTATAATACTAGTAAGAAGCTACATGACAGTACTCAGGTCCTTTTTCTACAAGAAATACTACTGGACTTATGTATTTACTTTCGTGGGAATAACATTAAAACAGCAATGTTAATATGATGGTTTGAGATCTCCTAGTGACAAATAGAATCCATGAGATGTGTTGCTTAATAACTGCCAGTTTGAAAGAAGGCTTTCTGTGGTGATAGGGATATGTTTTCCCAGAAGTGATAGGCAAAGCTAACTCAGCCACTCCAGATAACAGAATGTACTCAAGCATCAGAACCTAGTAGAGAATGTGTTGCTCCATGCAAGGATCATCGTGCATAAAAACTAGAATCATGATGATGGTCACACAATTCAAGCATCAATAAATAAGGCTAGGTTGGTTATGGTTATTATGAATTAGTTGCCCTTTATTAAACAAACAGAATTTCTGCTACATTTCGGGAGATTTGGGAAACTTCACTGGAAAAATGATAATTTACATAATTTTTAACTCCATGAGTTTTGGTGATGATAAAAATGATCATGGATTTGTATTGATTCTTCTTATATATAGCACAATAACAGTGGGAAAAATAATTTGAGTTGTGTCATTTAGATGAAAGTGAAAAAATGAGCCTCAACTGCAAAAACTGAATTAAGCAATCAATTTAGATCGGGGGCTACTGCCATAGATCCTTTTTCATTGTTTTTATGAATCTTACTTCTATCATGAATATAAAATTCAATAAAATCTTAATTTTGAACTCTCGATCTAAGGGATGCATTTCATTGCCACAGTTCATACATTTAGGGAATGAATCGGCTGCCCAGTTCTGAGGCCTGCTTGAGCTGAGCCCCTGCTCCTGTGATTTCTCTCCCTCAGGTGGAGGAGAAATCATGCAAGGAATCCAGTCCATATGTTACATCATCTATGTGGCTGCACAGGAATTTTTTTAGGATTAACTCACAGGAACTGAATTCCAGCACCTCTTAGGTGGATGGCATTGCCATTGTAAGAGAATGGGGGAGGTGTTCATGCTGAGTTCCAGGACCTCTTTTTCTATAAAAAATAGCACTGTGGTTGCAGGAAACAGGCCACTCTGCATGGAGAAATTTTGCATGTATGAACTGGGGCACAGTGCTGAACAGTTAGTAAGGCCCCAGACAAATAGAAGCCCTTTAAATAATGTCCTTAGCTGAGAAAACAATAGCTATTCCTTGAGCACATAGCAAGGAATGAGTCACATTTGGTTAACTAGACTAATGGATCACCCACATATCCCTTTAAAACCCTCAAGAAGAGGGGGTCGTTTGGTAGAGAAAACAGCAACAACTAGGCACTGTTTTTGAATGTGCCAAGTGTCCCTTCTTAGGAGCCATGCAAAACTGTGAGCCAATTTATGCTTGCTTTTCACACTCCCAGTGAAATTAGCATTTATTATTCAGGGAGAATAACACTTCTCAATTTGGGCTAAATGTGGAACAGTTAGGCTCCAGAAGTCCGATCCGGCTCACATTAAATTAGTTAATGGTCCGAGTGATAGAATGTTCTCTATGAACAGCCGAAGTAATTGCTTGCAGAACGTCCTGGTGTTTGTTTATTTTAAAACTACTTTTTGAAGTGTTGTGGCTTAGCCAGATTCAAAACACCACTTCCTAGACACCTGATTAAAGATGTTCTGCGCTCTTCCAGTCTCATTGGTACTGGCAGGCATACAATCTCTCTCAGAGACAGGCTGGAGGTTCAGAAATTACTTTGCTCTTTGCTCTTCAGATTTCGTGGGCAGACAGGTGTGTAATGAAGTGTCTTCTTCAAAGCAGGCAGCACTGAGACTTGTGTGGACGGTCAAGAAGCCATACAGAAATATAAATGTGTGTTGAAGCTTTCTGAGACTGAGGTGAAGGGCATCTGAGTCCTAAACATTCATAGTGGTGTATCTCTGCCTTCAACCCCAATATGATGGATATACAACTTAACCCCTTTGCCTCTTATCCTGTTGCTTGAGTCAGTAGATAACAATTGCCCATTCTTCTTGTAGCAATGAATCGCTGTAGCAGTTTTAGTAAACTGAGGATGGTTTATATGGCCCTTCATAGTCTTTGTCACCATTCCATTTTCTGTCCCCCTAATATGCTTTAACTACCAAGATAGAAACATTTTATTACAAAGCCTGAAATTACTACTCTGTGGGGAGGTTTTTCTTCTTCAGTAAAAAAAATCTCAATGCCTTCACCATGTGGAAATCCCATATCAGTAAAAGGAGTAAAAAAGAAGGGAAGGCCAGTCACAATTCCACATCCAAATCCACACACAGCGCACACATAATCACATCAGAACAAGCTTGTCACCTGATTCCTTACAGCCTTGGGTTCCATCCCTTTCTCATCCTGAGGCAATCAGAACATACTCTGCAGACTCTGGTTCAAGCGCATAAGGATGGCTAATGCCCATTAATAAAGCAAAAGAATGATAACATAAAAGCACATGTTCTGCATTGTCAAAACACTTCACTAATAAAAGTACTGTGCTGTTATTACCTGTTCATTGCAAAAGACCTGCTTGCTTCCATCAGTAACTAAAAGGCTTATTTAAGATATTTGAGTGTAAAAGCTGCCATCAAATTGCTGTAAGTGCGGGTGTGTGCACACAATTTAAAGCACATTAGGGATGGGTGGGAGGGAGGTGCTTCTCTCCCTGCCCCCAAACCAGAATGAGTTCAAAGATGAAACTACACCATCAAAATTCTTATAATTGTGTGTGAAAGTGCAGCACGGAGGGTAGGTGGAAGAGAGGTGCTGAACCCTCCTGCTTCTTCACTTTTACACCTGAAATGGGTTTTAAACCCTTTCATCTGGTTATGTCTTATCTTGAAGCCTCAGTGGAACAAAAGGAAACTCTGAAAGCCATTAAAAGGTGGCATTCATTTGAATATGTCTTTGGGCCAGAACTACAGTTCTCTTGATGTACAGCTCCACCACCATTATGTCTAGTTTGGCCCTAATCTACTCATATGCCTAATGGTGAGACCTAGCAATTACCGGTACAACTTACAAAATTAGGCTCTTCAGGGTGAACCTGGTCAATAGAGTGACTAAAATATGCAAGGCCATAATTTGTTGTGTATTAAAAAAAAAGTGCCAAAGTTTCAGAGGATGAAAAATTCTCTTTAAATTACTGAAAGAAGTGAAGCCTTGTGGCTATCCAGTCTCATTAAAGTCAGAATCTGATCCAAAGCTCTGTGTAAACTATAAACTGTACACAGAGCTCCCATGTCAACAGGGTCTGATCTCCGAGCATGTATTGGAGGTATGTATACAAAATTGTCCTCAGCCTATTATCATTCTCACAGCTAAATTGGAGTATCCCCTTTGTTATATCCGATTCCACTTTCAAGCGCACAAAAGAATATAGAAAATTATTACCTGAGTCATCTTTAGCTTATTTTCCCAAGTGTTGATCCTTTCCTCAAATGGCTTCTTAAATGGCGAGAAGGACATGCTTTGAGTCATAACAATGTGGTCATCCAGCAGCTGAGAAGCTTCATCAGGACTCTTCAGAATAAATGTTTCTGTTTCTTTATAGGGAACTACATTGAAGAGGATGTATTCCCATTCGTGCTCCATCTTATCCAAGGCCTGGGAAATGAGAAGCAATAAATCTTTAGTCCCTATCGAACAGACTTTGCAAAACACTTGCTTCCTTAAGGTGGCAACTAGTGAAAAGTTAATGGAGGTTAATGATCATGGTAACAGACTGAGGCTAGCTTTAGAGAGAACAAAGGACATGGAAATTACTTTCCATCAGAAAACTTGTTTGGGATAATACATAGACAGACAGGGATAGAAGTAATTGCCAACGAGTTCCTTCCAAGCTCAAGTTATCTAACATTCTCCAGATCTCCCATACATTTCCAACATCATGCCAAATTAAGAAGTACCTATTTTGCTAGCACATTCAGAAAGTCTACCTATTTTTTAAAAAAACATTATTTTTAGCTGACTAGTGATTTTGTTAGACATTTTCTGAAATATTTAGGGCAAATGTTAAAATCCCTGGATATGAGGAACAATCAGAAGAAAAGCATTCATCTACAGAAAACACTGCAGCATAAAGGATGACACCGCAAGGAAGGTCAGACAGAATGGTCTCCTTACATGCTCAATTGAGTATTCCTTCCCTGCAATCTCAGCTATTTTGGCTATGATCTCGATGTGATCCTGAAGCTTCATCTCCAGACAGCGTGCAAACGTCAAATTGGCCTTCGGCCTCACATTGATTTTGATCTCTTCAGAAAGCATCTCCCAATGACGGTTGCGCATACCAGGATTGCGTAGACCTTGAATCAGGGGTATGTATGGTCTGAATTCCTCAATCTTGCCACGGATTTCCACTGCAACTTCCTGGCATGCTTAACAGAAATTAAAAAATGTACCATCAATCAACAGTTCTAAGTTTACATAATATAGTGCAAATCAGGAACACTGTGTGATATCAGAACAGACTCATTGAAATCAACAGATGTAAGTTACTTGTCCACTTATTTCAGTGGGTCTACTCTGACTATGACAAACATATCAGCCATTACCGTATGTGCAGAAACACAAGATTAAATTGTTTGCTTTAGGGAAAGGGTACTGGGCAACACAATGTTACATTATCCAAAGGGAAATGTTGTATGTTGCCCATAATTTGTTCCTTATTTGCACATTTGAATCAATACCATAATATTTTCTGTAATGCATACATTTGCTCCCTTTTAAGTTATAGGAAAGGTACAAGCTCTGCAAAGAATAGGAGATAATAGGTGGTATTCAACATTTGTCAGAGCAAGCATTCATGTTTACCCGATCTCTCCTCTCCTCCCCCTACATGCTGTTCTGGGGGTTCTCCTGACATTCCAGATTTGAAGAAGTGGGGAGAAGAGGCAAGGAAGTTCCACTGTGCCAAGAGACTGCGGTCTACTTACAAAATTAAAAACTGGCAGTGATCTACCCTCATTTGGGGGGGGGGGTCAGGGGTCAATGTTGTTGACCTTTTTTAGGGAGGAGGAAAGCCCCATTTTTAAGGGTTTGGGGGCAGAAAGAGGAACAGTCAATCACCAACAAATCACTGAGGAAACAAACAGTGGAAACAGAGGAAACAAACTAACTGAACTCCGTCTTCTGTTCTGCAAATCGTGCAACAATGGAGGGCAGGGCAAGGGGGCGGGGCCAGAATATATTTTGACAATGCTAAGGGACCCAGCAATTGACCATGATCTACCAAAACCTCCTGGGGATCTACCAGTAGATCACGATCGACCTGTTGGACATCCCTGTACTAGAGCAACAATGAATACAGTCCATCTGCTTTTAAATGATTAAATTTAGCAAACTGCGATGTACGGGTGTGTAGCCTCCGTTTATTCTTGCAATGAAGGACTAACACCCCAGCACCGTCTTTGACAAGATCAGAACATTGTGATATAAGAAAAGCCAATTCTGGAAGACTTGCTCTATTACACAACTGTGTATTTTTAATCCTTCTGCTTTGAATGAGTCACCTTCACTCATACATATTCCTTCAACTCCTTCTCTGTTAAGGTTGATTCACTGCAGCACTTAGAACAGAATTAATTGTTTAGAATAAAATACAAGTCAAGAAAAGAAACAAGATTCCCCCACTACAGAGTATTTTACAGTGTTAATATGAAGCCATTGTAAATATAATTTTAGAGAAAGTTTGCAGTTCTACTATATCTTTACAATTTCTGAAATGGTTGCAAGGGATGCTAAATCTGTCAGTTTTGATTTCTCCCCATTTCTCATTTCCCCCCCAATATTAATTTCAGTTGATCCCATTTCTGAATCTGTTTGCTTTTTTTTAAAATGACATTTCAAGGCTCTGTAGCTACCTGGAATATCCTTGAACTGTTTCACACACTTGTGCATTGTCTTAAAGGACTCGTTGACATTCTTCTCCAGCTGTTCTGCATCAATTGCAGACAGAGGATCATTCATCCAGCTGTCAGCCCAGCGAAGCCAGTCCGATGCTGTAGTCCAGAGATCATAGAAGGGCTGAAAGTCCTTAACCATCCTGGACAGCTTATCGTACTGGAGAAACCAAAAGAATATTACTAATTGCTAATAGGCATATGTTCCACAGAAAAATAACCTGTATGTCTTCCAAACAATTCCAGCATGCCATCAGGGTATACATGTATACAGGGTATACATTCACTAGGTTGTTCTCTCTAAGTCAGCAGGGAGCCTTGAACTGACTTCATGAGAGTACCTTCTGTTTGTCTAGTGGGCAAGGGACCTTCCCTTTGTTTCTTGAGCACAATATGTGACTATACATGTGCCCAGATCACAATAGTCCCAGAGTTTCCATGTGGGTTGGGTCTAGGCTATCTGAAGGAGCTTATCGCCCTATGAGACTGCCTGAGCTTTGAGACCTTCCAGGGACGGTTTTATCTTGGTCCCGCTACCTTCATAGGCACTTTTGGTGAGGACACAAGAGAGAATCTTATTCATGGCTGCTCCCAGATTGCTGAACTCTCTTCCATGGGAGGCTAGGCTGGCCCCCTCTCTGATTTCTTTTCAGCGGCAGGCAAATTTTGTTCAGACAGGCCTTTGGCCACTAACTGGCTGTTGTGGCAGGATCTTCTAAGGGTGGGTGCTGTACTTTGTGTGTGTGTGTGCATGCTTCAAAATGGTTCTAAGTGTTTACAGTGCTGTTTTAATAGTTACTTTTTTGATTTTTACAAATATTTATATTGCTTGTCTGTTTGTAGTGGTATTTATTTTAATTCATGCTGTGAGCCACCTTGGGAGAAAGGCAGGTTATAAATAAAAGTAACTAAATAAATAGGGAAAGAGAGGAGAAAGGAGAACAGACACACACTATACAAAAGTGCACACAAACCATATTATCCTATGTATAAAGGGAACAAAATCCAGTCATTAAACAACATTAAGTGCCATTGATTATACTTGATCACTCAGAACCATGCAACATGCTTCTATTTGACTAGATCACTTCTTCTCTTTCTGTTTGTTTCAAATATTTTATTTTAGTTAGCCATTATTATTACATAACAACAGAAAGATTCCAACACAATTAATTCTGCTATATTAGAGATCTCACACAATTATTAATACCTATTTAAAGCATAAAAATGCAAACAATTATTTTGATTTCTCCTTATCCTCTATGGAACAGAAGCAAATACAATGTCTCATTCTTTTTAAAAGTAGCATCTTTAAAATAAAAGATTTTTTTAATAGCATCTTTAAAAATAAAAACAAAAAAACCAACAGCAACAAAGAAGTGTTAATTAAATACACATTTGTAGTTTTAAGGTTTCAGTAAATGAAATCATTGTATAGAAATTCCTAATCCTCAATAGCTGCTTATTGCTTTTGTGCTGGGAGCCAAGCCAACAATATAGCTTGCAGCCATACGTTTATGAAAGTTTTGAGATCTCTGCCACATGAATTGCTTCATGAATGCCTTGCATCTTCCAGCTCTTCTTGCATGGGCTCTCCCAAAAAACTGAGAATAATTTAATGAAGTGGAGTGGCTAGCATACTGCTTTGTTCTGTGCCAGTTTAGTGAGACCACATGGTTAAAAAATGAAGGTGAGCGACATGGTGGAGTTATAAAGAAAGACTGGCAATATCTGGTGAAGTTTCTGCTATTATCAACAGAGATGCAAAAAGCACAATGAAGGTAGCAAGGGAGTTGGGAACTTACATTAGTCACTGGCACCCCAAAAATCCGTTCCCTGTTGTTGTACAGTAAAGCCAATTGCTGGGAGTCCTTCAAATGCTTCTTAATTCTTCTAGCTTCATTGGCTATCTCATGTGCCCGGTTTATATCACTGTGCGCAGAAAACCCTGCAACAGCAATCTGTGAAAGAAAAGCAGTCATAGCAAGCAGGAAGATAGAGCCCATGATACATAACCATAGATTTGGGAGAGGTGGATAGTGTATTTTAAGATCCTTTAAATGGTCATAAATACTGGATAAAATCCTGCTAATAGCAAGTCTCAGATGGCTATGAGTTTTTACCATGTAAAGTGGAAACATGTCCCTCTCTCCTGGTCACATTGGAACTTGCTAGCTAAGGATGATAATGCACCCTGAGTAATGGACAATCACCCACAACAATGATCTCTATGTCCCTAGGCTCCATGAGGAATAGACCCGGCTAACTCCATGTGTCAAGCTCTTATTGTAGTTCACCCCCAGCTACCCGCTGATGATAGTTGATACTTAAAGTGAGTGTAGAGGACAACTCTGGTGCCCATTATCAGTACCTGAAGACCATCCAGCCGTTCCAAGAAGTTGGTTTGATCCATGAGCTGAATTTTACGGAATCTTTCTTCATCTTCAATGTGCTGCTGCCTTATCAATTCAATCTGTGTGGTGATCTTCAGAGGCCAGCCGCTTGCAGCCCACCTGACAACATAAAGAGAGTCACACAAATGCACCATGTATCCAATCCTCTGAGATGATCAAAGCTGTAGCTCAGCAACATCTAGTGGGGCACAGGTGCCCCCAAAACCCTGCCTTGCATGTGTGTGCTGAGTCTTACAAATTGGGTGCCTGGGACGCACTATATTACAAATCTGTAATAAAATGCTGACACCCCATGGCAACTCTCAAATCCCTGTGAACACCTTGCACCCACACAGAAATACACAGCCTAACAATTTCAGGCTGTGCAGCCCCCCAATTCACTGGCTTTTCATGAAAAATAAAACAAAATAAAGGCCTCCGGTTTGCTAAAAGCCTCAGAAACAAGAAGGTTGCTTCAATCCCTGGCCCAGAGGCTGGCACCATCACTGGTTCTGCATTTGAATAAGGTAGTTCAGTGGGCATCTTTTCTGGCGGCCTGAAGAGATTTGCTGAAGCCCTTTGATGTGCAAATAAAGCCCTGAGGCAGAAAATATGGTATCTGAAGCCAAAGGTCTTGCTCTGACTGCAGGGCAAATGCCTTGTGCTTACTTGTCATTGAAGTCATCTTGAGTCAAATTGTAGAGGAAATCCTCCATGACTTCGTATTCTTCCATGACCTTACTTATCAATTCCTATGCAATGACAGAAAGAGAGAGGGGAGCCGATAAGCAGGGCTTTGCTTGCATGATCAAAATTTCATTCCATCTGTGTTATAATATTGTTGCACACAAAAATGCTGCCTATAAGTCAAATGTCTGGGTATGGTGGTATTCGAGTATAGTGAAAGAGGGACAAGGAATACACTTCTACAGTTATTCTTGGGTTACAACAACACAGAGGATCCAGCACGCCTTAGGAGTCTCAAGAAGCACTGGGTGAATGTGTTTTCTGTACCCTATTGTTTCGTGAAAAAACTTTAATAAAAATCTTAACACACACAAAAAAGAAAAAAGCAGCAGCACTGGGTGGAATTCAACATCATGCTGTGGTGAACATCCCATCAGCAGAAGCTTTGCAGGTTACCTGATGGAACAACCCCTCTCCTCTCTTCCTGGGGGTTCTTCGACACCTACTCCTGAGCAAATTTCAGGAGGGGGACCAGGGGAGGAGGGGAGCCCTCATGCAAGGCACATTAAGTGAATCTTGCTCACTGCTTCAGGCTTGAGAACAAACAAGGTACACAAAGCTTGAGAAGTGCCACAGGCCATTGAAATAGTGTATTATAATTCCACTCTGGTTACATTAATATGATACCACCCTGGTATGGTTAAGAAATCAATGTCAATGGGGGTCACTGTTAGCCCACAAGTTATTACTATGCAAATATTCAACATCTAAAATTTGTACTGAGCAAAAAGCTTTGAAGCAGGTGTGATAAGCAATCCAAACACAGGCAGGCATTTTAACACCAATCCCACCCTAGACACCTGCATGCTCTTTAACAATTCATGGCCATGGTTGGTAGGCAGAGAGCTGTCAGCCCAACTTGGAGGCATGATGGTTTACACACACATTCATTCACATACTATAGCACTGATGCTTAAAAGGTGTATTGGTGAAATTTCATGCACTGAGTTAAGATCTGCTTTCCAGTGATTTCGTTAGCAAACTATGCATGAATAGCATGCATCCGCTTCTTACATCTGCTCCCTAAAATAATGAACTGGGAATTTGTCAACAGCTGTAGAGTTCCTTAATACCTTCAGTGCTACCTGATGAAGTGTTTTTGTAACTACCAACTTGCATATGCATCTGCTAAGAGAATTTGATTTATTCAAAGCAGCCCACAATTACTGTTCTGGTCAGGATGCGGTACTGGATTAAAAGCTCAGTGATCTACCCATTATCTACTTCACTCTAATAGTTTGATGCCACACATGCAGTCACTTCTTACCTCCTGCACTTTCTGCTTCTCAGGGATTCCTTTCATCCACTCCCGCAGCTCAGCCAGCTCCTCAATGCTGTTTGGTTTTTCATAAATTTTTCGGCTGATGGCTTTGAAAGCTTCACAGATCTGCAGAAAGAAGTGATGACTCTCTGAATGATAATAGTGAAATCATTTGATATAACTCAAAAGTAATTATAAGAATTCAACATTCCTTTAAAAACAACAACGACAAAATACGGAAGGACATTGGGCATACGGAAACAGAGAGATTCTGACCAGGACAACATCACACCATGTACTTTTCTTAACTAAATATTAGGCAGGGAGGAAACATGGGACGGAGGCAACCAAATACTCATTGGAATGTGTCCCTGAACATCAGCTGTGCTGGTCTTCATCTAAAGTCATCAAGACGATTGGGATGATTGGGATGGCATTGGGGATTAATAAAATGAGAATGGTGTAGCAGATTAGAAATGCTATAAAGAATACTGAAAAAGAAGGTTTTTGCACATGAGTATGTTTGAAAGTGGCAATAGGAGAACCATAAACCTTTTTATATGATGCTCTTCCTGCACTGACACATTTGTGCAGAAGCACTTGACTTAACCGGCTGTTAGATCTCACACTAGAACAATCCCCAGCAGTACATATATTTATATTTACATGCTAAGAAGAGTTCAAAATTGCTGTTATGACTGCAATTCATTTCTTTTCCTTGTAACTTCTTTGCAATTGTAAACTTCCAGAAACAGCTACAGAATTACTCCTCTGGATGAGTACCAAGTATGAAACTCACATCTTCCACTTGCTCATGTAAATTCTTAGCCAATATATCCAGCATAGTGGTGGCCAACGCTTTGCATTTCTTGGAAAGGTTTTGCCGTACGCCTTCAACGCTGAGATGAAAGGGGCCAATCACCATGCTACCGGGCAAGCTGTTGTCCAGCAACTCCTTTTCTGCCATATGCTTGTTAACGATCTCTCTCACCTCTTGAGCAGGAGGGCACTGCTCCAGATATGGTCTAGAGAAATATAGAATTATTATTAAGGGAAGACTCACCACCATAACACAGGTAAAGACAGGCATACTGCATACTGTGCCAGAATATGATTTCCCACTTACAGCAGGAACATATAATTTATAAACGGCAAATGTAACCAGTGAAAGGCTTCAAGGCCATTCAACAAATCTGCCCTTGCAAAAGCCGTTGGAGATTAGAGGAAGGAAACTGAGTCTGTTGTGCTGCAAGATCCACAGTCGGAGGTTTACTAGTTGCTGGAAACTGCAGGAGGGCGGAGTGCTCTTGTGCTCAGGTCCTGCTTGTGGGGTTTCTCACAGGCATCTGTGTGGCCACTGTGAGAACAGGATGCTGGACTAGGAGGGCTATTGGCTTGATCCAGCAGGCTCCTCTTACGGCCTTATGATTGCTCTGACTAAACACAAGGTGGTGGTGGTAATGGAGAGGTCTTTGCTTCTAGCACTTAGGAATGAAAAAAGATATAAATACCTTCAGGGTAGAATGGCAGTTTTTAAAAACCCAAGGGTTCGTAAGGCCAGATTTACATACTATGCTCTTAAGATTTTGAAGTACACAGTTAAAATGTAAGGTGTGAATACAAGAAACAGGAGCAGATGTTGCTTCTTGTTCCCTGTTACGTGTATGCTTGGAGGCACCTAGATTTGTTACCTTAGGTGTGTAAAAGCCCTAAGAAAGGAAAACAGGTAGCCAATGACCACACTGATGCTAAAACAACAATGTACAGTAATCTGTTTCCCAGTGTACCTCACAGTACCATGGGCACAGTCCTAAGTTTTCTTCCATGAACAGAACATCATCCTCCCAAATGGGGTTTTCCGACTTCCTTTCCTGAAAATCACTTATGGGGACTGGGAGACTCTTGGCAATCGTATGTAATATGACATGGGGGCCTGCAGATAAAGGGCGAGTTGACCAAGTTCCCTCCTCCCACGTGCACAGATAAGTAACTTAGGGTCCAAGCCCATGTATTTGGGGGAACTTTGTCTTCTTCAGAAAACATTTGCCAGTACAGAAGACAGCGCATTAATCTATCCATGCAACTATATAAAAACCTCTTATGCAAGTCCCTGCTCTTCCCTTTAAAAGCTACATACTTTAGGAGGCTGTTGATATCACGGTTATTCAGTTCCAAGTACTTTTCATAATTCTTGGCATAAGCTTGGAGGGGAATCAGGGCTTTGCGGATACATGTGATGATGGTTTTGCGCAGTTCGATCACAGGTGGCTCATACAGACCCACTGACTCCAGCAACGGTGTGCCACAGATGAACATGTTTTCAAGCACGTGCTGAACAAGGGACAAAAGAACAGCCATTTAGCACAAACTGCTTCTATTTTCTCCTTCAAGTCTGTTGTACAAAACTGAAATCCATCTACTGCTAGACAGTTAATGCTCCTCCTGCTCTTTGTATTGGATACCTCAGTAAAAACCCATGCCAACCCAAGGAACCATAGCCTTAATCATAATACAGGTTACCATATATGTTTACCGGACTTTGTATAAACGAAAGCTTTCAGGGGTCTCAGATTAGAGACCCATCTTTAATGTATGGAGCCCCACTTGAATTTCTGGTCATACTACTTGTGGTTTGCTCCAAATGTTGCCTCACTTGCGCTGCAGCTTATCTCTATGAGCTGCTCTTGGCTGAAAGCTGCCTACCCCAGCATTCAAGAGGTTAGGAATTTTGGATAATCTAGCCTTTAACATGGATTGTTGGCTTTCAAATGAAACAACCATGTGCAACTTAGTGTGCTTCAGATTTTTATGAGATCGTGCTGTGTGCCCTAAACAATACCTGCAGAGATCATTTCAAGGAGGCAGGAGACCCAGTATGTAAGACACCTCTTGATGGGAAAAGGACCTCCCACCTTAGCCAAAACCAACAACAGCACATTTCAAAAACTGCAGACAAGCAATCTTTAGGTTATTGTGAAGCTCGCTTTAATGATAGCTGTTGAAGTGTTTCAATTTTGTTATAAAAAGAAGCAAGCCTCTTTTTAAATTGAAGTGATAAGATAAATACACTAAACACATCATCACACATCTCGTACCCTGCCACTACTTCAATGTCGGTATTAACAGCTTCAGGATTTAAAATTGCAACATTATTGCCGGCACTTCTTATTTGAATCTGGCATGTTTTCCTCAATGCTAAAAGTGTTGGATGAACCATTCTCCTGTTAGCAAAATCCTCCTCCTGCAGTATCATCCCTTGCACACCGCCCTGTTAAAATCTTTGAGATTTTATGTGCCTGCGCATGAGTTGCTACATGAAATCTGCAGCACAAATCAAACTTCTTCTGACATTTCCCTAACCCAGAAGAGATCAGGATGTGAAATCAAAGCAAATCTTCTATTTCTTGCATCTTACTACACATTAAGTGGAGAATGACATTATCTTTTCCTGCATGGAGAAAAGATAACTAATTTTCAGCAGGGCTAGACTTTCTTTCCACAGGCTTTCATTTTTTTTATTTTTGCAAATTACAGACACAATACCAATACCAAACTGGTTCTGAGAAAGGCTTGTCAATCTTCAATACCACACTCCCAAGCTTTTGTGTTGTGTTTCTCTCCATAATATTGTTATAATGTTCCTGCAATGCAGCCATAATACCCAGATACGACTGTTGACAACCCACAGCTTTTGATGGAGCAATTCTTATGACCAGTAAGGCTACAATCTTATGCACACTTCCCTAGCAATAAGTCTAATAAACTCTATGGAACTTGCTGCTTCTGGGTACACATATAGGACTGCTCTGGAAAGTCAGCTTTGTAGTGTGCATCTCTAGTAGAAGCATCTATTTTCAGTAAGTGTATAACTTTTTACAAGATGGATCCTATTATTAGGGTAAGAAGGCATTTCAAACTCTTCAAGGTAACTCACTTTCTCCAGTTGTGGTATGGTGTGGGTAGCCCAGATCCCTTTATCAAACAGAGAAACAACTGTTGTCTCAAAATTTTCCAGGGGTGTGCTGAAACGAACACCCGAAGTGTCCAGAGCCAGATCAATTATAAACAGAGGATTTTTCCGTGGCCTACAAAAGGAAGAATATGGAGATCTCTGAGATTGTTATGAATGAATAGCTTCCAGAAACAATGCCTTTGCTAATTCAAAAAATAGATCAATTACTTCTCAGAAACATAGCCTAGCTCTGCTTGTGCATTTCCCGTGGAACCAGATGCCCTAAAAGGTGATAGGCAACCACATCTGTATAAATAGGCATAAGCATCAAATTTAGTGGAACAAAGGGAATCACTATGATCAAAAGGCATGTCAGTATCCTCATCATGCTTGCAAATATCCCTTCCTGGATTGGCAGAAGAAGTACAGAGGGGGTCCAGACTCATATTCACTATCCCTCTGCAATAAGTTGGGATTCACACATATATAATATATATTAATACATATATATTAATCCAGTCTGCCTTAAAGACATATCAGAAATGAGGTAGAACATTTGCGGGGGTGGGAGGGCTGTGCTCCACACTGTTCAACTTTTCTTATTCCAAACAGACACAGAAACGTATTTCATATTCTGGTAAACCAAAATGTACACAGCTGCAATGTAACTAAATTGACTCTGGCCCTTTTGCCAGTAGCAGAAAAGGATTCTTCTTCCCGATCTTCTTTATGGTACTTGTTTAATATTTGAAGACTGTTGTGTTTTCATATTTTTCCATTCCTTAGTTCAGTGAGTTCTGCTTTCCTCAATACCATGCTTTCTAACCTTAATTATTTTTTAGGTTCACACCGGAGCTTTATTCAATTTGTTTTCATCTGTCTCAAAATGCATACTCCAGACTGGGTAACATACTTCAGCTGAGGTCTACTGTTTCAACCCACTTCTCCAATCTGCCAAGAACAATGACTGACTTGAATTAAACTTGCTGGATGTTCGTAAGGTCTCTGTTAATATCTACTGTGCCATGCACCCAAAAAAGCATGTGTACAGACACCACATGTTTTGCAAAAATAGGTTAACACTTGTAAAAATATCCCCTTAATAAAGTGGTCTTTGCATTTCTGGGGCCTACATCCAGGAAGCATGAGCATGCAGCGGAAGTGAAAAGGTAAGGTCCAAAAGGTTTGTTGGCAGCATGCTGCCAGCGGCGGAGCATGTCTTCCCAGGGATGCTTTAGTTGTGATTCCTGCATTGCAGGGGGTTGGACTAGATGACCCTCAGGGTCCCTTCCAACTCTACAATCTATGATTCTATAACTCTGGCCCCAAGACCATGCTAAACAGACACAGTAAGATCTTCTAATAAAGCCAATGAATACTAAAGCTATGGTGACTTCACTTTGTAACCTACAGACTCTTTGTGATGCCTGTCAGAAGCCAGCAATAACCCCTTAACTTGAGAAATATTGGTGCCCAGCAATGTCCCAGGGGATGCTGAAGCATGCCAAAAAGAGGAGCCATGACTGAAGTGATTTTGCACAGTGATACCAATTCATCCAGAGAAAATTCAGAGAAAAAGAACCCTCCCGTGATATGAGAGCACACTGATCAATGTGCTTTTCCTTTTCCACAAAAATAAAACATCTCTCCATTTCTCTCCTTACTTGTATGGGCTGTTAACAAGGTCATCTCCCCACACCATATCTTCAGGGCAATTCAGGACACTGTGGCAGGAATCCAAGAAGAGCTGGGTGAAGTTTACCAGTGAATCCTGGATCAGATAACGTACAGAGTCCTGCAGCATAAACTTGATGAGCTCCATCAGCTGATGAAGCTTGGACATCCGGTATACTTCCCACTTAGTCTCATACAAGTTGTACCAGCCTTTGCCTATGTCCCTCAAACTGCTTCTCACGGCTATCTTTAGAGTATTGATCCAAGTATCCTTAAGGAACATTGAAACCTAGATAAAAATAAAACAAAGAATGTCAACTACAGTGCCAAGTGACACATCTGCTACATTTTTGGGAAAGCTGTTTGCCAGTGTGGTGTAATGGTTAAGAGCGGTGGACTCTTAATCTGGTGAACCGGGTTCGCTTCCCTGCTCCTCCACAGGCAGCTGCTGGGTGACCTTGGGCTAGTCGCACTTCTCTGAAGTCTCTCAGCCTCACTCACCTCACAGAGTGTTTGTTGTGGGGGAGGAAGGGAAAGGAGAATGTTAGCCGCTTTGAGACTCCTTCGGGTAGTGATAAAGCGGGATATCAAATCCAAACTCCTCCTCTTCTTCGTTCTCTATGCATTTCGACACCTCTTAAGATACTGCAACCAAATTTTGCATGATTTGTTCTGAAAATCACGGAACAGGCTTTTTTCTGGGTTGGGATACAACTAGATGTCATTTTTAAGCAAAATGGTGGACAGCAACTTTCAAAATTGCACTGATTTTAACCACTGATTTTAAAACAATACTACTTTTTTGTTTTCTTAGAACTCTCAAACAACAGTGGGTACTTTTTTCTTTTTTGTAATATATATTTATTGAAATTTCAGAAAAAAGAATTACACAAAAACAAGAAGTAAAAATACAAGAAAAGTACAAAATACAAAATACAGAGTAAAAGAATAAAAGACACTTAAAAAGAAAAAAAAGAAAAATAGATCAATCTTTCCATGACTTAGATTCATATCCTTGTTTCCCTGACCTCCTCATATTTCCCTTTTTTGTATTCCAGTTCAATTAGTTAAGTCAGCAATTTCTTTCCCTCTTTGTTTTATCATAATCCTTTAACTTAATATACTATAACTTTAAATTTTCATCTGTTATCAATCCTTTTTTACATACACCTTCATGGCATTACTGCTTAAACCACCTAACTTCATTCCAACATCATTCTAACATTCATCAATTTTGCAATATTTCTGTAAATAGTCTTTAAATTTCTTCCAATCTTCTTCCACCGACTCTTCTCCCTGGTCTCGGATTCTGCCAGTCATTTCCGCCAATTCCATGTAGTCCATCACCTTCATCTGCCATTCTTCCAGAGTGGGTAGATCTTGTGTCTTCCAATACTTTGCAATAAGTATTCTTGCTGCTGTTGTGGCATACATAAAGAAAGTTCTATCCTTCTTTAACACCAGTTGGCCGACTATGCCCAGGAGAAAGGCCTCTGGTTTCTTCAAGAAGGTATATTTAAATACCTTTTTCATTTCGTTATAAATCATCTCCCAGAAAGCCTTAATCCTTGGGCACGTCCACCAGTGGTGAAAGAATGTACCTTCAGTTTCTTTACATTTCCAACATTTGTTATTGGGCAAATGATAGATTTTTGCAAGCTTGACTGGGATCATGTACCACCTGTATATCATTTTCATAATATTCTCTCTTAAGGCATTGCATGCCGTAAACTTCATACCTGTGGTCCATAACTTCCCAGTCAGCCATCATTATGTTATGTCCAACACAACATAGCATTTAATCATAGCAGATTTCACCGTTTCATCCTGAGTATTCCATTTCAACAGCAAGTTATACATCTTTGACAAAATCTTAGTTTTGGGTTCTAATAGTTCTGTTTCTAATTTTGATTTTTCCACCTGGAAGCCAATTTTCTTGTCCAAATTATATGCCTCCATTATCTGATAATAATGAAGCCAGTCTCGCACTTTGTTTTTAATTTCTCAAAACTCTGCAGTTTCAGTCTATCTCCATCTTGTTCCAAAATTTCCCAATATTTCGGCCATTTGACCTCCATATTGAGCTTTTTCAG